AAATTATACGTATATTTTAAAATAAGCACGTTTCAAGTTCAAGTAATATTCCGTAATTTATCAATTTTTTCACTTTTATTGTAAATTTATATTGCGAATAATTTATTGCTAATAATAAATTTGATAATTTATGCATTTTTTATAAACTATAATTGCATTTGCATTTCTATAGGGATAAATTTTCATAATGTGTATATGTATGTCAAAATATTTTTGTTTCCCGTGTATTTTTCCCTAAAATGAAGTACTGCACGTAGGGTAAATACGTAGGAAGATTCATTTTTACCTTAAAGGGTAGGTGGGAATTTATTTTTTAAAATTTTATATGAAGAGGTTATTCATATTTATGTATCGGATCACGAAACCGTTTCAAATTACATGCGATTTAGAGAAATTTCTTATAAGATATAAAAGTTCATAAAGTAGCTGAGATATTGATTAATTTGTTAATTTGTCACTGTCTTCAATGACCATGAAATGATCTAGCAATCTGGATTGATCCATCAAACGACCTTGAAGGAGTTTAATATTCCTTTAAATTGGCCTAAGATGCAGTTCTACTTTTGTTAAATTTTTGATAAATTCTACTTATAATTAGTTTAGCTAAGAAATACGACGTTTCGTCGTTTAGATCGTATAATTTCACGTACGTTAAAGCCGTTGATTTAACAAACCTTGAAGGTTTCCTTTTTTGAAGATTCATATCCCGGATAGGATCTGTCGGCGATGAAGTTCACGCACGAAATCCCGAAGACGAACTACGTTAAACCGTTGACAGAGTCGAAATTGGAGTCGTTACGAGCTGCTAATAAGATAAACGCCATGAATTTATTGAAGGACGCCGACAAGAACGCTCCAAGCTGTTTTCAGCATCGCAAACACATGGATAAATCGGTGGAGCAAGACAAGTCAAAGACAACCTTCGTGAGAAAATCAGCTCCCACCTTTAAGGTCTACAGAGTGATGACGAAATAATATCATGATAATCGCGTTTATCTTATCTTCGTCATTTCCTATAATTTTATCAAAATTCTTGTCATATTTGAGAAATGATCGATTACGAGTTACAGTAACATTTGTTTATTGCAGCCGGTCGAAATAAAGCAGAATGTGGCTTCGACTTTAAGAGAATGCGCCCGCGTGATTAGTATCGAAGAAAAGGAAATAAAAAAGTAATTATGCGAAGAAGTTTCTTTGTAACGAAATTGTTAGAAGTAATTCTACAATAATTCAAAAATATTCTAATATTCTGAAAATTTTTTGTTTCTAAATGAATTTTAATTTTACTTCTTTTTTAAAAAAATGTTTAATTGTAATTCCTTGTTAAATCATTCTTTAAATCATTTCTTTTTTAAATAATTGTTAAATTTATGCTTCTTTCTTTAATCGTTTATAATTATTGTTACTTTTGTTAATTTATTGATTTTAACAATTATAGATTGAAAAAACTAAGCGAAGGCGGTCTAGATCCAACCTCGATCCTAAAATTCGAGGAAGAGAAACGACAGCAACAAAGGGAGGAGGAGTTGTTGAAGATACAAGAGAAACATCTGTTAGCTTTGTTAACCCGAGAACATGCGTTTATTGCGAAACAATCACTGCTGAATGATGTTAAAGTGCACGCAGAAAACGTACGAAAGGAGGTACTAATGATGCTTTATCTGACATATACTCGCCACTTATTGTTTTCCATACTGTTATCCTTACTGTTTTTTTATGAAACACAATGGAAAGTTATAAGGAAATTTCGATGTTAAAAATAAAATTTTCCACTAATCATCATGCTCTTCTGTAGACACGACAAAAAGTGATTAAAAGACTCGAATAATTATTTTTACCATCAATTTTGTCTTTACAGAAACAAGAACTCTACGAGAAGCTGGAAAAATGGAGAGAAAATCACAACAAGGAAATGGCAGAAGTTGTTGAAAAGTGCCGCGAAATAGAGCAAGCTTCTCGCGAAGCTTTCAACGCCATGATTGACGAGAAGAAGCAAAAGGGTAAAAATTGTTAAAAATATTCTTCAATAATACTTCTAAACTTATTTAAAAGAATTAATCGAATAAGAGTTTTCGAATCAACAGCCGCAGAAGTCTCTGAAGAATCGCGTCAGTTGAAAGCTCAATTGGCAAAACAGAGAGAAGAAGAAATTCAGAGGAAGATTAAATTGATCCAAGAGATCAAGACGATTCAATCCTTGCGAGCATTACCCTTCAAGGATTTCGATCCAACCGAATCCAGTGGCTTGGGTCTCCTTTGCGAAATGTCTTTGATGGAGGTGTACATCGTTTCCATCGAACAATAAATATTTAATCGAATAAATTAATCTAACAATATTAGATAAATTAATTATATAAGATTTACCACGATTTGTCGTTCGATTTCCCAGTTGAAAGAGCGGCTGTTCTGGATGAAGATGAGATTAGATGAGGACATTAAAAGTAGAAAATCTCATATTCATCGGGAACGCGAGAGACAAAAGAATTTAATCAGGGATACAAGAAGAGCACTCGAGGAATATAAAGCAACCAAGTTGGTGTTACGAAATCCTTGCGTATTGTTAATTGTAATTACTGTAAACAAGTCAGATAAAAAAGAAAAAAAGAGCAAGACAAAAAGGATAAAAGTGGAAGAGATGTGAAAAATGAGGGATAAAGAGATTGATTTTCTTCTTTTAATTCTGTAAATACATGTCTACAAGAGATAAAAAAATTAGATATAATGAAGTGATCGTTTTCGTAAATACTGTTCATATTAGATTAATAGAAAATATCTAAGAGAAGAACGTGGTCTTGTTTTTTGATTATTTTATATAGATTAAATACAAGAAAATTGAGTAAATAAATAAATGGATAATTAATTTTTCGGAATAAGAGATGTAATAATAGTTAGCTTGTTTTCAGAAGTGCTATCTTATCCTCGAAGTCACAACAACCATCTCAAATTGTTTCATCACCGGAAATAGACGCGTTGCGAAAGAAGCTGGAAGCTACGAAGGCATTCAGGCTACGAAAAGAAATGGTATCTTGCTCTAAGCAAACGAAATGAAGATTTTACTTCTTTATATAGTCCCGACTCATGTAATTTGACTGGAACAAATAAAATCTACCTTGCCTTGTAATGACTGTGCAATACTATGATGATGCAAAAATCATTTTTTCATAATTCACGGTTGTAAAGGGGGCTCTAATGATCTAATAGTCAGAACGGACTGGCCGAATATTCTCTAACGGAAAATCTCTCTAAACTGGCTAAACTAACTCTCTCGTAAACTCTCCTCAAGGAACTCTCTAAACCGACTCTCCCGAAGGAACTGTCTTGCCCGCGCCCTTGTACCCTTATTTAAACCATTCATTCTGTCCTCATCTATACCCACGTTCTCTTTCTCAATTGGTCACGTATCCTAAACAATCAGGCGCATTCATAGACTTTCACTCGTTTATCGCATTCGGCTCTGTCATAAACATCCCTTACATTCGATCCTCTTGCACGCAGTCACTTTCTTTCCAAGCCTAAACACACTTAACATTCCTTCAGTGTTGTCCTTATATTTCATTCCCACATACATTCTTACACGGTGTTTATGTTGTATTTACGTCACGGTGTTGATCCCACTTACTGTACAAAGGCGGAACAGATCGTTAATAACAACTGTAGTCGGAAAAAAATCTGACAGTCATATCTTTAAACCTAATGCATACTCTCATTTATATGTTTATGAGTGTAATATCGTATATTTTCACATGGAAAATAGTTAATTGTACGATACTGTATATTTTTATAATTTTATATTTACATAAGTTATATTAAATATTAAGCATTTATGATTTCCTCGAGTAATTAATTAACCTCCAATTAATATCAAATCAAAGGTATCTAGAAGATATAAAATATGCGAACTTATCCGAAGGTTGCATAACGAGTATTTTGCAATTGCATAGTACCAGACAATTTTGTAATGATGTAACAAAGATGTTGACGCAAATTTCTTACCTACTTTGTAAACTGAAACATCGTTTGAACGAATATAATATAGTTGATTGAATAGTAGATTTTTGTACGATTAAATATTTGATGCACCGAATATTTTATAGAGCGATAGATTAAGAATTCTATAAATACGTGTATCGTTCTTTAATTATCTCAAGTAGTATTTTTACGAACGATAAGGAGTTTCGTGCAAATTTTTTGAATCGGATTCTGAAAGATAATAAGGTATTTCTACAATGAGATAATAATTTAATCATGTAATTGTAGTCGTAGAATATGTATAAATTATGTTTACTATGTGATAAATACTATTCATTGTATCATTAAAAATCAATGAATTTGCGTCACCGTGGAAATGAACGAAGAACATGTTACGTTTCTTAATTACGTAAACTCTTGTACAATATTTGAATAACACAGTATTATATTTGCGACAAGGTATACTCGCAAATATGCCATATTACAGAAAATCAAAGATTCAAAAACGTAAAAATGGTAAAAATCCTTCTAAACCTAGAAGATATTAAAAAATTAGGTAGAATCCCCCTACCCCCCTCCAAAATGCCGATATTAAACAAATAGCAAAAATATTTAAGAAATGTTAGAATCATAATAAATTCAAAAATTTCGGTGATTGTAAATACAAGAAATATGTTATAAAAGTTATTAAGAGAAGAAAGAAAAAAAATCTTCGATTCTGTCTATAAACTTCTGTACATCTTTGTTATAATAACACATATGAATAGTATAAAATTATATTATACAAGGAATACCAGGAACGACAGAAAGTATGAATCACATAATCGAAGACAGACAAGGACTTTGATTTGAATTGTTTCCAAGATACAAGTCATTATAATCGTTAGGAAATGGATTCATTAGAGGGTACTATTGGCATAATTATGGGTATACACGAATTACAGTGATCAATGTGTGCGGGGTGTATAGATATTACACAAGAGGAAAAAGGCGTTCATCTAACAATTTACGAACCAGTCGCTCAACAGTCATCGTCAAGAACATTCCTTACGCTCCCGTGTTTCATAAACTCGAGGAACGACTGCTCGATTTCAATCGGAAAAATCCTTCTTATGTGTTTTTGAGAATTGTCAGCATGGTCGTCAATAACTCGAAAAGCAACAACGTAAGTTATTTAGTCAACGTTCTTCATTGTTCCCGATTTCTCTTTGCAATACAGAAGATATCGATATCGCGATACTATTATTATATTATTGTTACCAGACTGAACCGGCGTTTCACACCGAAAACAACGTGTTGAAAGGAAAAGTGCTATCATGCGAAAGTCAATATACAAACATAGGAACCTTTTTGTTTGACAAAATGAAGAAGAATTTGAATCTTGTTGCACAGGTATGTCGGGATTTTTTACTATGGAAATCATGTTTTTCCATTGATTATGATTAAAGAAGGTGGAGTAAGCTGTGGCTCAGTTGTTGGTGTCATCCGCGAAATTAAATGCTACTCAGAATTTTAATGGTGATTCTAATGGCAATATTTGTGAGGTTAGACATGAGAGTGATACAGAGAAGTAAAGAGAGTAATGAGAGTAAAGAGAGATAGTGAGTGAGTTGGCAGTGGGGATCGAGAAGCGGTAGGGAGAAAGAAGAATGAACTTAGGGCCAAAGAGGGCATGAGTGTGAAAGTATAGCTCGAATGCATGAGTAGTGCACAGAGAGAAAAGCAATGTGCATAGAAACAACAGAGTGTTTAATTTTATATTTACATTCTAGTATTGCATAGTATTTGTTCTGTATAGTAGTCGTTCTAGTATTGTGTAACTGAAATAGTGTCTAAACAGAATTATTCCTCAGACTCGACCCTTTTCATTTACAATCCACAAGTTTAATGATACTCTAAGAAATAATGTGACAAGTAGCACAAAACAATTGATGTTGGTATAGATTAGTTTCAATTTTTTCCTAGTACTTTATATCGACTGACGCTGGGACCCGTTATCTATATCAAACAATGGAGTCAAGTAAACGAGTTCAGAAGTTACGTTATACCTTGCTCAGTGTTAACATTCTTTGTCATTTTTGTAGTATAGAATGTAAATACCAGATGCCAGTAGAAACTTGCAGAAAAGATATCGTAACAATGACCTCCGCTTTCATCTGCAGAAGTACTTCTACACTGGAGTTCACGTACGAGTAGCGTAGCCAAAGAATTTTTATTATGTTAATATTATAATATTATATTCTTATATTATTACACTTAGCATTAAACTAGAAAAAAAGGAAAAAGATATGAAAAATCTCATTTAAACCTAAAAGTCCTATATTTACTTATTGGCAAAAGTCATCATTTGCAAATCTTCAAAATTACAAAGTTAAAAAATTAAAAAGTTAAAGATCTCAGAAGGCAAAGAATGCAGAAAAATTCACAAAGGAAACAAACACTCATTTTGTCTCTCGATCAAAATGTATTCGTATTTTAATATACTTCTGTACTATACTATATCTAAGTACGAACATGAAGAAAAAAATTAGAAATCACATTCAGATACAAAATGCAAGTTCTACATATAAAGGTAACAATGACACTGACACCGTTACTCGATCGAATTTTTCAGGTTGACGCGATGACGGGAATCGAGGACACCTACGCAGACATCATAGATCGTTCAGTGAAATGTGCGTTATGGCTGCAGAAGCACGGAGTTGGAAAAGGCGATATCGTCGCGGTCTCCTCGCATAATCACCGCGATTGTGTGGTTCCTTGTCTCGCGGCCCTTTATATGGGCGCCATTGTCAATCCCTGGGACTACGATATGAATGTCCGTAAGTTCTCCGAACATAAGTACACCATACATCGTCAACATCGTTATTTGAATCATAACATCTCATTATCGACATCGTGTCTGCTCGTTGAAAAGCAATTACTAAAAAAATACGACAAAAATAAGAAAGAAATAAAACAGACACGCGACAACGATTATAAATGACACACGATTCACGTTTTTACGTAATAACATACATGTACTACGCATCATTTAACTCATATACGAACTAAATTACACGGTTGCGCAATGATTGACTAATTGTTACGACTCCGTAGAACTCGCGCGCCATTTTCTGACATTGTCGAAGCCAAAAGTGATTTTCGCGAATGAGAAATCGGTGGGAATCGTGCTGGAGGCGGCGAAGATAGAGCTATGTCAGACAGAAATGGTGTCATTCGGGGATTATCCCGGTACGATACCCTTTTCCGAGACATTGAAGGGCCATTCTAAGTCGGCCGTGGTGAATTTTCGATGCAAAGAAATCAATGATCGCCGTGACACGGGCTTTATCCTTTGCTCTTCTGGAACCACGGGTTTGCCTAAAGGCACGCAACTTTCGCACGAGGTGATAATGAACATGCTGGCATTGACCGAGAATTTGGATCTGAACAAACAGGTACCGATGTGGTTCAGCACTTTGTATTGGATCAGTGGATCGATGCTTACTCTTAGAAGCATAGCTTCTGGTACCAAAAGGATCATTGCCCCGGACTTCGACGAGACGATCGCCTGTGAAATTATCGATAAATTTAAGGTATTTCTTAGATCATCAAGTGATTTTCGACGATCTTTCGGCATTACTACTCCATATACGAGGGAAATAAATAATAACGTTATCTGCAGCGATTGAGCATAAAAGTCTCGATTGTATAAATTATCTATTGGGGTCAATTAGTGTACTTCAAACCTTATAAATATTCGCCTTTTATTTGTTTCAATCTATCGTTCACCGGTTTTAAGGTCACTTGGTTGATGCTGAGTACTAGCATGGCGAATCGATTCGTTCGGTTTGATCGTTTGCACGATTACGATCTATCCAGCTTGACTGTTCTCTTCACTGGTGGTGCTACACTGAAACAAGAATCCCAGGATTTATTAAAGAAACACTTGCCGCACTCGTTAATAGTGCAAGCTTACGGTAAGTTGAAAGAAACAAAAATAAAACAGTCAACGAATGTTTCGATACAAAACTTAAAAATTTGTTCTTCAGGTATGACAGAGCTTGGTGGTTTGGTCACTGCACAATTACCAGACACCACGAGTGGCTCTTGTGGCGTGGTGTGCACAAATTGCGAAATAAAAGTCATAGACACTGAGTCTGGAATGGCATTGGGTCCGAACCAAAATGGCGAACTTTGCGTGAAATCTTGGACGATGATGACGGGATATTACAAGAATCCTGAGGAAACCAAAAAGATTATCGACAAAGATGGTAAGTACAGTCACCCATCATGCTTTGGAAAAGTTTATAAGTAACTCAAAATAAGTAATATTTTAAGCAAATACAGAGAAAGAGGGAGTAAATTAATGTTCTGTTTCCAGGATGGTTACATACAGGTGATTTAGGATATTACAATGAGAAAGAAGAATTTTTCATCGTAGACAGGCTAAAGGAAATTATTAAGTACAGGGGACATCAGACAACGCCAAATATAATCGAGAACCTTTTGCAAACTCATCCTGCTGTTTTAGAAGTGGCAGTGGTTGGTATACCTCATCGTACAGATGACGAACATCCGGTTGCTTTTGTCAGCAAGGTACCTAATAAAGAGGTACGTGAAAATAAACGCTGGTATGATAAAAAAGATTTTATGAAATTCATAAAACATCTTAAACTGAAAGGGCGTTATAAAAGAATGATAAAATAATATAATATATGGATATATCATTTAATTTATAGGTTTCCGCAGAGGAACTGATCAAGATTGTAGCTGGTAACCTGATGGATCACTACAAATTGCGTGGCGGAGTAAAATTTCTACCAAGTCTGCCACACACTCATTCGGGGAAAATTTCAAGGAAAGAGTTGAGAGCGATGGCGAAATCTCTCGCTGTTAATTAAATTACCATAAATCCTGTATGATAACCGACACTGGTACAAATAAGAGTATTTAAATTCTTCTATAAACTCATAAGTATTGTTAATTGAATAGTATTAATTGTGTATTTTATTTGCGACCTAACGACGAAAGAAAGATTATGGTATAAACTTCATATTCGTTCTACGTCATTGTGTATTAATAAGTAGTATTGTAATTAAGAAACAGAAGACAGTATTGTACATAAGTATTATGAGTTCTACCTTATGCACTGGAGAAACAACTCTTAGTTATCGTCTATGAAAATTGTAAAGATCTTTAATTATGTTAAGTTTTAAATAATCTAACGATAAGTTACATATTAAACTAAAATTGTTTTATAATGAATCAGAAATACCATCGATTTCACAACAGAAAAAGAACCTTCGAGTGTAAAGGGTGAAAAAATAAGAGAAAAATGTAAGAACAACGATATAAATATCATATAAAAATAATTGATGAAATTTATTGTTTCGGTTTATTGTATACATCGACGAAAGTGCGACGTTTTAGTCCTATTTTAATTCGTATGCTTATTAACATAATCGCGTTTATTTGTATCCTTTAGCTTTAGCTGCCTTGAACATGGCGACCAAGGAGTCCAGAGTTTCAAGAGCGGTGGGAACAATTTGATTAGCTGGCAGCAGGAAACCGTAACGACCAGTGTCTCGTAATTCGTAAGTGTAAGTGATGGGTTTGTGGAAAGTTCCCTTTACCCAGTCCATTGAGCTTCCAGTTGCGACATCTAAAAGTGAAAGCAAAATATAAAAATAAATCAAGATAGCGATCTTTATCATCCAATCTGTTCAATTAGAAGAGCTTATCGATTTAATTATTATATTTTTTCGACTTCTAGGATTCCAACTTTTATAATATACTACTCCGCGATTAATATTGCTCTACTGCATTTAAACGTGCGAAATGTATACTTACAAATGGTTTCAGCGATATTTCCAGTTTGGTATTGAGTGTGATACCGTACTGAGAGAGCATCGATTGTCTTCTTGCCGATTTCAAGCTGAAAATGCACGGTTTAATTATTCCTCTGTATTCATGTACATTCGATTAATTAATTAATTAACCGATAAATAGGTTCGATATATCAAGAACGAACAAGTAGACGACCAGTCACTGTTGTTATCGACAACACGAGGTTTGATCACTGTTTAAGATATGATACACTTGATAAAATTGAGGGTCGTATTTATAAAATTGATTTACGTCTGTAAGATAAAAATTTATGTCTAATTGTTTTAAAATCAACGAGGTTACCGCACTATTTTTATTTCGTAAGATATAAACTTGTGTATGCCAAAAAATCTTTAGGAGGGATCGAAATATCGAGTCTCTCGATACGACAAATTTTTATGAAGTTTCTACTTACAGAGTCATCATAGTTTTCCAAGTGCTCTTTAGTGTGGCCGTAAGGGAACATCAGAAGTTGAGAGTAGCTGTGGAAAGCAACGTAGGAGGAGAATTTGTCAGAAATCGACTTAATGAATTCGGACAAAGATTTTGTTTCTACATCGGAGAATGCAGAGCTTCCAGCGTACGTTTCAGAGCATGGGTTATTGCTGGCACCGCCCTCTGAAAGATAGAATAAAATTCGTTTAACAAGTTACATAAGGTACCGTTCAATAAGGTATTCGTGCATCAGATTAGGCACTTACCCATCCATTTGTATCCCCAGTTCCTGTTAGGGTCAGTTCCGTAACAAAAGAGACCGTATGGTTTGCGGGTCTTTCTCCATAAACGGTTCTGAAATATAAATATTACACGTGAGTCTTATGAATCTAGTATTCTTCGTTATAAAACATTACCACGATACCTTTCTTTCAAAATGTGAAACGAATCCTCTCTATTTTTTAATATCTTAAGGTACTTAAAAACTTCAGTACTTTAAATAGTCAAATTTAATAAAATAATTTAAAAAATGGTTTACTATTTACTAGAATGTTAAAAATTGAAAATTTTTAGTCATTTCTCAGTCTCACTCAGCTTATTAGGATTTTTCTATTATACTTTACTGTTTCCTTCGCTATTTCGTCTACTAAATTTTGTCAAACTTTTACTCACCGTCGTGTGGGTGTATACGAATCCATCAGGGTTGAAGACAGGGAAGATGTACCAGTCGTGAGACTCAGCGAGTGCTCTGACATCAGCTTTCGTGCTATAGACCAGCTCGTTCAAGATGTAAAGAACGGTAGCCGAAGTGACCCATTCTCTGGCGTGGATTCCACTTTCTAAGAAGATACCAGGTTTGTTCTTACCAAAGGATAGTTTCACACCTTTGATCTGACGACCTTCGTAGGTTTTGCCACCTACGAGTACTTGAACTTTGCCAGGGTTAGCTTTTGCCAAGCTGTCCAGGTAATTGTAGATCTCATCGAGGTTGTGATAGGTGCTGAAATTGAACTCATTAGGACTGCTGGTTGAGCTGAATTCCAGTAGTTGAATTTCTGGTGCTTTGGTGCCAATTAAGGATTGAACGTCATCGACATAGACATCGTAGGTAATGTCGAATTTCGACATAATCTCATGGAAATCTGGTATCTTGTGTGGAGCGACCATCACGTCTGCGAAACTATGAACGGCATATGGCTCTTTCCAGAAAGAGAACTAAAAATTTGAAAATATATTATATTGGAATATTATACTTATCATTGTTACTATTATTAATTTATGAATATTGTAGTTCATTTTTTAGTCGAGTTTGAGTAATTTAAAGTTTATCTTATTATCGATTGATTTCGTATACGTTTCGTGTAATTCTGACTCTGCGAACGTGAATTAAATACAAAGTATGTGCACTTACCCCGTCAGAAACATCTTCCAAGCTGCTTATAATCTGAAATTGTTCTTCTGTCTTAGGTTGGACGCGAAACACTTTGTAGTTGTCGTACACCACCACCTTCTGGGCAGTCGCCAAAGCGACCAAAGTAACGAAGATGAACTTCCACATGATGCTTCTAAAAAAATTTTAATTATTTTCGTTCCTATTTCAAGTGCAACAAATATACACCAAGACCGACAAAGCTTTAATACTTGAGAAATCGGAAATTTATTGCAGTAGAGATATTTAAATTCATGTCCAATTGTAAATATAAAGGATTTAATATTTTCTTAGCTCTAAGTATACAATTTTAAAAATTCTTCAAATTTAAATAACGAATTCAATAAACGTAGCATGTCGAATTTATTGCAATCAGAATTATATTCAACAACACGTTTAAATGGTAGAGGCAAAAGTGGAGAATGGTTGTTCTTACCCTGTATGATCACGAGAGAAGTTTGCGTTACTGAAACTTCCGTCTTATTTAAACGTTTCACCTGCACACGGCACCAACGATAATTTCTGTAAGATAGTTATTCAAAAGCCGTATCGTTAATCAATTAAAGAGAGAGCTTATTGGATCTGATTTCAGCTTATCGGATTTATTTCAAGTGACCGTCTTTATCTGCACACTCTTACACCAACCTACTCGAGATGTCGTTAAAATTTCACAATCAGTTGCCAACAATGTTTAATTCCGTTACACGTCAAGACTCCATCGCTCTACGATATTTCCATAACACTCGGTTCCTTTTGTCATTAAACAGAGTTAATTAATTCACTGGAATTTTAACAACAAAGTTATTCGGCGATCGACAAGTATCGACCTGGAAAAAATTAATTTGGAACACAATGGTGAGTTTCCATTTTCACTGACCATTTTCTGTAGAACGTAATAGTCGCAGTTTTGAATTTACATAACGCTTGCAAATGGTAGCTTTGACTGGCTGCATAGATTAGCGAATAGCGTGAAAATTACAATGAACAGAATTAGCTGTGTCTCGACAAAGGTATTATCATGAGCGATCGTGAATTATATGAATACTCTAAACGTGCGAAGTGGATCAACGAACGCAATGATGGCTATACGATATTTTAAAACTAGTATCGAAAATTCAGGTAACAGAACCTCAAGAAAAATTTGACGCACCATGTTTGTAATCAACTTGTTCCTATAATAGTGTCTACTTGTTTTTTAATTTAGACCCCACAGTTTTTAGCAACTTTTCTCGTTACAAAATACCAAATTCAGCGAAAGTAAGAAAAGAAGATTAAAAATACAATAAAAAGAGAATATTGCTTTTATTATCTTATTAAATAATTATTATCTTATTAAGTAAAAAAATTGCATTGTTTTTAAACATACTGTGTTCTTTATAAATTTTTACATGTAATTCAGGATTAAACTAACTGTTGTATATACGTCAATACTAGACAATGATTATATCAGACAGAAGTTTGTCATTTTACGAAGTAACATGTTTGTATAAGAAGGACATTTATGGTGATTTTATTAAATAATATGAAAACTTGGGAACTAAATCCTATATAGTGCTAGTTTTTGATGAACCATAGCCAAGTTTTGCAGCTTCCGTGAACATGGCAACCAAGGAATCCAAAGTTTCTTCCGCAGTTGGTATAATCTGGCTTGCTGGCAGAATGAAGCCGTATCTTCCCTTGTCTCGAAGCTCGTAGGTAAATGTCACTGGAATATTGTAAGTTCCTCGTACCCAGTCCATAGATCCTCCAGATGCAACATCTAAAACGATCAAGATGATAAGAAACTGATTTTCAATAGAAACAAAGAGAATCTGGAAACTTGTACTCGTTATTTCATCCCTTGTTCACTTCTAATTTCTTTCGTAAGCAGATTAACGTTAGAACTTGCAATATGTACATACATATACGTCTAAATATACACCTACAATGACGATAATAGTAATTAAAATTATGTAATGAAAATGGAAAAGTATCTACAATTATGTCACTATCTGAAGAAAAGTTAAGATTAGTTTTATCAAGTGCAATTACACGCTTTCAGTAATTGCAAAAGTAAAAAGCCTGAAGTTGGTTACCTCGATTACTTTGCTAATACTAGCGTTAACAAATCGTAGTTTACGATGATATTTTAATATTTGATATTTTAATTTTAAAACATCGAATAATGTACTCACATATAATGTCTACGATATTTCCAACTTTGTATCGCGTTCCGTATCTCTTCGACAGAACGTTTATAGAGTGGTTCCCTATTTGGAATAAGTCGTCATAGTTGTCGACCCTCTGGTTCGAATGGCCATAAGGAATGAGCAACAATTGACTGTAACTGTGAAATGCTACATAGGAAAATATTTTGTCGTGGATACTGTCGATGTACTGTGACATGGTACTGGTTTCTGTTTCAGAGAAAGGCTTGTTACCAGGATATATCTCGCTACATGGATTTCGACTGGTACCACCCTCTGAAATGTCAACAGGAATAACTTAAAGTGGCATCTTTCATTGGTAAATATAAATTGTCATTAACTACAGAAATTAAAAATAAAAGAAAAAATCGTAATATCGTGAAGATATAATACAAATTATCTGGAACAAATAACAAAATTTCATTAATTCTTTATCTAGTATAATACAAAAATTCAAGCTATAAAAAATGAAATCGCTGACAATTATCTAATTGATTACGTCCCTTTCACGAATGGTGAGTCTCGAGTCTTTAACAATTAGTTCTAATATCTAAATTGATTTGTAATTTATCAGTAGATATACGCAGACTAAAAATTACACTTCAAAGTATATATTAATTACATAGTTAACCGATAAACCAAGCAAGCATGCAACATCTCTTTTATTTTTATTAGATCATCACCTGCCCAGTGGAAATTCCAGTTTCTGTTCGGATCAGACCCATAGCAGCCTCTTCCACTAGGTCTTCTAGTTTTCCGCCAAAGACGATTCTAAACAGGTAAAACAACGTAAGTAATTTGCACCTTTCGTTTTATCAGTTCGGTGACACAATTATCACGTCTTATTGATATTCAGCAGTTGGTCGTGCAAGCGTGTACTAATCAGTAGAAAAAATAAATAAAAAATTGCAACTGATTGGACATCTATAGCTAATTATAGATAATGAGAGATAACAGGATAAAGTAACTAAAAGGTGAAATTCAACGACGTTATCTATAGAAGTGAAGTTTTAACAGCGATTTCATTCGAAATCTTTTGTGTATAGATTCTTTATCTCTCCGTGTATAAAATAGATTGTTTTGATTGGGGATTGAGTAATCACATTCACGTGATCGAAACCTAAATTTAACGTAAAAATAGGCGATCGACATAATTATGTTTGATAACAATAGATATTATTCCAGATTGAATTCAATTTCTGCAATTGATTTCTATATTAAATCTTTCTCCGTTTAACAACCTTGATAGGTCGATTAATGAATAATGATTATCGAGATAAATTCAAACTAGATTTTTCAATTTTATACATATTCCGGATATTTTTGGACATTTTGGAGTGCTCGAATATTATTTAATATCGAATTGTTACGTCACATTTGATATTTATACGACGCAGAAGCTATTAATTATCTCTTACCGTAGTATGGGTGTACTCGTAACCATCCGGATTGAATACAGGGAAAAAGTACCAGTCGTATGACTCCGCCATGTATCTAACACGAGGATCGTCACTGAGTATCAGTTCGTTCAGGATGTACGTGACAACAGCTGGTGATATCCATTCCCTGGCATGTATTCCGCCTTCGATAAATATACCAGGATTTCCTTGTTTGTAGGAGAGCTTCACTCCTCTGATACTTCTTCCTTCGAAACTGCGTCCTCCAGTTATCGACGACACGAGTTTAGGATGCTGAGAGATGAGAGAATCCAGCCAACGATAGATCTGAAAAAAGTTTTTTGATCGACAATGCATTCTTCAGAAGAAAGTTAAAAGCATTAGCTTGATGTTTGTGCCGGCAAATATGAAAGTGATCTAAGTCAAAAAGTCAAAGGAACCAATTTTATCATTCATTTTGTGTTGCAGTTACTTGCATTACGATAACATAAAACTGTTCTTGACAAAATAGTGGAAAATCGAAGCATTATATCGGGTTTTTAATTTATAATATACATAAAGCACGAAACTTTACATATTTTAACATGGAACACACATGACTTAAACCACTTTTATAATCATTGGCACATTTAATTACGATGTAAGTTTTGTTTATATATATTTATTAATAACTATTTACATTTATTTCGAAATAATTCCATTGACATGATGGACAAATATGTGAGTTGAGTAATATGACAATACGCTAATGCAATAGAATGATTGGTATTATTTTCAAGAATATTATTATTAATATCACTATAACTAGATATTAGAATATATCAATTTGATACAATAATGAAATGGAATGGTGAAACTATAGTATTGTACGGCAAAATTTAATTTCTATCATTGTATTATAATTTCAGCATTTCTTTATATATTTATTATACAGAATTGATTGTTCCTACTTAGATAATAGCACAGTCTTATGCTAATATGTTATTCTACTATTAATATATTTCTATTATGAATGAATTAACAATGATGGAATTAAACTAAGAAAAAATGGAAAAATCATTGATTGGAAGTGACTTATTAATTGAGGCTTTAAACTGTCTTTTTAAAATGTGTCTTACAGAGCTCAGGCGATGATAACCCAGCCAATCGAAGTCACCCCTTAAGTTACGACGGGGATTCTCATCGTCGATATACTTCTGCACATCGTCCATCATCAATTCTGGTTCAAGTTTCGTCGCATTAACAGTCTCCATAAATTCCTGGATCTTCGTAGGTGAAATCATTATGTTCGCGGAATCGTTGATCTTCGGTGGTAGCCAGAAATGATAACCATCGGTGTTCTGCATATTAGTCAACAGCTCAAACTTACTGTTATCCGGCACGAATATTTTGTACAACTGGTATCCATCGTATCGCATCTTCTCAGTGGCACAAACGCTTTCAAGAAGAAGAAGAAGAAGAAGATGCAGAAGAACAGCATTCATCATGGAATTCGATTTCATTTTGGCAACCATTGAAGACAGAACTTATCAAACGTTGCAACAAGTGGTAGAAAAATCGTGCAATCTTAAAGACTACCCCTAAGGATTATCCATACCCTCTTTTTAAAAATATTCAATTTTTACCCTCGGTTTCTCACAATTTCTAATTTCTTCTCAAATTCTATCCTTTCCTAAACTACAATTTCCAATTACCAATTTTCAATAACTCTCACTATCTTTTGTCCATCCGTGACCACTGTAATAATTCTTTTTTTGAATGCACACAAGTTCCAAGTAATTTGAAGAATGTTTTAATTTCCAAATTAACTATCGCGATACTGATACAATTTTCCGATACGATCGATCTTCGAGTGAGAAAGTTCCGCTTTCACTCGACGGCTTTGAACGGAAACTGATCGTTCACCGGTTTTCTTTTCGACTAAAATCGACCTCGCGGTTCCAAGATGCAACGCAGTTGTGCGCGTTCGAAGCGAATCCTCCCGCGACTTTATATACGACGCGACGCAGCCGTAGGAGGTAAAAATATCCTGTACGTGAGATAAGTGTAAATAAAAAAAGAAAAAGAAGAAAAATACGGGCGACACATTTGCATGCAGGATGGGCTATGGGAGTTCTTGAGGTTGCACACAAGTAGAGGCCTACCGATGGTCGAAGACCTCGAAGGTACCGTTTGAAAATATCGATAAACCGAGGTTGTCGACATCCAGTCAAAGAAAATACTCTGTAAGTAGCTGAAACAAGAGATCTTGAAATGTTTCTTCAAATGCCTAAACTTGTTACTTGGATTCATTTGCATAAGATTGATATAAAATTGGAATTTAATTAATTATTAAAATTCTCTTGATTAACGATGGCTTTTCTTTGTAATACAGACGTAATAAGGGGGAGTAAATTTCCTCAATGATAATAATTAAATGATTATAATTCATTCAATATTTTTAATTCACCAAGAAATAAATTTAAGAAGTCGAATGAATTTATTATTCGATTTATTTAAATACTAAATATTATTAAATTAATCATCGTTACTTCATATTTTTATTGACTTATTTCATTCTTTCAGGTTTGGAAACTGCAGTAGTTATTTGTAATAACTGTTATTACTGTGTCGATTTTTGTACATAAAGTGTAAAAAGCTATTATCAGTATTTGTTTCACGGATATCTAATACGAATATGATAAAAGTAGGTTTAAAGCCTTGATGCTAATTTATGTATGAATTTTTACATAGAATGTATAAAAAGTTATTCCCTATATCTTTCGTTTCATAAGTACGCATGATTACGATAAATTTATACGTTCTTTTTAAAGTTGCAAGTGCAACGACCCATGATTGCCTCCGGAACATCACTTGACAAGTCGATGAAATCAGATAAGGTAATTCGCGTCTATTAATTGCCACAATAATGAAAGAGTGAAAAAAAGCGTAGTTCTTGTCGGCTCTTGTATTGTTTTACATATTGCAAGCGTATAAAATGGGACAATGAACACTATTTAGCATCGTCCTTCGTTCCTTGGTCAGATGGTGGCATTATCGAATAGACGCGATTAAGTCAACGTGGAATTAATACTAATTTGACAGTTGAAAACTAGTTAAACGTCTTTTATAATACGCTTTCATATCTTATTTTAAACTACATTTGAAATTTGTTAAATAGCCTTTTACGTACATTTCTTATACATTTCTTCTGAGTAATTAAATTTTTTACGGCTTTTTGCTTAGACATTTCTTTAGATGCGGAATTAGAAATAAATTTTCTTTAATCAACAGTAACAAACATAAATATAATATAATTTACATACAATGTGATGATTCAATAAAAATAGATTTCGAATAAGTAAAGAGTAAATTTAATACAAAAAATTTCTAATAAATGAATTAATTGACACATTGGATGATTAATTGATTTATATTTCTTAATTAGCAAATTGAGATTCTTTTTGATAATTGCTAAGATTTTAAAAATGCTAAGGTACATATAAGTAAATACTTTTAAATACTTACTGTTACGTCATTATATATGATAAATTCATATTACGACTAACTGGTACATATTCGTATTAAAATAATTTGTGATAAGACATTTCACCACCAAATATAGCTAATAAACAAAAACAAGATAAAAATATCAAACATAAAGAACATTACATAATAAAATACTGAATATAAATAAGTATTAATAGTTTCATATATTCTACGTATTTATTTCTTATCGAAATAATTGTGTAAATATAACTGTTATATGTTAGATAACGTCGAAAAAAGAAAAAATGTATAGAAAAACAAGTTCAATTTTTGACGTCAAGTCCATATTTCATAGTACCAGACATGTTGACGATAAAAATTAATAATAGATCATTCAATGTCTAACCAACATTTTTCAAATATCATTTCCTTTCGATACTTTTATTAATTTTCACACAAAATTTTTCCTGTAGAAATGAATATGACACAGTTGAAGTATTACTACAAACTATTGGTTTCCAGTATATTTCAATCCATTTTGTTAAATTTTCCATAGAACAATATGACATAGAAAATAAAAAATATTAAATTATATGCTTATCTAAACTACGTTTAATATATGCTATAATAATACTGTACAAATATTTTAAAGTAAAAATATAATTTTATAATAATAATATTATAATTACATAAATAATTACAATTAATCTTAAATAAGTACAATAAAATATGACTGTCATGTGTAATATATATTAGTGCTGTAAAGGAAACTGCGTTACGATTACTATCGATCCTTGAATCGAGTCCTTGCAATGCTATTGACTAAATACCGTTCACCAATGATCGAGTCCTTGCCAGATTCAAGATCGATATCTGTCACTGTTACGTACACGATAAAAAAATAAAAACTCTAGTCGTATTTCCTGTAAGAATACATAAAGTGACGTTACAATGACTCTGAACACATTGTTCTCTAATTACCGTGTCGATAATTTAATGGTGTTAATTTGAGCAAAAATACGGATTGAGCTTAGATCCGCATACCGTATTATCGATTATGAGAGATCGTAAAAGTTGTTGGTAAGAGGTTAAACGGAAACAGGGATATGTATGTCAGTTAGTTGGTAATTTAATTGCTTCGCAACCAATTGTAATGCTATAAAGATTTCGATTGTATATATAAATATAAAGAATGCTAATAGTTTGAACTAAAAAATTTGATTAGATAATTTGATTACCTTTTTATTTCCAAATATTAACACTGCTCTTAATATTAATAGATTTGTTTGCTCGTATGAATAAACACTGTTGAAAATCATATTGAAAAGTTGTAAATTCGTAGATATTTAAAAAATTGTATTTCGTCTTTGTCTAAAAATAATGTTTTCAAGTAATTTGACTTTGAATAGTTCCCACATCTTATTTGCGTATTTTCAAATTAAAGTTATGTAATTACATATGTCAACCATATGCGCGCGAAAAAACAGAAAGAACAAATTGTCATATTTATGTCACTGTTACAAATTAAGTTAGAAATATTATTGAATAATAATATCGCAGAACTACATATGATTAGAAAAAATCAAATTTTGTCTTCCTTGTCTTTAAAATTTACGAAAAAAATGTTACGTATTTACACGGTATTCCAAGTGCATGGTCACATGATCTACAATATGAATGCATTTAAATAAAAATACTGCCAATCACACGATATAGTAGATCAAATCTAACCTTGCTAACAGTTTATCTTACTGTCATTAATCTTGCTAATCTTGTTACTTAACTGTAATTTTCTCGTAACTTTATGATATTTTGAAGACTTTGTACATAATTATGAAATAACAACGTGATAAAAACATCGAACATATTTGTTAAATCAAAACAATTTTTTCCAAATCACATTAATTTCAATCAATGCGCAAACTACTTAAAACAAATGCAAATTCTACTTTTACTTCACACACGATCATTTAATACAACAGAATACACTTAATAGAATGAATGTATTAACAAGGTTAGGTTCGATCACCTGCGTCGATAAGTTCGGAATTCTCTGTCTTATGCGCATTCATATTGCGCAATACGTAATTAAATTATTTAAGCCAAATGAAAATTTGAGTAAAAATAAAAAGTTGTATACCTTGTATAATCAACATAATAGTATTTTATCTTTATATATAATAATATAGTACCTAATATCTTATAATTGTTTTAATGTTATTTATCTTTCTGAATGATCAAATTAATCGAATAAAGAGACACGATAATGTTAAACGGAGTCCTTAGAGACTAATAGTAGTAAAAATGTTTCTTTTATTCTATGTATTCAAAATTTTATTTTGTGTACATATTGATATGTAATCGTAGTTTCTCTTTTTAAGGATACGTCCCTGCCGGCGTCTCCTCTCTCTCTCTCTCACGATACTAACGACGCCAACATTGGTCGACGGTATTGCCAGCTAGCTACCCAGTCGCGGTTTATCAGCCGAGCTGTAACAGAAAAGAGAGCGGAGGTGCACGCTTCCGAGCAATTGTCGTGCCTCCTCCGTTCACCCCAAATCTTGTCGTGATACCCGTCCTTATCCTTCATACCGAACCTATTTCAAGTAAAGGATATAAAACAAATCAAAATTACGTGTTCAAGTGTTCGTGGTCACATTTCGAGCCTATTCTTTATTGATTGACCACTCGAGTCTGTACTAAGGGATTGCGGAATTGAAAAGGGTCAAAGCAAAACTTGAAACACTAAAACCAAGAAGATGGCGGATAAAATATACTACCCCAATCAAAAACTCGTGAAGAATGCATACTGCAGCAGCATGGAGCAATACAGAAAGATGCATGAGAAGTGAGTGGTTCTATTTGAAATAGAAAATGTTCTATAGAGCTTAGTCGGTACAAGAGGGATGACAGATGGCACAGTGTAGCTCCCGACATCTCACGATTGATATTTTTCATCCCTTTTCTGTCAACTCTTTTCTGTGGTTTTGCTTTTTAAATTATAGTTTCTGTTATTACGAATCGATATTTGTTTCTAAATTTCAATGACATTTCACGATAAATATTATTTTTAATTCGAAAATTAACATTGCTACGAATCAATAACTTTAACGGGTACTTTAATCGAAAAGTTTTAAGATTTTATTACATGTCAGTTTTTGAATGAAAATTTCATATTCTAAAGTCATTTGGTATAAATAATTACAATTCTATTTGAATCGAACCTTTGTCTTCTAATAATAGATACATTATTTCATTTCAATCGAATATCATTGACAATTTATTTGAAGGAAATCTGTCTCGTATTTGTTTCTTAGATGATAATGGATTTGTTTTATGAGTTATGTAATTAAATGCAGCAGTGTTCGAGGAATTAGTACGAGACAATGAAAGAAAATGAATTGATAAATGGAAAGATATATGAATTGCAAATAATGTTAAACGTGTTTATTAAATGAATTTCCTATATGATAGTCACTGTTATTTATGAAAGCCTGATTCTAGGGCGCGATCTGTGCTGACATCTTCCAGGAACTGGTTTCAAATAGTTTTAAATAATTGAATCGAAATTTTAAATAATTTTTGACGAATTGTGAAAATGTTAACAAGGTATAATTTTTTTGTTGATTAATCTGAGAAAAACGCTCATTTTTACCGCAGTATATAAACACTGTTTGATATGTTAGTAATATCTATTAGAGTTCTCGTAAACTGTGAAAGCTGCATCAAAAATAATGTATTAAAAAAAGTTACCAAGTTCATGTTATTCTATCATATCGTGCGCACGTTTTACGTAAAATTTATGCAATAGCGTATGAATGATTTTTGAAAGTCTAATTCTTTTACATAATAATATGATAGATGTGTATTATGGAAATAGAACAATGATATCGATCCCTCTAGTAGCTTGCTATAGGAAACAAGTTCCACTCATCTCGTGGATTTGTGTGTTGAATAACTTAGAAAAGATCTTAATTTAAGTAAATCATTTTTGTTTGCAAGAAAGTTCTTCGTTATGTCAAGTTATAATATTTAATTATGTTCTTATAAAATAGAATGATATTTTTTTTATCAACTCAGTAATAACTAAATATTAAATAAATTTCCATTCCATAATGAAATATTCTTTTTTTTTTCTTTAACATTTCTTACATGGACTTAACACCTCACTTATCTCTACTCAAATGAATGATTCATTTGTCGCTATTTTCATACAATATTAATCGATTATTCTTTCAATAATATTTTACATCAATTAATGAGCAAAAAAGGTTTTATTTTTACCTTTTCTAATAAATTCAGTTAAAACAAAATTTTAATTAAGTTCTAATTGAGCTTTATATGGTGCCTGGATAACCTATGACCTATTATAATCATCACAGAAAGGATTGTGGTTGAAGTTAGTAACAAATTTGATTCCAAATTTAAAGAATTTAATCGAAGAATTAAATTTTTGTATTAAATTTAGTTTATTTCAATTTAATTTAATTTTTTAGATTTTTAATTTCTTTAGTATTTCATTATTAGAAATTTCATTATTTTGTTATTTTTTCTTTAACATTTAGATCAATACCTTTTCTTGCATATTTTATTTCCTTATACAAAGAAAACATTATTCATTTATCACAGCAATATCAATCATTTCTTGCCTAATAACATATCATACAAATTATCGCAAACATTCGCCATGAAAAATACAATACAATCGATCTATCGAATGCGTATTATTCATGACATCTCTTTAACGGTATTAAAGAAATTGTTTTCGAATTCCACAACTGTTTGTTTTTCAGATCCGTGAATAATCCGCCGGAATTCTGGGGCGAAATTGCAAAAGAATTTTATTGGGAAACACCGGTGTTGGAAGATAAGTTCCATTCCTATAATTTCGACCTGAGTAAGGGCGATATTTTCATAAAATGGTTGGAGGGTGCATCCACGAACATAAGTTTCAATTTGTTGGATAAAAATGTGAAGAGTGGAAACGGTGACAAGATTGCATTTTATTGGTAAGAAACTGGGTTTCCTTCTGTTATTCAAATATCATTTAATGCGCTCGCAGAAATTCAAATTGTTATGAAATCAGAAGTACATCCAACTGTTTCGAATAACTGATACACAGGAATGTATGATAAGTTCGTCTGAGAGTAAGGAATGATAAAAATAATTCACGAATACATTTGTTTTTCTTTGTTCTGGAAAATTATTATGGAAAAATATAGTGCAAGTACTTGGATTATCTTAGCTTATTAGTAAAAACATTGACTTATCGTTAGTATGAATTCAGTTAATGTTTGACGATTCGTATTACGTAATCACTATTTTAAAATACATTATGCGTTTTATGAAAATTAATTTCAGGACACATCTTATTTTTCCGACATTATTATTTAATAATATCTATGGAATTGGCATAGAAATATATTATCCGAAAATCTCTTCTTTCTTTGTATTATTTTATTTCTTTGTCATATATCTGTCAATGTTATATACCTTTTTTGAAATTCTGAATTCTTAACCGTTGTTTTCAAAACATTTTCAGTTAAATCCAAAAGAATTCTGAACCGGTATTCCATGAGAAATTCACGTATTTAATTACATAAATTTCCTATTCGTACATGCAAATTAAAGTCACTAACGTTTTTCATTTTTAGGCAAATATAAAAAAAATCTCTCTTGTGCACGGACAAGGCACTACTGGAGTTAGGTTATTATAGATCTAGCTAGCTCGTGCGCTTATTGTTGAAAGATAAAAGATTACGCGTGCATGCTTTTACATTCACCAGAGACTTTCATTCCACACGTGGATCTACTTAGTAACTCTCTGAGATAAATAACTTAAATATAATTATCTAAAGCGCTCCTTTGAAAGGCACTGCTTTCAGAGCTTCATTGCTATGCAAGATATACCGCTGTTTATAGACGCAAGTCATTCAAGTGTTGCATAAATGATACAATTTTTTCTTCGCTTTTATTGTAGTATTACACGTCATATTTGGACAAGGTTTGGAAAGTGTCTGGTGAAATTGCTGACTGAACAGACCATTTCTTTAGCGTCCTCTTTTCTGCTTCTAGTTCAACTATTTCTTTAAATATTTTTCACCATTTTTGTACAGGTACATTTTTCATTGCCTCTGAAACAAATTATTTGCCATTTAATACCGGTATCTTTTCTAATCTCGTTTCTTTTGCATTTAATATCGGTCAATAGTTCAAAGAAAAACATTTTTATGACTCTATTTATTCTCTATAATCTTTCTATAATTTTTCTATCTCAAATATTTCTTATTTCTTTTATTTCTTTTCAGTAAAAATAATATTTAATGTGATTATCCCGCTCTAACTTCAGATAGAAAATAAAATATAAATATTTCTTTAATTATGTATTTTTAGTGTTATATTATTTTATTGTTATATTTTCATTATTATTATTTTTCTTTTTTTTCAAATTAAAGTGTATCACAAACATATATTGACAATAATAATGTATTAAGAGAAATATATATTTATTTCTGTGAAGATCCAAACGCATGATATTAAATATATTTCGGTACGTTATGATTTTCTAGTTTTCTAGTCATATCTTTTCAGGAAGAAAACGACAGCAAAAGAATTCGTAAAGAAATCCTATGCTTACACGATCAATCTATGAATCAAGCAAGTTGCTTTTTCTATTCGATCGTTTGCCCCTGTCTTGCGATGTTCTCCTATTCGTTTAAAATTTGGCACAAAGCCAGCGGTTGTTTCCTGATTGGTCACATGCACGTGGTCCGATCGAGTTTGCTCACGTGACTGTACAATGTTCCTCTGATACGACTCTTCAAACACGACTGGTTTACAAAAATTAAAGTTCGCGCGTATAACACAGTTCTTTTGCCATTCATTAGTGCCATCAAAAAAACAATTGAACGAGGAAAAACGTACAAAATTTATTTCATCCATGATATAAAAACTTTACACTTCCATAATTTTTATATAATGCTAGAATATATTACCATATGTAATACTTATCGCAACTCTCATGTTTTTAATTTTTGAAATATTTGCTAATTTTTTAAACTTATTGTAGGTATCATCATTTTAATTACCCAAATTATAATTTTAAGATTTATATATAAAATATTAAGAAAAATTGTAAAAAAGGTAGTACTGAATTATAGTATTGAATTATACATTAGAAGTATTGAATTATAAATTAAAGTACCACCAAAACAGATCATAGATATAGGAAAAAGGTATGTTAATCTAAACCAAAATTTACTATATATATTACTTATCATAAATTCCACTTTTGTGATTATCAAAAGATTTGCTCATTTTTTACATTGTACTAATAACGTGTAATTAATGTTAAGAAAATTTGCGAGAGTAACATAAAAAGATACCCAATTATGATTTAATGATGAATCAAAGCAGCATCAAAGCAGTATGGAAAATTGGAAAATTAATATTCTATTAATATAGAACAAGATCTAAAATATCCAAATACGACGATAAATAAGTATATTTTTATCGATTTTTAAATCCAGAACGTTATCAGTCTAGTTAGTGAAGGGATAAAGATAACACATTTTATACAACTAGCCGTTACGATTTTCGTATTATCAAACATTATTTACTAAATCACGCCAGGCTCTTAATGATTTACTTTTTAGGAGTATAAATAGATCGATATGTATAACTGGTATGTTGATCTTGGTCTTACGAATAGTGAACGAACAAGTACTCTACAAATGATATTATATAAAGAGGAGATAAACATGCATTTTTACATTCGAACTCTCGCTTTAAACTTGCTAAACATTATTATCCATTCAATGCAGTAGATGTAAATCTTAGTCAAAGATTATTTGCGTATGAAACGATGTTTCAACTGATGAAAAGGACTCTGGATTATTTAAAAATGAATTTATTCAGGGAGAAACTTCGTTTCCCATCGTCACGTAAGATGCATGTAAAAATTTGTATAGCTGTTTCTGTTATATTGATTTGATTATTCTGAAACTGAATTCAATGACAAATATCTAAAAAAGATACATATGAAAATATTCCAAATCGTATATATTTAAGGATATGAAATTTGAACTTTAAATTTACTTCCCAAATAGTAATTCAAAAATTTTGAATAATTAGCATAACTAAGGAACACGTGAATTAATGAGAAGTTTACTGATTCATGCCAGTGATACGTTAACATTATCATGATAGTCACGACAATTATCTAGAAATATTTAACTCGATCATAAAACGTCGAACAATGAGATCAAACGGAAATTAATTGGATTATGTAATTCTGTTTCAGGGAGGGCAACGATCCCGATGATTATTCGCGGTTGACATACAGAAAATTACTGGAGGAAGTATGCAGATTCGCGAATGTTTTGAAATCAAAGGGAGTGACGAAAGGAGACCGTGTTGCGATTTACATGCCGATGATACTAGAATTGCCCATTGCCATGCTCGCGTGTACCAGAATTGGCGCTGTTCATAGCGTAGTGGTAAATAATTTTTGATCCAAATAGTTATCGATCTTATAGACATTTAAAATATGAATGAAAATATAACGCAATGATTAGTTTTATTAAGCAATGAGTTGTAAAGTATATTTTTATCATAATTTAATAAAAATTTATTTTGTTTAGATATAGCTATATTATTCTGGTGTAATTAAATTTAAGTAATAAAAGATAGAGTGCTTAGTAAACAAGAGTTCAAAATATTTTTTATTTTTTATCATTAGAATATATCTTATCAAATATATGTATAACAATATGTGCTGAATCATGTTTCTTTAAATGGGATAAGTATATATATTGTCATCTTCGACAGAATTGTTTTGGTCGATATTTTTATGTAGATATTTTGGGTTATTGATATTGTAGAAAAAACATGTTAATACCTTTTAAATTAAATAATAATTAATAACTTCTAAAAAATAGAATCGCTTATAGTGTATATTAAATATTTTTTTATTATATATTGTATATTTAATTAGTTTGGAGGCTACTCTTCTGATTCGCTGGCAGAACGCATCTTGGATTCGAAAGCGAAAGTTTTAATTACGACCGATGGTGTATGGAGAGGCGAAAAACTTCTATTTTTGAAGACTATCTGTGATGAAGCTTTGGACAAAGTTAAAAAGAACGGCCACGTGGTTGAATGGTGCATAGTAGTAGCACACCTTAGAAGGCTGAGTAATCCACAGGGTACTAGATCAGATGCAACAGGTATTCAGAAAAGAACTTATTTAATAATCAAAAAATTAATTTAGGCTGCAAAATCTAGATATAAATACAGCTTAAAAATACTCCAATTATTTCTTTACACATTTTCTTGAAATTGAAAAATAATCATTTTTACATATAATTAATGTAAGTAAAAAGAAAGAAAAGAGTAAGAAGTAGTTTTTTTGAACTTTTTAAAGGAAAAATAAATGGTGTAAACGGTGAGGGAAATGGCTTTGATCTACCACAAATTCCATGGGATGACGATCGTGATGCTTGGTGGCATGACGAAATGGAAGAAGTTGAGGACAAATGTTATCCCGTATGGATGAATGCAGAAGATCCACTTTTTATTTTATACACAAGGTAAATTTCCGAATAAAATGTTTGTCTCTTATTTTTTTTTTTTTTAGTATATATATGCATAAATTTGGAATGTTTTTCTTCATAGTGGCTCAACAGGGAAACCAAAAGGTGTCTTACATACTACAGCTGGTTACCTAATCTACGCAGCTACAACGTTTAAGTACGTGTTTGATTATCATCCTGGTGATGTGTACTGGTGTACAGCAGACGTTGGTTGGATCACTGGTCATACATATGTTGTATATGGTCCACTGGCAAATGGAGCCACATCAATTATTGTAGGTTCAAAAAAATTTATTTTTCTTTAATTAGTAATAATGATTCATGATATACTAAGAAACCTATTTTGAAAATTTACAATCTATAGTTTGAAGGAACACCGTTCTATCCAGGGAACGATCGATACTGGGCAGTCATCGACAAGTATAAAGTCACGCAATTTTATACTGCACCGACTGCAATTAGATCGCTTATGAAGTTTGGAGATGAATTAGTGAAGAAACACAATTTATCTACTTTAAAAGTAAGTCAAAATGTCAAAAAATCCTAGATATTTAAAAATTATACTTTTGTCCAAAATAATATGTATTTTATTTATATATATTAATCTTTATATAATGTTTGTACTAGCAGCATTGAAGTTATAAAATAATTCATGTTTTTTTTAGGTTTTGGGTTCTGTTGGAGAGCCAATAAATCCTGAAGCGTGGCTTTGGTTTTATAATATTGTTGGTCATGGGAAATGCAGTATATCGGACACGTTTTGGCAAACGGAAACCGGTGGTCATGTAATCACTCCCCTTCCTGGTGCTACGCCAATGAAACCGGGTTCTGCAGTAAGTTTCTATTATATATTTCTTATTATCAACTCGATAAATAACGCAATTAATACATTTATTATTTTTCTTGCTAGACGTTCCCATTCTTTGGGGTCTTACCAGAAATTTTGGACGAAGATGGTCGATTAATTGAAGGTGAAGGTGAGGGATACTTAGTTTTCCGTCAACCTTGGCCAGGGATGATGAGATCTCTCTATGGAAATCATCAACGCTTCCAAAATACATATTTCGATAGATTTCATGGATATTATTGCACGGGAGATGGTAAGTTGATAAACTTGAACTTCAAATTTGATAACTAGAGATTGGGTTGAAATAAAGAATTATTTAGCTAACGGATTTCTGAAATTAAGACCAGCATATTTTGCGTCTTTTCCAAGTTCCTCTTCGATTCTTAATATCTGGTTATACTTGGCAGTTCTTTCGCTTCTACAAGGCGCCCCAGCTTTAAATTGTCCAGCAGATAATCCTATAGCAAAATCAGCTACAAAATTATCTTCAGTTTCTCCTTCACAAGCTGTCACAATATATCCCCAGTTACTGATTCTCGCTATTTTTGCACAGTTAATTGCCTCCGTTACGGTTCCAACTTGGGAGAGTCTCAGTACGAGAGCGTTAGCCATTTGTCTTTCAATAGCTTCCTCAATTCGATCAATATTCATCGCTGTTAAATCATCAGAAACAATTTGAATATCTTGATCAGCTAATGTGAGCCAACCTTCCCAATCTTCTTGGTCGAATGGATCTTCGATCGAGACAAGAGATGGAAATTCTGTAAAATATTCTAAATATTGATCTTTCAGTGCTTCTGCCTCCATATATTCGTCAGGATCAGAATCTTCTGTTTTAAATGCTAAATCATATCCTCCTATTACAAAAAACATATGTTATATTTTATTTTAATCAATTTTGTTCAATCTTATTAAGTTATTATGTAGCTTCAGTTATCGTATACTACAGCCTTTATAAATTTTATTAACCTTCTTTGTAAAAGGCACTGGCTGCCATGTCTATTCCTATCTTAATTTTTCCCTCATATCCTGCCTCCTTAATTGATTCATCTAATAATAATAAAGCCTCTTTATCTTCCTCCAATTCTAAGGGTGTAAATGCACCTTCGTCGCTGACTGGAAGGGGTAACTGAATTTCTTGAGCAGTTGCAATCTTCTGTTCGAGTACTCTATATACTTCGGTACCCATTTTCATAGCATCAGCAAAACTTTCAGCTCCTAGTAATTTATAAGATGAAAGATGTACCCAGCAAGATAGAATATTAATCAAAAGACAAAATATAAAATGATAAGAAAGTAAGGATACCTATAGGCAAAATCATAAATTCTTGACATGGTATTGTATTATTAGCATGCCTGCCTCCACTAATCATGTTGAAACTGGGAACAGGTATATAAAGTTCTCCATTTTCCGCTAATTCTGCAATATATCTACAAAACAGGAAAGAAATCGTATTTAGAGCTGTATGTGGATTAAATCCTTTAATCTTTATTCGTTTAGGATCTTTTGATATGTTTACTTTTCGTATGAAAATTATTAAGTTTTATGAAATTTTAAAATCAAATAAAAAAATATCTTGTGATATTTAATTAAAGAGAAATAATGTTTGTACTTAGCCGTACCAGCTTCTTTCAAATCTATTTAATGTGAATAATGCATTAGGAAATATATTCTCTTAATTATTATTCTCTAGAAGTTACCTGTAAACTGGAAGGCCTTTTTTCGCGGCGCCAGCTTTACAGCAGGCTATGGAGACACCAAGGATTGCATTCGCACCTAATTTCGATTTATTCTCAGTACCATCTAAACGGTTTAATAAACTATCTATCTCCATTTGTTGGCAAGCTTCTAATCTCGATTTCAGAAGTTGAGGTGCAATTACATTATTGACCATGTCAACAGCTCTAAATACTGAACGTCCATGATACATAGCTTCATTTCCATCCCTTAGTTCTTGTGCCTGATTAGGGTTTGGTACCAGAACAGACGGTACCGAAGATCTCAATAATCCAACATCTGTAATTATATCTACTTCCAAAGTTGGATCACCTCTGGAATCAAAAATTTGACGAGCTTTAACCTTCTGTATAGGCATCGTGTATTCCCTTATAAATTCGTTTGTAAATAATTATAATAATTATTAAGTCAGGATATGTCTTTTTTATCAAAAAGGAATTGGAAAGACTTTAATATGGCTAATGGAGTTGCATTATTGCTATTGAGAATTTTTTAATGAGAGCTTTTGTGAATTAAACCATGGTTATAGCCATTTTGGATAAAACAACTGAGGTTCTACACATGTATACTTCTTTTCTTATATTTTTTTAAGATGAATTGGAACAATATTTATTTCTTCTTTATTATATAGAGAATAAAGAAGTATTTCTTTTTCTTTTTTTAGTTTTCAAGTAGAATTATAATGTGAGAATTGTAATATTTTATTCGTATATAGAATGAAATATATGCAATTTTATTTGAAAATATATATGTGCTAATAAGTACGTATTTTCTAGTTTATATTAAATATAGATATACATTTAATTTCAGGCGCTAGGCGTGATGCAGATGGTTATCTGTGGATAACCGGTCGTATTGATGATATGTTAAATGTTTCTGGTCATCTTATGTCTACAGCAGAAGTAGAAAGCGTATTAACTGAACATTTCTCAGTATCTGAAGCTGCAGTAGTTAGTAAGCCACATCCAGTAAAAGGTCAATGCCTTTATTGCTTTGTCACACCCAATGAGGGTGCTAAATTTGACAAAAAACTACAAGATGAACTTAAAAAGAGAGGTAAACATAAATGTATAATTAGCTTTTAAATATCTAAAGATTTCAAAAGCATATACAATTAAGTTATGTAAATTATTAGTAAAATATTTTTTTTATAAATTGTGTGTTATTTTTAGTGCGTGAACGAATCGGTCCATTTGCACAACCGGATATCATTCAACATGCGCCAGGACTACCAAAAACTCGATCGGGCAAAATCATGAGACGTATACTTAGGAAAATCGCAGCAGGAGATAAAAATGTCGGTGATGTATCAACGTTAGCCGATGAGAGTATCGTCGATATTCTTTTCCAACTGAGGCCGCAAGTTTAAGCAAATTTTCCATATTGGTGTAGCGACCTTCGGTGGAAACATAGTAGCTTAGAAATGAATGATAACGACACGCTTCCGGTGACCGATAAAAATATAAGACTTTCGAGTTATAGCTATCGAAAAAAATACTGCGAGAACTTATCATTAGAACACAAAGGACAGCTACAGGGAGAGTAATTTTTATCATGAGAGACAGATCAGTTTTTAAAGTAGCATCTTAAACCAAAAACTTCTGTTCTATACATTAGAATCCTTTCCCTCTTATTAATAGTTATTATTTATAGTACTATTTATCGATTATTTCATAGACAATTATTATGCAATAATAGTTAATACTTTCAGCCCAATATTGTCGGTAGCATCTATGTCGGTAGCATCTATTTCTTGAAACAGAATGTTTTATAAATTACAATTTATTTATTACTTAGCAATGATATGATTATTTAAGTGAGTTAATTATATTTTTATTACCTCGAAAAACAACTACATGTTACAAAAAAAAAAAAAACTAAAACTGTTACATAACTATAAAAAACAAGATAATTATTAAGAATGTAAAATGAAAATATGTTTCAGAATCATAAAAGACCTGAAATGTTGGTAAATCTATTTACGGTTTTTCAGAAATCGATTATAAATATATTAATTGTTGTGCACCAATCGACAGCATAGCAGCAATATTTTATGAATATAAGCGATATCAAAAATCGAAAGATGTACAATTCTTTGTCATTGTTGAAAACTTTTATAATGTACACTTTCATGGTGCACATGTTTAAACGATTTGTCTACATTAAATAATATGAAAGTATCTTGAAAGCTTTTGAAAAGTTTACAAAAATTAATTGTAATTATATATTATATGTGTATATATTGAACGGTAACGCTAAATTATTTTACGATAGCATAATTTTCGGAATATGTTATGACATAAAAATTCTGTTTATTCTTGTTTAAAGATGTAGCCAGTTCTAAATCATTTTAAATCTCATAAAGTTGTTTTTAGTTTTGTTTATTTTATTTATTATCTTGTTAGGTTCTGAATGACTTCCGACAACGACAACGCTTATATAGTTCGGATTTACTTGTCTTGTTAGCATTACAGAGAAACTTATCGACAACTGAAAGTACGAATGTGGTTATGAAAGTATGACAGTCTACGTCATATTTAAAGAAATACTGTATAAAAAATTGCAAGTCCATTAGCTATAATGTAAAATTTTTTGCTCACAATTTCGATTTTCCTTAAATACATGTGAAAAATAACTTTATAAAAAAAAAAAAAATTAGTGAAAAGTTATAGAAACAAACTATTTTATTTTGGCGAAATATTTTTTTTACGATGATTTTCTGTTCCTCTTCGAGAAACAGAAGACCTAAGTATACGCACGATTATTAACGCACTTTGCGAAAGAAAGTTGGCATTTTCCGTAATTTTTTAGAAGGCTGGTTTTATAATTGTTATACTATATGTAAAATGAGTCTAACAAAACGTTGCCTCGTGTCCTCTAATAGGGGCATGTCACATGCATATCATTCCTCGCGGAACAAATTAACTATAGGTGTGAAAAATCTATATGTAAATATATCTATGTTGAAAAACATAATTATTATTGGTCTGTTAAATTAAATTGTTGTATTGATTTAATCACCTTACCTTCTCGTAGCTATCAAATATTCAACACTTATCGACTGAGTAATATCATGTACAAACTCTTTCAAATTTTAAAAACAGTTCCAAAATTTTTAATAAAAATTGAACCATGCGATATATATTTTTTTTTTATTCGTTCAATATATTATTAATCTTACTAAATTCGTAAGTTCTAAAACGAAATAATAATAGTTAAAGTTTAGTGTAATATATTTTGTTTATGTTTAATCTTAAGTTGAAGAATGTTCAATGAATTGAAAGGTTATCAAAGCACTAATTCAAGTTCTATGCTTATCAAAGAATCATTGTGTGAATCAGAATTTCTGCGAACCGGGTCGCCACTGTCGCTTTCATTCGCAATTCAGTGACGAGAGAACACTTTTTAAAACCAGCTGACAAGATATTACGTCAGTTAGTCTGCAGCCGTTGCCATTGTGCGTACGACGTTAGTTTCGTTGGTTATGACGATACGTTAAACTCGTAATTTCTTTTTGACTATTTCAAATACTTTATTAAATCATGTCTGTCATTGATGAATATTACATAGTCGTCCTTCGATTAGTGAAGGAAGCCGGTTCGGTAAGTGACATTTTCTTTCATGAAATTGAGAAAAGTAGCCGGGCAACTTCTTTTATGTTTCGAGTTATTCTTGGCCGATAAGGGACTACATTTATTGATTTTATACGCAGGTTCAGATTTCAATCAAGTTATTAATCAACAAGCACATTGCTTTCATTCTACATATAAGTTGTTCTGTCTGATGTTATTTCATATAATACGAATGTGATATCGTTTGATATTCAATGATGAATTTTAGTAACTATTTTGAAATAATTTTGACATGCTGTTAATCCTGGTATAAAATTGATCGATGCATTGATGATTTAATGCAAAGAATTATCTTTTTATATATGTATATATAAATACTGTGTGTCGCTTGTCAATTTTTCAAGATAGATAAATAATGTTGCTAATTCATAGACGTAAGCGTGTATTTGTTTGGCTTTCAAGCAACAGATTCATTGAATTGGATGAAGTGTCATCTCTGTTATGTTTCATATTATGGTAATTCTGTACGGCTTCTATAATTTATAACCTATAATTTTTAATGCTCATATTATAAATTAAAATGTATCTATAAAATCACATTCCCAATTCAACGTTTCACTTATTTTTATCTTTCAAATAAATAGACTTAGGTACATAATATTTAATCATTATTTAAATATGATAAGATAAGTATAGGAAAATTTGTCACAGAACTATTGCCTAGTCATAATTTTGTTTATAAGAAAATATTTGCGATTTTTTATGTATCTATTCTTACAACAAATATTTTATTATAAAAATGCTTCTAATAAAGTAGATTTAATTTTAGATATTCCTTTACTTGAATTCTTTCATTGATTTAAATACATAACAAGATTTAACAAATATAAGTGCTGTATCAGTAATAATAATAATTACTTTTTAATTCTAAAAGACGCTAATGTAAAAACTCATGTTATTTTATTAATACTGACACCTCTAACTCCGTAATTAAGAACTACTCGACAATTTGCTTAAGTAAAATCACAATTTATTTTATTCACGGACTTTGTAGATCGTGAGAGAAAAAATTAATCAACCTAAGGATGCAATGATGAAATCTTCCGAAGTCGATCTCGTCACTGAATGGGATCAAAAAGTCGAAAATCTGTTGATGCAGGGAATATCATCCAAATTCCCAGATCATAAGTACATTTACTATATGTTCAATAATATGTCATTTAATATTCATGTTTCATTATTATATATGTAAATATACATTTCGAACTATTTTATTTGAAATATTTGAGTTGATAGATCTCTTCGATACAAATTTAGTTAAAAATATTTTGCAACCTTTTAACTTTATTTTACATCTTAATAATTTCTTTAAGTCCTTAATAAAATTTTTAAGTCGAAGTCAATTTAAATTATTAATATAAAATCTCGACTAATTTTTTTTTTATTATAAATTGCTCTCCGTTAAATTAGAAAAAATAATGAATTCAACAGATTTCTATTTAACCCTGTCTAATCAAGCATTTGACACGCTGTATTCTTTCTCAACTTATTATATGTGTCTCGAATAAGTTGCATAGGATCAGATCTACCACGAAGGAATTCGCCATGGTCAATGGAATTTTCCATTCGCAGAACTAATGTAGAGTGTCTCAAACCTTTATTTAATATATTTTTTCCCTCTACAGAATAAGACAATAAAATTTCTTTTCATGAAATAAATTAAGATTCATTTCAATATTCATTTAGAAATAAAATTAAGAGAAATTTTATTGTAAATTTTGTGATTAGCAATATTATTTGTAATATAAAATTTTAATAATAACAATATCGAGTTTCTAGTAAAAAATTATATTTTTGCAGATTTATTGGTGAAGAGACGAGTGCACTTGGGACTAAAGTTGAACTCACGGATGCTCCAACATGGATCATTGATCCGATCGACGGCACGATGAACTTCGTGCACAGTTTGCCCCATACTTGTATATCAATTGCACTACTTATTAACAAAACCACAGAAATTGGTATAGTTTATAATCCAATTTTAGAACAATTGTTCACTGCACGTAGAGGTCAGGGTGCATTTCTAAATGGAGCCCCTATTCAAGTTTCGGGGGAAAAAGGTGACAAAAATTAGTAGATTCTTGTATTATAAGTAGAAATCATTTTTGAACCTTCTTTAGTAGAAAATGTATTAAATACTTTAATTATTTTGAATATTTCATTTGCATCTTTCCCTTAAAATTTCTTTTTTCGCAGAATTACGTAAAGCGCTTGTAATGATGGAAATGGGTACAAGCAGAGATCCAGAAAAAGTGAAAATTGTATTGGAGAATGCAAACAACCTCACTCCACTAGTTCATGGGTAGATTATATACTTATTTCTATCTTTTATTTTTTTTAATTTATTCTATATAAACTTGAATATTTATTTATATTACATATTCTTTTAGAATACGAGCCTTAGGATCTGCAGCTCTAAATATGTGTATGGTTGCTTTTGGTGGAGCGGATATTTCTTTCGAGTTTGGTATCCACGTTTGGGATATCGCAGCTGGTGATATCATCGTAAGAGAAGCTGGTGGAGTGTGCATAGATCCAGCAGGTAATTTGATATATACATATTTCCATTTTGGTTAATATTATTCTAAAATATTTTTGTTCACAAAGAACATTCCTATTTATTTATGATATTTAATATTGTGTAATTCTAACGATATGTTGAAACTAAAACTGTTTTTGCTTTTTCTTTACATGTATATTTTGTTCCTAGGCGGACCATTTGATATAATGAGTAGAAGAGCCTTATGTGCGTCAACAATGGAGTTGGCACAAGAATTAGCCAAAGTATTAGTTCAGTATTACCCTGAACGTGATTAAAGATTATATGGAAAGTAACATAAAGAGATACCTTCAAAAAGGGACCTTGTTATACACGTGAATTACGTACATGTTTCATGTATATAAAATTCTGTATTACATGCATTTTTCTTTTGATAAGATTAAGTTTTGATAGTAAAACACAAATCATGGTGTTATCATTGAATTTATAAGCATTTAAATTTATGAATCAAAACAGACATAGCTATTTCAAAATCTATTTATTATGGTACTTACATGGATGTTTAAGATAAAAATCGTAATATGTTTAAAATATGAATTTTTTGTTTGACGTAAATTACATGTACATTTGGTAAATAATAAATAACAATATTGTACATTAAAATAAAAGGTATATGAATGCTAATGTAATATGGCTTTTATTTAAATATAATGTGGTAATAAATTTAATTGTACCACTATACAAAAGTATAATTTATTCTCATAATTATTCTCGTCTTATATGCTTTACAGCTTATTTGTTGTATTAAAATTATTTTCACGAATTATTTTTTTTTTAATAACCTGAAAACTGAAAGCCGCAAATATTAGTATTATGTTTCTTTTAATATCACCTATACTTACACAATAATAAACACAAAAATTACATTCAATTTATTCACAGAATATTTTAAAAAATTTGACGCAATTTTCATTCTTTTGTACATATATACCTTACCTGTTCAGATACTTACGCTTTTGTTTATCTCAACGAAATTTTATGACAAACCTTCCTGTTGATATAAATTTATATTATACATTTGGTGATCCTTTTTGCGATAGACATCATATTTATACAGTTGCCAAGCTGCTGCTGAGAGAATCTCACCCCATTTTCCTTCATCATCACGTTTTCCACCAACTGATTTCATCTCTTCCTTTGCCTCCCCTCCTCACAGGGAGGGCTACAAGTGAAACATTACCAAATAGCCAATTAGAAAACTATCAGTTAGTCTAAGTTTTTGTGTATTCATTTTATTTCTGTATTGAAATGTGCCCGAAACATCTAGCTTCCCCTTTTTATTATTTAAATTGAGCAAAATCATCTCTTTTAATCCCTTACATTATCAAAAAAGACTAAAATATTTATGTTTTAGGTAAAATAATACTAAAATAATGAAATTTTAATATCTAACTTTTTGTTAATTATCTTTAGAAATATAATTTTGCAATTATACGGTAAAATAATGTATATAATGATTTAAATACGTGCAAAACAAATTTAATCTGCTGAGAATAAAACATAAAGGATGCCCGTTTGAATAACTTGACTTTGTTTTACGATACAATTATGCAGGTATTGATTTGCAATATTATGTCGTTTAATGAGAAACGGATATGCTAAATATCCCATAAGGCAGTCCCCCATGAATACCTTGCAACGGGATCGGCGTTAAAAGCCCATGAAAGGTCCACCCGCACTTATCGATGATTTGAATCGAAGACTCATATCTGAAACATAAGCAATCTCGTACAATATTGTCACATAAAAACCATGTATACCATGAACCATTCAAACAGCATTGACGTTCTGGCGTATCTTATAAATATTAAATAACGCAATATTAAATAAAAGAGGAAAAGAAAACTTTACGAAGCTAACGATACAAAATCGCAAGCTACTATGATGAGTCTGTTGAAATGAAATATAAATTTTTATATTTCTATGTGACTACATGTTAATGTTAAGCAGTAAATAATTTTCGTTCTATGTAATGCAATTCGAAATTTCTATTTCTCAGTGCAAATATATACATTATTTTTTCATATTCCTTTACATCAATGACTAAATAAATGCGAGTTGTCAGATGTGAAAACGATTATTTGTAATACTAACAGTCGATGGTGATCGAGTGTTAACACAATAACTTATTTTTCCAGCACTTCCTGAAATTACAAGTTGTCTACCTAACGTTTCGTTACTAGATAAAAAAGAGATTACAGTCGATTTGTTTTTCTTTATATATAATTATTTATGGAAATACGTTGCGTACACGTGCCTCTATAATTACGCACGAGCGCGCGATTAAGACTGAAAATATAAAATACAGGGCTTGTTTCTCATTCTGATAAGCATGTGTCGTTTTATTTCAATAACCTACTTACTATACAATTTGTATCTTCCTTGTCAGTACAAGTTTCCTTGTTACTAGACTTCGATGCCGTTCGTGCATTTGCGCACGACGACACAGAAGAACAAAAAAAGTTCTGTGTTCGTGAACTATACGATCAAATTCGTAAAAGTTTTACAATTTCGCAAACACGGAATTCTTCGTCGCGAATGTAACGCATTATCATTCATTTGTGATATAATAATTTATTACGAGTTATCATTTGTTAAAGGAATTCGCGCCTTGAAATTCGAAAGATTGAGAAAAAGAAAAATACTATGTACCACCATTATGCTAAGTATCGATGGCCAGTTCATGCTGAAAGAGGCGGTCACTTCTCCCAGTTTTCATTTTCATCCACGGAAGAATATCGATTAACCACGTATATTCATCAGGCCTCTTCTTTTAGTATTCATCATGTTGGATTTATTATTTTATAGCTGCTGTGCATAAAGAAAGAAAAGAAATAAACCAAATCTAAGCTGTTTCTATTGCAAAAAAAATTGACACGAAAAAGAGATTTTTACGCCCTTTGATACACTACACTGTTCCGAGCTGAGTACAAACATGTTGTTTTTATGATCGTCGATAAATGCATCAACGGTGAACTCCAACATTTTATTCATCGTTTGTAGTGGTTATTAATTAATATAAAAATATTGCACTCTATTGACCTGCAATAGTTATCATTAATTAAATAATGCAATTCAGATTGATAGAGCACAATATGTGATTTAAATAATTTTTCGTTCCTCTCGTTATGTACGTATTTGTGTCTTGAAAATATTCTCTTGCTTTACTCGTATAGAGTGAATGAAAAAAAATTTTGCGCCGCCTCTTTCTGCTAAAACGGATATACGACATTCGATATAAGGAGACACCGCACTATGTTAGTAATGCTTTTATGATGTACAACGAATCGTTAGCGGTGTCGTTTCAAACATTCTTTTGCAAAGTTACGTCAATGAATTCTCCGATGTGGAAGGACCCCGGGCAGGGTTACCTAGATCTTTTCTTGTATAAATGGATGCGCCAGAGCGTGGTTCACAGTGATTCTCTTTCCTGCATCCAACATCAATGTTCGTTCCAAAAGATCCTTTAGCTGTCCAACTTTTCGACTTTGTTCTGGTGGTAAAGAATTTCCACCTAATTCTGCGCTTAGATCACGAGTGGCAGGTAACGTAGACATCACTACAACTTTCTCCTAAAAATATAGGTGTTAGCAATTTTATCATCAACATGTTTAATTAAAAATATATATTGCCATTAGATCACTTACCACACGGCAAAAGAACAAGGTCGGAAAGAACAGTAGAAAGACAACTTACCCGTTCCGTGACCTTATCAACTTCATGATACAGGAAATTGCAGTTAGAGTCAAAATGTAGGTCCTTGAATGTGCCTTTCCTAATCAGCTTATTAGGCATTTTGCCTTTTAAGTCCATGAAGAATTTCAACATTTGGTTGTTCGTTTTGCCCGAGAACATTATTTTTCCCGTGTATAATTCGTATATGGTGCATCCCACAGACCACATGTCAATGCCGAAATCATATGGTATACCAAGAACTAGAAAATGTCAATGTTACTTGCACAATACGTGATAATTATTATTAAATCTCTATAACAGTGGAGATCTCCCCAATGTAGGTTCGATCAATGTATTAGAGCTGTCACATAGAATTGCTATTAATGTTTTACAAAACAATGCGACTAATATAATCTAGCCGCTATAAAATTTCATCTGTTCGTATCTAATACGTACAGTATTTTCAAATCGTTCATGCCATGTTTTAAAGGGCATATTATTGCACGGCTATTAAAAGCTGGTTTAAAGTAGAAGAGTGATGAGTAAACAAAAATTAATCTCTTGAGTTTTAATGTCAATGTGAGCTTTTAATTAAGAAAGATAAAGATATAAAAAGAAAAATATATATACATATACATACACACACAAATATAAATAACCCAAGAGATTAGTAAAGTGTAAATACATATTTATTTTGCAATAAAAATAAACAATACTCACTAATTTCAGGTGCTCGGTAAAATCTTGATACCAAATACGGTGTTATCTCATTTTCATGAGCATGGGACGCTGAGCCGAAATCACAGAGTTTCAGTACTAACTTGCTTTCACTGACTAGAATGTTATCCGGTTTAATGTCAGCATGTAGAATATTTGCACGTTTTAATAACTTGAGAGCAAGGAAAAGTTGTTGCGTATACGACCTTACCGCTTTAACATGTAAACCAACGTCTTTTCCATATTTTTTTAATACCTAAATAAATTTTATTATATAATTATTATAATACTAAATACATTAATATGATATACACTAACCTCTCTTAAATTCATAGCCAAAGGTTCAAACACCATACATAGGTGATTTTTATGAAAGAAGTGCCTAAAAAGTCGCAAACAATGAAATCTGTCTTCTGGATCTGCATCATTAAGTTTTCTAAGAATTTCTAATTCTTTAAGGCCAGTTTTGTGCCTAAAGAAAGAAAAAAATGTTGATGATTTTCAATAAAGCAAAAAGATATGATTTTATATGATTGCAATATTATATGGTATACTTACATTATTTCATTGTTCCTTATAATTTTCACAGCAACATCTAAATTGCCCCTAGCAGTATCTCTAGCTCTTACAACATTACTGAATACACCCTGACCAGTATATCCATAAACAACATATCGAGAATCTAATGTTTCACCCACACGTACCCTAAAAATAAATTTATTAAAAATAAGAAATGTATTACAAATGACGAAACAGTACAAAAAATATAGTATTTTACCGATAATATCCTTCTGCATCATCCCAATTATCTGTTAAACTTGGATTATCTGGCCCACCTTGTCGTTTTCCTTCGACTGTGGGACTCTAAAAAATTATTAGTATTTAAAAATAAATATAAATATAAAACAATAAGAAATGAAAAATGTTATAGACATACATTAAAATCACCAATATTGTCTGCCTCAGCAAACATGTCCCATTCATTAGACTTTTTCGCATTTTGTTTTTCTTCTTGTTTAATTTTTTCCATTGGTTTCGCATCTTCATTTTTATCAATCTCTTCTGGTGGGGCATCTTCAAACCTAGATTTTCTCTTTTTAACTTGTGGCGACTTTGGTTTTTCAGGCAGTGGTGGGGTATGACTCTCTGATGTGGATTCGTTATTATTAGATGGAACTTCTATTGACTTTTGTGACACATTTGAGTGACTTTCAGAAGGTGGACTTGCAGGAACGGCATTAATATCAGCCGACATATTTGAATCTTCATTTGGGCCACCCAGCCTCTGAATTTGAATCAAAGTTTATGGTTATTTTGTAGTATTAAACAAGAGCGCTTACTGGACTACAAAATCAACAAACCTTTAAAAGTTCTTCTCTTTGTTTCCTTCTACGTTCAATAATAGCTTCTTCATCTTCTTCTTCTTCAATATCAATGTCTTTGATATCTTCTTCACTTGAAGTTTCTGAGTGTTCTACTTTCAGCCCTTCTGATAAAGAATCTTTATATTTATCATTACGTTCTCTTTTACCATTTTTCTCTCTATCCCTGTCATGTTTATCCCGATCTCTTCTACCTCGTGAGAGTGACCTAGAGCGTTTATATCGGTCATTTCGATCTCTATCCAATCTACTTCTAATAGGGCTACGAGATCTTCTTGTACTTCTTGAACGCTCTCTGATTCTATCACGGTTTCGACTGTCTCGTCGATCTCGCATATCATTCCGATCGCGACTACCTCTAGCATCTCTAGGCCGATCTCGACTAGTATGACGCTCCCTACTGTCTCTTTTATCACGACTATGACGGTCTCTGCTCGTAGGTCTGTCTCGACTACGACGATCGCGACTAGCCGGTCGATCTTTACTGGTATGACGATCTCGACTACCGTGTCTGTCTCGACTAATATGTCGGTCTCGACTAATGTGTCGATCCCTACTAACATGTCGATCACGACTGATATGACGATCGCGACTAATATGTCTGTCATGACTCACATGTCGATCACGACTGTTTTGTCGTTCTCGGCTTTCTAATCTATCACGACTTTCGCGTTTAGATTTATCGTTTTTATCCAATGATTTATATTCATTGCGAGATCTAGAATTATGATGGTCTGTATCTCGTCTTCGTTCTTCTTCTCTGTAATCAAATGTTTACAAAAATATTCTAGTAAAATTTAGATTTCTTACAGTTAACTTACCTTCTATCTTGTTCTCTTTTACGTAATTCATCTCTTTTAATAGAATCTTTACGCTTATCATCTTCTATCCGTCTTTTATTATCTTCCTTACGCGAATCCTCTCTGTGTCTATCACTTGTTTTCCGCACTTGACGATCGTCTTTTCTACTATCATCTCTTCTTACTTCCTCTTTAGTACGAACTTTTTCTTCCCGCCTTCTTTCTGATTCTCTTCGTTTATCTTTATGCTCCTCTCGACTCCTACGGTCTCTAGTCATGTCTACCACTACACGTCTTTCAGGTTTCATTATTTTTTTGCGTTCTCTACTACCAGACTTACTTCTAGCTCGTTTCTTAGGGGGTATATTGTCATTTTCACTATCATCCTCTACAAGTATAACATCAGGTGTTTCAGCAGCTTTTATTTCATCTTGATCTGGTTCTTTTTCCTCTTTTTCAGATTCATCCGAAAGATATTGTACTAAACACGCTTGTAACCGCTCCTGTATAAATGTTATAATATGAATATATATGTTTTTCAAAATTTTGCAAGATAAGGAATTATACCTTTTGTTTCATTAATTCTTCAAGGTCGATATCATCTTCAATAATAGTACAATCAACTTCATCTGAATCTAAATCTACTAGTTTTTCATCCTCACTCTCTTCAGTAGAAACCACTTCCAATAAAGAATTTTTTACTTTGCCATTTACACCTAAATCTTTTTGAATTGCACGTGATGTTTTATCATCCAATGATCCATTTTCAACTTCTCTTTCTTTTTTAGGTCGTTTATGTTTCTTATGCCTTTTCCTGAAATGTGATATTAAAAATAAAAAATGCAACTAGGTTAAATAATAAAAAAAATTGTATATGCATATACCGTTCTTGCCGTTCTATTCTCCCATCTTCTCGTTCAATTAATTTATCTTTCTTATGTTTATGGTGTTTATGTTTCCTTTTCTTTTTCTTTCGTTGGTCAACCAACATGTCGGATTCAGAATCTATAGTAACCATGTCTCTCTTAGACTCTATACATTCTAAATCTGATGTACTAAAATGTAATCAAATAATTAGTTATTATATAACAAATGATTAATATATATTGTTAATGACTCATAGAATTTAAAGATTAACATATAATAAATAAGCAAAAAACCTTGTTTATAATAATAGTATATGTACTAAATTTAAACATATACAATTTTGCAGAGAATAAATTAACATCATTATTTTAGAAACTATATTATGGCTACTATTCTATAACGTCTAAACGTCAATTGAAAAAAGTTAAATACAGTTCATTACGAAATACTAAAATTACGAGACACAAAAATAGGTTATTTTTTCAATAGATTTTCACTGAAGATCACATTATATTAAAAAACACTTTGCAACAAATTAACTTACTTGTTGTGCAATATAATTAAAAAATTGAGGTATATGTTAAAAATATGCTAAATATATTTCGAAAATAAACAAAAGTCTTAATAAGTACATACGATGTAAACAGAGTAGCTTATACATCCTTTTATATATCAAAATCAAAAGTTCCTTCAATTGCATAATAAAGTTCATTGAATTTTTTGACTTACCCCATGATAAGAGTTTGAAAATTATTGTTAAGAAAAAACAATAGAATCACTTCACAAAACAACTACACGCACACATGAATTCTTTAATGGGCCGCCATCTTATATGTTCGATCATGTTATTTCGAGATATCTCGATGACATATTGAACTATCGATAAGGTAGAATAATTTCCGGTTGTATATATTCATAATGTGCGAAAGTATGTTCAAACGATTTCATTGTTTATAACTTCACTTCATTATTTTTTATTAAACTTAAACTAATTTTATTACACCATAGTAAGCTTTTGTTATTCAGCAAGTACTATTTCAATTTTAGTTTAAGAATCATAATAGTAAAACAATATAAGGGAACCGGAATAAGGAGCCAATAGATTGCATTGTCCAATAAATTTAAAGTTTTTAAGCGATTTATGATTTTGGACTCAAAGCTCGCGTTAGATAACTGAAACATAGAATGCACGAAGAGGTCGTCTAAAACCATATTTGTATTTGCTTCATTGATATTAATAAACATAAGAGACATTGTTTGATATTCTACATCGGTACTTTAGCATATGGCTATTTCAAAGATGAAGTATATTCCCGCGTCAGCAATGCATAGCTTGAACAACACTGCCACCTTCTATCCCATGCCGCAACGAACGTACCGATAACACGCGGTGGAATATTTTCGTACGCATAAGTGAAGTTTTCTATGTTTCGATGAACGTTTCGTGAAGTTGTGTTATCACTGATAGACGTTTTAATTGTTGCAACCAGTGAAATATTTATTCAAGAACAGTAATGCTCAGTATCAGTTGTCATTTCGAAACATTAGAATTGTAGGTTACGTTCACAACATTGTCGGAATATTTACCAATGGGCCACAGCAAAAGACTGAAAAATTGAGAAAACTTTAACAATATCAAGAAATCTAAGTACCAACATTTGTTGCATCACAATATATCACATGTGGAATACAGTGAGGTTAAATAGTACATACATAAAGTCATGTGTAAAATCAAGTGACGCAAATCGTATAAAGATATTACGTAGGTACACAGTCTCGATTATAGGTTCTAGAATAAAATAAATTTAGATGATGTTCTCTTATAATAACAAGATATGGCGAATGCAGTAGGATTGAAAGGTATGTTGTGTTCCTGATCTGAATAAATATTGATATCAGTGATCAAAGTCACTGATCATCGCTAATTTGTTAAGTTTCAGAATGATGGAGCTGCAATATATAAAGAAAAGAGAGAAGTGAAAGTGAAAGCTGTGAGAAGAAGAAATGCATACTATGTGGAATCAAGAAACATAAAAAAGATAGCACATGTATCAACAGAAATAGATGTGTGGCATCTACATATAAATATGAGGACCATTGAAGAGATGGAGAATGAACAACTGGTAATAGTTATGAAAAGTAAATGTAAATTGAATATAGAATGTGAATGTTGCTTTAAAGCAAAAATCCGTAGAAACACGCATAAGAACTTGGAAACTATAAAAATAGCAGGAGGAATGGAGCTATGGCACATGGACTTGGTTGGAACAATAAAGACAATTTCAAAAGGAGATAAAAGGTACATCTTATCTATTGATGACATAAAAATATTGGTAACATTGAAGGAAAATCAATTTGTCAAGAAATTGAAAAGTTATATGCTGAGACAATGGAGGTGAGTTTTTGGGACAAGATCTCCAGGTTTGATTACATGAAAAAGGAATAAAACATGATTTCATTCCAGCTAGGAAACCCTCAGTGCAATGGAGTTGCTGAGAGGAAGAACAGATCCATTACACAGATGACAAGGGCAATTATGATAGATTCAGATTTGCCAATGTATTTTTGGGCAGAAGCAAAGAGTACAACTGTCCGTATAAAAAATTGAACAAAGTTAGCTGACCATCAAGGAACTCCTTATGAAGTTTAGCAGGAGAGAAAGCTAAACATAAGGTATATGTCAAGATTTATTAGCATTGTCTATAGGTTGAATAAAGAGGATTTAGTACACAAATTTGAGTCAAAAACTTACAAAGAAATATTTTTAGGATATGTGCCAAGTATTACATACAGAACATACTGAACATACTGAAAAGGACCAGGTGAAAAATGAATTTAATGTGCAATTCAATAAAACAATGTGGGTCAGGTATTGAAGAATGAAGACGAGAATAGACATAAGAAGAATGATAAATTAGAAATTGTTGGATTCATGGATTAAAACAGGCAGAAAAATATTGGGACATATATCTTACTGATATATTAATCAAAAAAGGGTTACACCAGTCCAAGGAGAACCCATGTTAAATTTGTAAAGTGCAAAAGCTTAAATTTCTATACTGTGGAATACACTTGGATGGTTATAATAGTAAGGAATCAAGTATGTGAAAGGAAAACCATGGAGGCAATAGAATGGAAAATGGATATTAATATTATTGGGGGAAGCTGGGACAGTTTTAAGAATGCTGTGGAATGAGAGAATGCAATACAATTTCAACCCCAATGGATGTGAATGTCAGTATGGATGATCATGGGAACAACAGAAGGTGGAAGCTAAACCATTAGCAAGAATTATTAGGGAAACTCATTCATTTGAATGCTTATGGCTGTCCAGACATCGTATTTTGAGTAAGATGTTTGTCATAGTTGAACCATGGTCCAAAAATAATGGACATGAATGGATTGAAGGGGATATTTAGAGATAGATATTTCAGGTTCAGTATTGTCTAGAATTTGAAAAAAGAACAGAAGCCAATGAAATGTGCTGTGCAGATATATAGACTGATATGTGAAGTCAGACTAGAAAAAGAAGTAAGAAAGATTGTAATGTGTGACAGATTGAATGCGATAAATGTAGACAATTACATCTAAGTTCTTACAAAGAAATATGTTAAACCCAATATGTAGTAAAAATTAATAACTTGCTAATTTATCATGTGCCGGATAAAGAAACGAATTCTGATTGTTTAACTAAACCACTGAGTGGTCCAAATTTGTTAAAGAATGTAAAAAGCTGTATGAGGATGTTAAAAGAATAAAAAGTTGATAGGAAAATGTGTTATACTTATTTATGTCTTTTTGTTGTTTTATTTCTCCCACCCTACGTGTCACGTGATTTTCGATTCAGCTATTTCGATCAGCGCCATCTATGATTCTGGACCAAATGATGAGAAAAGTGATAGGAACATAGAATGTACAAAGAGGTCGTCTAATCCTCGTCACGTGGTTAGATAAGGATGGAAAATGGGTAGAAAAAGACAGAAAGGCTCCGGCAAAGAATATTAAGTAATTACTCAATTCTGGCGTGTAATTTATGAACTTTTGTAGCCTTATCGCAAAGCTGAAACCCTGAGCAACATTTTGATGCTACTTTCGTACATAACTTTTTGTTAATTAATGTGTTAAAAATAATTATTTGACGGCGTGGGTAATTTGATAAAAGTAACGACCGAGGATGTTGATAAAAATATTTTATTACGTTCAAAACTAGAAAAAAATTATGATCGAAAGTTATATGAGAAGATGCGCAAGAATATTCTTTTTATAATGAATTCATAAAAGTAAAAAATTAATCACTTGAGAGATAGTTATTAATGAGAAACCATTGAGATATTCGGCAACATTTCAAACACGCCATGGAATAATTATTAATAATAAATTAATTAAAAAGAAATTATTATCGAAAGTTATATGAGAAAGTTCGCCAAGGACATGCCTTTACGATGAAGTCATAAAAGTTCATAAATTAAACGCAGAAATAGTGTAATTTGTTAAATTTCCATAGCCGAATTGATTTATTAAGAACCTCAGGTTCGGTAAGACGAGTACAGATGGCGCCAGGAGAGCATTTATAACCATATTACATGAAGGGCGGAATAAAGATAACAATATATCGATCTAAATAACTAATACACATTCTCTTCCGTTCTTATTATTCGCTTAAGAACCTCATAAAGTTTTCTAAATTTTTTAATAAGTTCAACCTAAGCAGTGGTTTCAATTAGACAATCAGCATTCGCTTCTTTACCTAGCACATTATAAGTCTGGAAGGGTACGCCTTTTCAATGCAAATATAAAAGATCATAAATTAATCACAAAAATTCAGTAATTTGTTAATTTCTCTCTAAGTGAGCAGGAGAGTGCATGGGAAACAAGAAGAAGATTGCAAAAAAACGGGAGAAACATTGTTGTGTCCATCGAGCTATTCCTACATCACGGAAAAGAATGTAAGCCTTTATATAAACCTAACCTTCAGTTGTAAATAAATAGTGTGAGACATAAACTATTGTTTTTTCATCTTTTATTAGTGACAGCAGAACCTGGTTGTAAAGTAATAATATACTGTTGAAATAAACAGGCATGTGCAACAGGGGAAAGATATTGGATTAATGGAATATCATCAACGTAGAGCCATTAGATGCCAATAATTATTTTTTGAGGTAAAAAAAAATTGAAGCAGTAATAGAAATATGTAAGGTATGATATGTCTATTGGTTTCTAGGTCGGCGAACTGAATGACAAGACAGAAATATTTCATGATTAAGTCAAAAGGGAATAAAAGTAATTTAGATTATGGCCTCCTATAACAAGATGTACAGAATACAGTGAGATTGAAAGGTATGTTATATTTTTGTACTGAATGAATATTAATATCAGTGGTTGAAGTCACTGATCAATGGTAATGTGTTAAGTTTCAGAATGATGGTGTTGTGGTAGATAGAGACAGGAGAGAAGTTTGAATGAAAGCACTGAGAAGAGAAAATGTATATTATATGGAATCAAGATATAGAAAAGGGGCAGCGCATTTATGGACAGAGATAGATGGCATCTACATGCAAATATGAAGACCATTGATGAGATGGAGAAAGAAGAATTGGTAATAGTTTTGGAAACTAAACAGAAATTGAATATAGAGTGTGATTGTTGCTTTAAAGCAAAAATCTGTAGAAACACGCATAGGAACTTGGAAACTACAAAAACAGCAACAGGAATGGGGCTGTCACAGATGTACTTGGTTGGAACATTGAAGCCAATGTTAAAAGGAGGTAAAATGTACATCTTATCTATTAATGATTATACAAATGTAATTGTTGGTCTTGATCTTATAGGAAGAAGATTAGACAGCTGAGGAAATGAAAAATTGGTAACATTGAAAAAAAATCAATCTGTCAAGAAATTGAAAAGTACTTATATGCTGAGACAATGGAGGTGAGTTTACGGGGCAAGACCTCAAGTTTGGTTATATCAAAAGGAAATAAAACATGATTTGATTCCAGCCAGGATAGCCTCACTGCAACAGAGTTGCTGAAAGGAAGAACAGATCCATCAGAGAGATGGCAAGAGCACTTATGATGAATTCAGGCTTGCTAATATATTTTTGGGCAGAAGCAGAGTACAGCTGTCCATATAAAAAACTGCACAAAGTTAGCTAACCATTGAAGAACTTCTTATGCGGTTTAGCAGGAGAAAAAGTCTAACATAAGGTATTCGAAAAAAGTTTGATGCGAAAAGGGGGTTTAGTACACTAATTTGGACCACAAACTTACAAAGAAATATTTTCAGGATATGTATCAAATATTACATATAGAACATACTGACCAGAAAAGGATCACGTGAGGAATGAATGTGATGTGCAATTCAATAAAACAATGAATGGGGCTCAGGTATTGAAGAATGAAGACGAGAATAGACATAAGAAGAATGATAAATTAGAAATTGTTGGATTCATGGATTAAAACAGGCAGAAAAATATTGGGACATATATCTTACTGATATATTAATCAAAAAAGGGTTACACCAGTCCAAGGAGAACCCATGTTAAATTTGTAAAGTGCAAAAGCTTAAATTTCTATACTATGGAATACACTTACATGGTTATAATAGCAATCAATCAAGAATATGAAAGGAAAAACATGGAGGTAATAGAACGGAAAATGGATATTAAAATTATCCAGGGAAGTTATAGCAGTTTTGGGAATGCTATGTAATGAGAGAATGCAATGCAGATTCAACCCCAATAGATGTGTATGTCAGTATGGATGACCATGGGAACAACAGAAGGTGGAAGATAAACCAGTATCAAGAATTATTAGGGAAACTCATGTATTTGAATACTTATGGCTATCCAGACATTTTTGGAGTAAGATGTTTGTCATAGTTGAACCATGGTCCAAAAATAATGGACATGAATGGATTGAAGGGGATATTTAGGAATAGATATTTCAAGTTCAGCATTGTCTTGAATTTGGAAAAGGAACAGAAGCCAATGGAATGTGCTGTGCAGATATATAGACAGATATGTGAAGTCAGACTGAAAAAAGAAGAAGGATTGTGATGTGGACAGATTGAATGCGATAAATGTAGAAAATTAAATCTATGCTCTTACACAGAAAAATGTAGTTATATACGAGATGTAGTAAAAACTAAGAACTTGCAAATTTGTTACGTGCCAGATAAAGAAATGAATGCTGATTGTCTAACTAAACCACTGAATGTTCCAAATTTGTTAAAGAATGTAAAATACTTTATGGGGGTGTTAAGAGAATAAAAAGAAGAGAGGAGAATGTGTCATAGTTATTTATATTGTTTTATTGTTTTATTTCTCCTACCCAACATGGCATAGATTAGGTAAACTCTTATTAAAAGCACTATTTAATCAACCTCAGTTTTAATAATAACATTTCACGTTTGTCTTAAATATATTTGAAACTGAACGTAAAACCATCTTATTCGCAATGGGAAAAATATTTGTAGCTTTATTATAACCGAGTGATAGGTACTTTCTTTGGACAGGTCTGACTAAATACTTTCGTTGAAAAAGTAGTTTTAACAATTTATACATAAGAATTTAATGTTCTGAAGAAGCATTGTTAACAAAGGTGATTATAATGCTCATTTATAAAATTTTGTAACTAATATATATATATTTTGTATTACCATGTATTTTATTTTTATTATTAACTGTAGTCATTTTTATTAATTTATAGCGTTTTTGCAGTGAAAATTAAGCATTTATTTATATGTCATTTTCGTAAGAGGAACATATTTGTATTTGCTTCATTGATATGAATAAATATAAGGAACGTTGTTTGATATTCCACATCGATACTTTAGTACATGGCTATTTCAAAGACGCAGCATTTTCCCGCGAGAAAAATGCATAGATTGTCCTAGGTCAGTCATCATCAGTTCCGCGACAAACGAACAGAACGGTAACGAATACTGGAATATTTTCGTGCGTCAAAGAGAAGCATTAAGGATTTCCATAAAACATATCGTAAAGTAGTGATATCACTGATTGAAGTTTTAATAGCTACAATTGAGGAAACACATATTTAAGATCTGTAACGCGAAGTATCGGATATTAGTTCGCGACATTGCAGTTGTTGGTTACGTTTGCAACATTATCGTAATACTTACGAATAAAACAGCAAAAGTTTAAGAAATTGTGAGAAATTTACAAAGTTCAAGATTACTAACTGCAAACATTTCTTTGGTGCTAATATACTACGTGTAGAAAAATGTGATGTGACATAGTAAAAATCGCATAACGATACATATGCAAAATGAAGTAATGTGAGTGAGAATCGTATAATACTCCGCATAGTCCCCAATCGTCGACTGTTGTAAATTCTAGACTTCAATTGTCCAGCAATATATTTGAATGTTATTACTCTGAATAGGCAACTTGTTAACAGTTTTACCAATTTTTCTTCCATCTCGACGTTGAATTACAAAGTAGCTACGTATTATCGCAAATACATTCTAAACTTCGTTTGCGGATTAGGATATTTCATTATTACTGCACAGAATAGATTGCTTTCCAACCAGTAGGGCAATTATTTTACGATTGAAGGTCCATTTACGCAACAAAGTGACGGAAAAGCAAGTGCCTGTGAAATCTTGCTACACCGTTTACTTTCATAGCTTATATTTCTAAAATTACCTATTACGGTTAGATTTTTTCCATATATTAGCGTAGAGTGAATTCTTCCTTAACGGGATTAATTATTTTTTTTCGGTTTCGAGCATGCGTTCTTGAAAAATAGTGGGGAAAGTGTCAGTGGCTCTGAAATCGCGCTGCGTAATAGACTTTTTTGGCTTCTATTTCGAAAAGTAGGCTTTTTGATTAGGTTTGTTCTATATATCCGCGTAGTGTGAGTCTTTCTGTAACGGGATTAATTATTTTTTTTCGGTTTCGAGCGTGCGTTCTTGAAAAATAGTGGGGAAAGTGTCAGTGGCTCTGAAATCGTGCTGCGTAATAGACTTTTTTGGCTTCTATTTCGAAAAGTAGGCTTTTTGATTAGGTTTGTTCTATATATCTGCGTAGTGTGAGTCTTTCTGTAACGGGATTAATTATTTTTTTTCGGTTTCGAGCGTGCGTTCTTGAAAAATAGTGGGGAAAGTGTCAGTGGCTCTGAAATCGTGATGCGTAATAGACTTTTTTTGGCTTCTATTTCGAAAAGTAGGCTTTTTGATTAGGGTTGTTCTATATATCCGCGTAGGATGAGTCTTTCTGTAACGGGATTGATTATTTTTTTTTCGGTTTCGGGCGCGCGTTTTTGAAAAATAGTGGGCAAAGTGTCAGTGGCTCTGAAATCGTGCTGCGTAATAGACTTTTTTGGCTTCTATTTCGAAAAGTAGGCTTTTTGATTAGGTTTGTTCTATATATCCGCGTAGTATGAGTCTTTCTGTAACGGGATTGATTTTTTTTTTCGGTTTCGAGCGCGCGTTTTTGAAAAATAGTGGGGAAAGTGTCAGTGGCTCTGAAATCGTGCTGCGTAATAGACTTTTTTGGCTTCTATTTCGAAAAGTAGGCTTTTTGATTAGGTTTGTTCTATATATCCGCGTAGTATGAGTCTTTCTGTAACGGGATTGATTTTTTTTTTTCGGTTTCGAGCGCGCGTTTTTGAAAAATAGTGGGGAAAGTGTCAGTGGCTCTGAAATCGTGCTGCGTAATAAACTTTTTTGGCTTCTATTTCGAAAAGTAGGCTTTTTGATTAGGTTTGTTCTATATATCCGCGTAGTGTGAGTCTTTCTGTAACGGGATTAATTATTTTTTTTCGGTTTCGAGCGTGCGTTCTTGAAAAATAGTGGGGAAAGTGTCAGTGGCTCTGAAATCGTGCTGCGTAATAGACTTTTTTGGCTTCTATTTCGAAAAGTAGGCTTTTTGATTAGGTTTGTTCTATATATCCGCGTAGTATGAGTCTTTCCGTAACGGGATTGATTATTTTTTTTTCGGTTTCGAGCGCGCGTTTTTGAAAACTAGTGGGGAAAGTGTCAGTGGCTCTGAAATCGTGCTGCGTAATAGACTTTTTTGGCTTCTATTTCGAAAAGTAGGCTTTTTGATTAGGTTTGTTCTACATATCCGCGTAGTGTAAGTTTTTCTGTAACGGGATTAATTATTTTTTTTCGGTTTCGAACGTGCGTTTTTGAAAAATAGTGGGGAAAGTGTCAGTGGCTCTGAAATCGTGCTGCGTAATAGACTTTTTTGGCTTCTATTTCGAAAAGTAGGCTTTTTGATTAGGTTTGTTCTATATACCCGCGTAGTGTGAGTTTTTCTGTAGCGGGATTAATTATTTTTTTTCGGTTTCCACCGTGCGTTTTTGAAAAATAGTGGGGAAAGTGTCAGTGGCTCTGAAATCGTGCTGCGTAATAGACTTTTTGGCTTTCTATTTGCGAAATTAGGCTTTTTGATTAGGCTTGTTCTATATATCCGCGTAGTGTGAGTTTTTCTGTAGCGGGATTAATTATTTTTTTTCGGTTTCCACCGTGCGTTTTTGAAAAATAGTGGGGAAAGTGTCAGTGGCTCTGAAATCGTGCTGCGTAATAGACTTTTTGGGCTTCTATTTGCGAAAAGTTGGCTTTTTGATTAGGCTTGTTCTATATATTCGCGTAGAGCGAACTCTTCTTTAACGGGATTGATTATTTTTTTTTCGGTTTCAATCGTGCGTTTTCGAGAAATTGTGGGAAAAGTGTCAGTGGCTGTGAAATCGTGCCGCGTAATAGACTTTTTGGGCTTCTGTTTGCGAAAAGTAGGCTTTTTGATTAGGTTTGTTCTATATATCCGCGTAGTGTGAATTTTTCTGTAACGGGATTGATTATTTTTTTTCGGTTTCGAGGGTACGTTTTTTAAAAATAGTGGGGAAGGTGTCAGTGACTCTGAAATCGTGCCGCGTAATAGACTTTTTTGGCTTCTATTTGCGAAATTAGGCTTTTTGATTAGGCTTGTTCTATATATCCGCGTAGAGCGAACTCTTCCGTAACGGGATTGATTATTTTTTTTCGGTTTGGTGCGTGCCTTTTCGAGAAATAGTGGGAAAAGTGTCAGTGGCTGTGAAATCGTACTGCGCAATTTACTTTTTTCGCTTCTTTTTTCGAGGTTAGGCTTTTGGATTAGGTTTTTTTTCTTCTATATAACCTCTTATATGTGTATACAAGACAATATTCCGTTGAAATAAGTAGGCATGTACAACAGTAGAAAAATATTGGACTCATGGTGAGCCATGAGATGCCAAGAATTATATTTCATAGCCAGAAAAATTTTAAGCAGTATTAAAAATATATAAGGATTGACATATCTATTGGATTCTAGGTCAGCTAACCATGTGACAATATACGAGATAGAGATCTTTAATGGTCAAATAAAGATTCATAAGAGGGAGATGTTTTAGGCAGATAAAAGGGATGAAATTGATTCAGGCAATGTCCTCTTTCAAGAACAAGATTTAGAGAATACATTGAGATTGAAAGGTATGTTGCATTCCTGATCTACATAAATATTGTTATCCGTGGTCAAAGTCAACAGTCATCGCGAATGTGTTAAGTTTCAGAATGATGGAGCTGAGGTAGATAATAAAAGGGGAGAAGTTCACTTTTTTCGTTGATAATATCCTATCTCTTTGCTTATCGTTTTAAGATAGCATGGGCATAGCAGGGGATAAAGGAATCATTTATAAAATAATTAGATATCAACGTAATATTTGCAATAATTTAATTCGCAAAATGTCTTACAATATAACGCGAAGTATGCGACACATTGTTGGTGAATGTTGCTGTTGTTCTTGCACCTATATTTTTACGTCTCGCGACACCAACAACGCGTGGCATTCCTTCGTTTCGTTTCTAGTCTTAGTGACCAGTCGCCACGGGCATCGGCTCCGATGCCGATCATTACGAACAATTATTATTAATTATAACGGCAATGGTAACGAGTAACAATTAAATATAATATTATACATTACGAATAAATACTAAAAGTAATCCTCGCAAACTTGGGTGAGTAACCGAACGTTGCTTTCCGTTCGCGTTAATATAAATACAAAGGGGTGAATGGTGTAACAAGGGTGGATAGGATGACCTTAGGATAGGGTTGAGTGTTCAAGGAGGGTATTCTTAATCGTTTCTAAATCGCATCTTTACACAAGGTACTCGATCGATCCCGATCGTTTATCACATTCTTCGACGATTCGAGTCTCGGGGGTTTTACAATTTTCTTGTCAGATCTGTTGACAATAGCGCTCTCCTTTATCGAAAGGAATTTCTCGAGGAATTCAGGATGTTTCATTCATAAAATACAATGTATGTACTTAAATAATGCCTATTCGAGTAACTGAAAATTCGTTCGAAATTCGATCCTTTGCGATAATCGAGTTGTTTTATAATATCAATTTAAGGTAATCGAGAAACGAAGAAACGTTATACAGAATCTTTACGCCATTGGTAATAGTTAACGTCATTTATAATTTAATTTGAAATGCTTTAAGATAAAAGTGTACCATAAAGATTATCGATAAAGTTTCTTGGCTTCTCCCCAAAGTTTCTTATTTTATTTCTTTCACGAATTTTCAGTGACACGATCACCAAAGCGTGGTAATTATTTCGTGAACCGGAAGAACAGAAAAATATCTCTTCCGCTTGTTTCGATTTCAAGTATGCGTGAGGAAGTCTTGGTCCGTTAAAAGATGAAAATCGAAAAAAAAAGAGAAAAAAAGAGAAATATATTACACTACATTGACTAGATTCTACACCCATCCAGTATCGATCCTTAGATTAAATCTAGTCCCTATACGTGTGCTTCGAAGAGAGGAACGATTCGATAGTGTCATTAATCTTTCATTGTTTTATGTATGACAGTATTCGCGTGAGAGATCAAACATCGAAATGATCAGAAATTGTCTTCTAACTGTGTAATAAAAAATTCGTGGAAGAGAAAGATAATTAACTAAACCGTTTGAAATATTATACAAATACGATTGAAATTTGGTTAAAGATAGCTAAAGAAAGGAAAAGAATCAAATCTTGATAACGTATGAAATTAGTATTAAAGCTGTTCCTTATTGTCTCTTTTGTTTCTTTGTCTTACTAACGCATTAAATTCTTCTGGTCCTCGATAAAAACGAATGTAAATTTGTCCATCGCTTTTTCCGCCATTAAATCGTAAAAATGCTTATTCGAAGAGTTTCTTAGCGTAATGCCAAATGCGGAAGAAGTACTCATCTTGTCTGAGCAGCCTTGCTCTTGCGTACGAATGGATGTCGGCGTCCATATTGTGCTCGCGTAGCCAAGAACTCGTATTTTCTGTGCTGAAACTCACCGATGCGGTTTCGCCCTTCTCGGTGGCTTCCGCGATTGGCTCCACTACGGCTAATTCTAAATTAAAAGAAATAAAACACGAAATAAAATCTTGAGACCTAATAGCAACGATTTTTATAAAACGCATTCTTGAAACTCGAGAACAGTGCATCGAATCCTTCGAGTTCCAAGTTGAAAGCTTCCAAAGTTAAATTAAAAATTCAAGCCTCTAAGTTAATAAAAATTAAAGAATATAAAATTAAAGAAATTTAAAAATATAGAAATTATAGAGCTTGAAGCTTGAAGCAAAAATAAATAAATAAAAGATAGTAAAATAAAAATGGCGTACCGGTAGCTGGTATAATTTTAACCGGTTCATCAGACTCTAAAGGATCGCTAAGGCCGACTTCGTTCTTGGCGAAGATCCTGATCAGGTACATGTGGTTCTCCTGCAGATCTCTGATGTTCAATTTCTGAACATCGGCGTTTACTCTGCCTACTTCCATCCACATGGTTTTCTTCGCATCCCTGATTGCAATTTTATAACCTTCCAGTGGTGCACCACCATCGGATTCTGGTCTGCCCCAAGAAATAACAACGGTGTTCGCTGCGATCTGCCTGATTTCCAGTGGTGCTGTTGGTGGTGATGGTACGTCTGCGAAAAGTTGTATTAAATTTAATCACAATTCATTTATGTTCACAAAATGTTGAGATTAGCAAAAATTTATATATAAAATTCAGACATATCCCGAAGGAAACAAAGAACGCTTACTGGCATGTGTCATGAGGGTAACCGGCTCTGAGTTCGTAGGTAAACTTAGTCCCATGTTGTTCTCTGCAAATATTCTGAAGATGAATTCGCTCTCTTTCAAGTTCTCTATGCAATATTGAAGAGTGGTAGCGTCTAGAGTGACAACTTTCGTCCACCTTGCTCCTTTTCCAATTAGTGGCCTCTTTTCGATTATGTATCCTATTAAAAAGTGGGAAATGTAGGATTGCTTGCTCTTATGTATCCAATTTTTATTTTATTCGTTGTTAATATATTCTTTATATCTTCGAGATATTATGCATTTTTATTAAGAGTTACCTGTGAGCTCTGTGCCTCCATTGCTGGCTGGTGGAGACCAGCTGAGAGTCACACTCCTGCTGGTGACGTTTGTTACTTGTACGTGTTGTGGACTCGATGGTGGTGCTATAAATTGCACGATATATTATTATATATCCGACGGAGAAGTGTTTAGCGACAGGAAGCAAAGTGTAAGCAGAACTATGAAAGCAGCAGGACTTACTTTTGCTGATGATTACTTTCGTTGGAGGAAATATGCCCAGCAGTGCGTACATGGTGCTCTCGGTAAGTTTTGTTATTTCTAAGCCATAGCGAAAGCAGTAAATAAGCGAAGAAGGTGTTAAAATAAGAATGATTTATGTATAAATACATTAGAATGCCAATATTTAAAAGCTTTGGAATGCAAATGTTTAGAAGCTTCGCAGCAACATAGTTGTTAACTGAGTCATCATTCGAGTTATCATTTTGAGTCATAGTTTGAAATTTGAATCGCCAAGTTTGTTGAATTATTATCGCGAATAAATTTAAGCAATTAATATCGTACTCGATTAATAGGAATCAATTAATTTGCTTACTGATTCGTTTGCCTGCTGCAATTGGTTCTTCAGCTACGTATGGAGGACCAGTGCCAACACTGTTCTTTGCTGTTATTCTGAAGTTGTATGGTACATCCGTCTTTAAGTTAGATACAATGAAGTGTGTGATTTCTTGCTTTGTGCTGCCGATCTGTAAGAAATATTTCGATATGATTAACGGGATCGAATCTTAATTTTCATGGAAACATTCTTAAAATGTCTCTTATCGACCTTCTGCCAAGCCTTTTTCGATTCTTCTTTCATCTCGATGATAAATTCTGTTATTGGTGTTCCACCATCGTTCTCTGGAGGCTGCCATTTTATCGTGAAGGATGTCTTCGTCATTCCCGATACTTCTAGTGGTCCTCTTGGTGGTCCAGGTGGTTCTGGAACAGTACATTAATTACAATAATTTGAATAACTTCAAAAATTTTTTAATCTTAATAATTTTAACAATAGTCAGCAAATATAAGAATCCAACTTACCGAAGGAAGTTCTCATCTTGACCGTCTCAGACTCCAGTGGCTCTGACGCTCCGACTGCGTTTCTGGCGATGATTCTGAACTTGTATTCAGCATTCTGTTGCAGTTTGTGCACACAGAAGCTTTCCACCTCTTTGTCAATGTCAACCACTTTCATCCATGTCTTGCCCGGTTCGTATTTCTCGATGGTATACTTCTCTAACTCGATTCCACCATCGTCTTCTGGTGGTCGCCATTCGATAGTGACGCGATCCTGCCTGATTTCCTTGAAAATCACCGGTCCTTGTGGTTTGCCAGGTTTATCTAAAAGATTCGAAGGATTCACAATAGTGAAAACCAATTTGATAAAAACTTATGATTCATTTAATAATGGTTAATGATCATGATAATAGTACCTATGACTCTAAGATTCAAGTCAACCGAGGAACTGCCAGCTTCAATGTATCCAATTTTTATTTTATTCGTTGTTAATATATTCTTTATATCTTCGAGATATTATGCATTTTTATTAAGAGTTACCTGTGAGCTCTGTGCCTCCATTGCTGGCTGGTGGAGACCAGCTGAGAGTCACACTCCTGCTGGTGACGTTTGTTACTTGTACGTGTTGTGGACTCGATGGTGGTGCTATAAATTGCACGATATATTATTATATATCCGACGGAGAAGTGTTTAGCGACAGGAAGCAAAGTGTAAGCAGAACTATGAAAGCAGCAGGACTTACTTTTGCTGATGATTACTTTCGTTGGAGGAAATATGCCCAGCAGTGCGTACATGGTGCTCTCGGTAAGTTTTGTTATTTCTAAGCCATAGCGAAAGCAGTAAATAAGCGAAGAAGGTGTTAAAATAAGAATGATTTATGTATAAATACATTAGAATGCCAATATTTAAAAGCTTTGGAATGCAAATGTTTAGAAGCTTCGCAGCAACATAGTTGTTAACCGAGTCATCATTCGAGTTATCATTTTGAGTCATAGTTTGAAATTTGAATCGCCAAGTTTGTTGAATTATTATCGCGAATAAATTTAAGCAATTAATATCGTACTCGATTAATAGGAATCAATTAATTTGCTTACTGATTCGTTTGCCTGCTGCAATTGGTTCTTCAGCTACGTATGGAGGACCAGTGCCAACACTGTTCTTTGCTGTTATTCTGAAGTTGTATGGTACATCCGTCTTTAAGTTAGATACAATGAAGTGTGTGATTTCTTGCTTTGTGCTGCCGATCTGTAAGAAATATTTCGATATGATTAACGGGATCGAATCTTAATTTTCATGGAAACATTCTTAAAATGTCTCTTATCGACCTTCTGCCAAGCCTTTTTCGATTCTTCTTTCATCTCGATGATAAATTCTGTTATTGGTGTTCCACCATCGTTCTCTGGAGGCTGCCATTTTATCGTGAAGGATGTCTTCGTCATTCCCGATACTTCTAGTGGTCCTCTTGGTGGTCCAGGTGGTTCTGGAACAGTACATTAATTACAATAATTTGAATAACTTCAAAAATTTTTTAATCTTAATAATTTTAACAATAGTCAGCAAATATAAGAATCCAACTTACCGAAGGAAGTTCTCATCTTGACCGTCTCAGACTCCAGTGGCTCTGACGCTCCGACTGCGTTTCTGGCGATGATTCTGAACTTGTATTCAGCATTCTGTTGCAGTTTGTGCACACAGAAGCTTTCCACCTCTTTGTCAATGTCAACCACTTTCATCCATGTCTTGCCCGGTTCGTATTTCTCGATGGTATACTTCTCTAACTCGATTCCACCATCGTCTTCTGGTGGTCGCCATTCGATAGTGACGCGATCCTGCCTGATTTCCTTGAAAATCACCGGTCCTTGTGGTTTGCCAGGTTTATCTAAAAGATTCGAAGGATTCACAATAGTGAAAACCAATTTGATAAAAACTTATGATTCATTTAATAATGGTTAATGATCATGATAATAGTACCTATGACTCTAAGATTCAAGTCAACCGAGGAACTGCCAGCTTCATTCACTGCCTTCGCTGTATACGTGGCTGTGTCTTCTCTGACAAGAGAAGAAATAGAAATAATAGAGGTCTTTTCTTCTGTCTGAATGGATACACGTTTGTCGACGATCTTCTTGTTACTCTTCGTCCATGTCACTTCTGGTTTCGGGAAGCCGCTCATCTGAATCTCGATCTTCCATTGAGTGTTCACTGGAAGATTCTGGCTAGTCAGAGTCTCATCATAAATGATCTTAGGTGCCTCTTGCACTTTCAGTTCGCACGTTGTTTCCGCTGTTCCTACGTTGTTCTTCGCTTTTACCGTGAACGTTGCTGATGACGTTTCCGTTGCCTTCGTGATAGTGTACTTAGCTAAGCGATTTTCGTACGTGATGGTGCTGTCTTCGAAGGTCTCGCCATTCTTCAACCTGATGAAAAATAGGTGGTTAAAATTATTTTCTATTACTATTGTTTTAAATCTTTATATAATTTATTAAAGAGATTTATTTAGAAAAATGCATAAAATGAATTCGACATAAGTGAAGATTCGTACCAGGTAATTTCAGGTGTCGGAGATCCTCCAATAACGCAAGATAGGGTGACGGTTTCTCCAAGGCCAATGACGACGCTGTTCAGAGGTTCTAGGATAGCAGGTGGTTCTGCAGCTGATGGTTTCGATATCTTTATGTATGGAGAAGTTGGTGATGTTTCACCTGGTCCAGCTTCATTTGCAGCTGTTACTCGGAAGGTGTACTCTTTGTTCGTGGTGAGTTTTGTTACTGTATGAGTCGTTTCTGTTATCGTCTCTGTAATCTTGGTCCATCTTCGATTCGAAACAAATAATCATTGTAATTTATATTCGCATTTATATTGACAGTAAGAGTAATGAAGTAATTAATATACTCACGTAGTTTCGGTCTTTTCTTGGTATTCCAGAATGTACTCGACAATGGGCGAGTTTCCATCTGAATCAGGTTTTTTCCAGTGAAGAGTTACACTATTATCAGTTACTTCCAATGGTTCTGGTGCTCCAGGTGCACTTGGTACCTCTGCAAGCATAAATATAGTTTATATAAGAAATTTCCCGGACGTTATATAATTTTTGGTCTAAATGGAAAGAAGAAATATTTCAAACAGTATACTCACGGACGATAACGATGTTAATGCCTATGCTAGCCTCTCCGACGTTGTTCACCAGTTTCAGAGTGTAATCACCAACATCTTCTTCTTGGATCTTCCTGATTGTTAAGACTGCGGATTCTTCGTCAATCGACGGCATAATTCGTTTCGATTTTGTTACTACACGGCCATTCACAGTCCATTCGTCATTCGGTTTCGGTGTTGCGTTGAATTTCACGATTACTTCGACGTCTTCGCCCTTTCTTACCTTGTACTTCTTAGGCGTGTCCGGATTAATTTTTGGAGGTATCTCAATGACTAAAAATTTAAAAAGATAACAATGATAGAATATTATTGATCGTAAATTGCAATCGACTAAACTTCTAAAAGTATTAGAGTCTAAATTAAGATCATTAATCTAATAAAATGCATTTAATTATTTAGTAATGCATAGACGATATAAAAAAAGGACTAAAAGGAATAATGTGAGAGGATTTATTGTATTACCTTCGACTCTTAATTTCGATGACGTTTTCACATTTGTCACTGCAGCCGTGTATTCCGCAATATCCTTGGTGGTACATTTTCTCACGATTAGTTTCTTCACAGTACCCTCGTCGATGATGGAATATTTCTCTGATTCTTTAATAACTTCCGTTTTTCTGTAACATCGTCACGATGTAATTTATTTCTTATTTAATTTAAATTTTATTTTATCTAGAATTATAACGTAGACATTTATTTTATACATATATGTAATCCATAATAAAAAAGATCCCAGGACCACTGTTGCAATACTTCATTTGTAAAGTATTATTGCTGTGATCACCAATGGAGTAAAGTGTTTTCTTATGAAATGTAATTTTTTACCTCATCCATGTAACTGGAACATCGCGTGATATTTCAATGGTGAAAACGGCATCAGCGTTCAATGGTACAAGAGTCACATCCGGTAATTTGGTGACGAAGTCCACGCCAGGTTCTTCAACAGTCAATTTAGCCGATGATTTCTGCTGACCAACTTCGCAAGAGTAAACGCCGGCGTCTTCTGCTTCCGTATCGTAGATCTTCAATTTCTGTCTCTTGCCATCAATCGATAATCGAACATGCTCAGAAAATTGTAACTCCTGTCCATCTTTGAACCATCGTACCAACGCGTCTCCCTTTGTGAGTTCTATCTCGAATGTTGCTCTCTCGCCTCTTGCTATTGTTACATCTTGCATCTTTGTAATGATTTCCGGTGGTAGTTCTAGAATAATATATTAGAGAAAATTGGTTAATAATATTTAATATTGAAATTAAATATTTATAATATTTATGCGCGATAGTTGTATTTATATAGCGCATTATAATATCTTAAATTATAATTTAATAATCGTATCATAAATTATTTAATTAATAGTCCAAATACATTCAATAATGAAATTTTTGGAGTTAAAAATTTTATTTTGATTTTAATGCTTACCGATAACAGTGACTTCTGCTGTGCATTTTTGATCCAAGAGGCTACAGGTGTACTCTCCTTCATCATGGACGGATGTGCTTCTAATGAATAATTTCCTAACAGTGCCGTCTTTTACGAATTCTAGTTTCTCTTTACTTGGTCCCAAAGGTTCGCCATCTTTGAACCATTTAACATCCGCCGTCTGCGACGTGATCTCGACTTCCAAGATAGCGACGTCACGCTCCTTCACCTCGCAGTCTTGTAATTTCTTCACGAATTCTGGCTTGGTGGCTGTGATTTTGACAGATCACGTGAAATTATGTAGATGAATTTACGCAAATAAATTTAAAATATTAGAGATGTCAATCGATTGAGATTTTTACCTTTCACAGTCACTTTACTGGACGTAGATTGATTCTTCACAGTACATTCGTAAGTTCCCTCGTCCGTGGGACTTACTCTCTTGATCACCAGTTTGTGAACCCGTCCTTCCTGAATGATCTCACGATGATCCATTCCACTGACTTCTTTGTGATTGTGCCACCATTTTGTGGAAACAGTGTGAGACGTTTCGCAAGTTAATTCTAGAGTTTTGTACTCGTCGATGACAACTTCTTCCTCCAGATTCTTCGTGAATGTTACTTTCTCGACGTCTACGGTAACTTTGGCACCATGGGACGCTTTTCCAACTGGATTGCTGGCTATGCACTTGTAATCACCAGCATCTACCTCTGAATCTGCGTTTCTGATCTCTAGCACGATGTTCTCGCCGTCGTAGGTTTCTGTGATATTCGGTGATTTTTCCAAGGGCTTGTTGTTCCTGTTTTAAGAAATTAATTATCAAAACATGTCATACATGTTTGCTTCATTATTGCCAGAATTATCGTATATGTATATACGTTCTTATGTAGTCAGTAATTGTGGAAACGAGAAATTTTAACAGTACCTTAACCACGTGACTTCTGGTACGGGGTTTCCAGTAACCTTTGCCACCAACTTGAATGTACCTTTTTGTGGAACAGTAAGTTCTTGGAACCGTTCCGTGAAGAGTGGCGGTTCTGGAGCTCCACTTGGTATTTCTACAAAATCAGGTAAGTATTTGTTACATTCCGCTATTATTCAATTAATATGGGTATTTGATTACATATAAATATCTCCAATAAATCAATGCAAGCAGAAGCGTATCCTACCATCTATTACAGCGTAGTGTTCGAATGCGTGCTGCTGGAAGCTAATGGTCAGCGAAGGCTTCAAGTTTACTGAAAAATGATATGGCAAAGCATTTCGCAGCATTAATATACAAGCATGATTTAATACTATTTAAGTTCTATTTTGCGCTAAGCAGAGATTTTTTGGTGTTAAAATAATTGGTCCCTGTAAAATAAATCGAATTAATTTAACCCTTTGCATTTCGAGAAATTCTTGATTTCATCAATCAGAAACTTCATCATACTTTTGCAATGGGAAACATTTCGCAATCGGAACCTTTATTTAAAGAAAGAAAAGAAATATATATGTATCTTCATAAATATTATGAAAAAAAATAATATGAAGAAAATGAAATTTATATACACAGTAATTTTACTCGTATTTTTATCTCTGTTGGTAAAAATGAAAATAAATGACAAATTGCGGTTTATATCTATCTCCATTGGAGACACCAGTGGGTTAATTATGTACTTTAAGCAAACGCGTAAAGAAGCTTTTATCGCAGAATGTTAATATCTAGTACAAAATATGGTTATATTTTATAGTGTTCTTACTTTCAACTGTCAATGTAGCCTTTGTTTCAGCAGTGCCTAGATCGTTACTAGCCACTACAGAATATTCTCCTGAGTCGGATACTTGAGGTTGAATCAGTGTGAGGGTATTCACGTGGCCATCTTGTTTCGGTGTCAAGCCCTTCAGTGGTTTGCCGTTCTTGTTCCAAGTCACTTTCGGAGCCGGATTGCCAACGATTTGAGTTGACAATACCACGGTTTCTCCCTCTCGTACCACGTATGACTGCAATGGTTCTAGAATCTCTGGCGGTTCGTGCTTCCCAGTCTTCACCTGTTTAAGCGAATAGAAATTCTTAGCGATGTCAATTTCTCAGGATTAATATTTTTAGAACTATACACTTAAATAGAAGATAATGATTTAATTGCGTTTCTAATGTTATCGAAATAATAATAATAATAATCATCATCTAATTACAAACCTTCATAGGAATCTCTATGGTAGCTTCACCTTCCCTGTTCCTAGCAACGATGGTGTACTTTCCTTCCTGTTTCTTCTGCACTTTGGTAATCTTAATTACGCTGCAGTACATGTGCATATCGCTTTCAGTGGCAACTGCGATGTTCTCTTTGGATGTGATCTGCGTATTCTTGTAATACCACGTTATTTCAGGTTCTGGTACTGCCACCAATCGACATTCCAATATCACGTCATCACCCTCGTTCACGTACTTCGCCTTTGGTTTTCGAGAGAACGTCGGTGGTATGCCCTCCAAGATGTCAGCGAGGGATGATTCTCTGCAGATACATTTTTAAAATTACATAAAATATCCATCCGAAAATGTACACAAGGGTTTGTGAAATTCTAATTCATCTTGAATTAATTTTAAAATATCTGGTGTACCAATGAAGAAGAAATGATAATTAAATATGCCAACAATATGTAATAATAATAAATAATTGAGTAATAGAATTGAAGTAATTTGAAGATTATAAAAAAAAAATCATGAAAAATGAAATGTAAGAAGAGTACCGTGAGAGACTCTTTCTGGATGGACCAGTCAGATCCGATCCATGATCAGAAAGAGGAGCTTCCACGATCAATTCCGTGGTACTGGAAGCGAAACCAGCAGCGTTCTTAGCTACACAGGTGAAGGTGCCAGCATCCTCAGGGAAGACTTCCCTGATGATCAGAGTTGCTACATTATCATCGTCATAGTACATCTGGAAGTCGGGAGACGGCTTGATGATGGCTGTTTGTCGGAACCATGTTATCTGAGGCCTTGGTAAACCTTCCACTTGACATTCGAATTGAATCGTGTAGCCATCCGGAGTATGAATTGGCTGCAATTTCTCGATGAATCTGGGCGCTGATGTCTTCTCACCTGGTATGGGTTCTACGATACCAAAAATTTATTTCCTCAGTTCATCAGATACATTAATGTTGATCAGATATATTAATAATAACAACTCACGGAATCTTTTTCATTTTTGAAAAATTATTTTTATCGCTTTACAATTTTTTTCTTTATAATATTATATATTTGTATGAATGAAAAACAGATGAACGTACTTTCAAATACTGGTAATTTATCAATCTTCTCGTGCAATTTGCGCTGCAGATAATGAGTGTAGTGGACCTCGTTGAGGAGGTATTGCGCTGGAACCCAACCCTTCTCTTCGGTTAAGTGTTTCTTTACGAACCACCAGTCCTGGTTAGTGTGGTCTGTAAGAAACATGCACATAATAAATGTATCGTTATCATAGTTACTGCGGCATAAAGATACCCCGTTATCGTAAAAAAATATAGCCTTACCGATGACGTAAACTCTTTCTCCTTCGACCAGGTTAATAGCTTCGTCAGTTTCTGCCACGTACGAGCAAATCGAGAACATTGTGTCGCCGTCGCGAACAACATACTCGATATCTTCTGAAAGACCAATTCGATAAATTTTATTATAATATATTGATATTCAAACGTATCATCGATGATAGATAAATCGACAGTAAGAGATTAAAACAACTATTAAAATTATTACGAACGCACCTTCCTCTGAAATGTCTTCTTCCCTGGTGATACTAAGCGAGGCCTCTTCTGTAACGCGTCAAATAAAGTATTATAATAAAGGTAAGCAACATTAACGATACAAGCTGTTATCTATGTATTAACGTGGATGTACTATCGATATAATGGATGCTCAAAGTCGAAAGCTGCGATATATTTCACAATATTGACCATACTCGCCTATCACGAGCATAAATATCATTAGCTGACCTATTGTCGCTAGCAATTCGTTACACAGCGTTTTATTGCCATTCCGTTGAAGTACGTTATATGAAGTACCGATATGCTTTTCATTCGCAATTGGATTAAGAAGCAGGGGATTCTAGGCGAGGCTTCGTTTCAGAGGCACAGGGATATTAGGGGCAAACATACTCACTAAATGCACCGACGAAGCGCGTTAAATTCTACATTAGCTGAAAGCACGTTAGATTAAACGTTATCTGCGAAAGCGATAATCGAGAAATCCTCTCGAACCTTCTTCGAAGGTAGAAACTCGTCTCTTGCTTTTCAGCTTCAACGCTAGCGTCTCGTCAGCTTCCTCGATGGAGTACTTCCTGTCGCGTTTCAGTTTCAATTTCACGTCACCCTCCTCGATGTCTTCCACCTGGTATGGCTTGGGTACCTTCTTTCTCCTTCTTCTCAGTGGTAGCCTCATCTCATCCGTTTCCAATTCTTCGATACTGTACTCGTCTCTACCTTCTTCGTCCGATTCTATGATCTCTTCTATGATCGGACCGGAATCATCTTCGACCTCCTGCATGATCCTGATGGTTTCTTCTCCCGTTTCTTCGGAATACGTCATCGGTCGTTTCTTGGGTTTCAGTCGAACTTTACCGGACATTGATATGTCTTCTTCCTCGTAGGTGTTCAACGAGATCTTGAATTCCTGTTCCACATCCTCTTTCGTTTTCGTGGAGCGTGGTCTGAAAGTTACATTTTCTACTTCCGTCACCTCCTTGATGTCCGTTCTTGGTTTCTTCTTTGGACGTAGTTTTCGGAGAGTAACATCTTCGTAGATCTCTTCGATAGGCTTTGGAGGTAGTTTAGGAGGCTTCCGTTTGACCGTGAATTCCTGGACCTCTTCTTCTTCGGGTTGTTCTACTTCTTCGATTTTCCGGATTGTCAGTTCTTCGGCTGCAACTTCCTCCACTTTGCGTGGTGGTTTCTTCTTCTTCAGTTGCACGTCGGTTGAGACTTCTTCTTCTTCTTTAGGCTTCTCAGGAGCACGAGCTTTCTTTATGGTCACGGCTTCTTCGACTTCTTCCGTCACTGTTGGTTTCTTTTCTGGTTTCTTCTTTTTCTTGATGGTAACTTCTTCAGGTTCTTCCTCCACTTCTGTGGGAACCAGTTTCGTGATAGTTACTTCCGCAGCTTCTTCCTCGACAGTTGGTTTCTTCTTTGGCTTCTTCTTTAATGATATCTCGACCTCCTCCGGTTTCTTTTCTTCTTCTGCTGGTTTCGGTTTTGCAAGAGTCACTTCAGCTTCCTGTTCTTCTTCTACGATTGGTTTCTTTTTCGGTTTTGGTTTCAGAGTGACTTCCGTAGGAGCCTCCTCTTCCTCTTTTTCCTCCACGACAACCTTCTTGATGGTTACTTCGTCTGCAGCTTCCTCCAATACTGGTTTCTTCTTTTTTGGTTTCTTCAACTCTATTTTCTCGCTTACTTCCTCCGGTGCCTTCTCTTCTTCTTTTCCTACAGGCTTCTTCAACGTAACCTCTTCAGTCACTTCTTCTGGAACTGGTTTCTCTTTCGGTTTCTTCTTCTTTAAAGTTACTTCTTCTACAACTTCTTCCTCCTCCTTCTCTACAGGAACAGGTTTCTTGATGGTAACCTCATCGGCAGCTTCCTCTTCTACTGGCTTCTTCTTCTTTGGTTTCTTTATCTCCACTTTCTCGGTTACTTCCTCTGGCGCCTTTTCTTCTTCTTTTGGAACAGGTTTCAACGTAACTTCCTCTTTCACTTCTTCCGGAACCGGTTTTTCTTTTGGCTTCTTCTTCTTCAAAGTTACTTCTTCTATAATTTCTTCTTCCTCCTTTTCTACAGGAACAGGTTTCTTGATGGTAACCTCATCGGCAGCTTCCTCTTCTACTGGCTTCTTCTTCTTTGGTTTCTTTATTTCCACTTTCTCGGTTACTTCCTCTGGTGCCTTTTCTTTTTCTTTTGGAACAGGTTTCAATGTAACTTCCTCTTTCACTTCCTCTGGAAGCGGCTTTTCTTTCGGTTTCTTCTTCTTCAGAGTTACTTTTTCTATAATCTCTTCTTCCTCTTTTTCAACAGGCACCGGTTTCTTAATTGTAACTTCATCTGCGGCCTCCTCCTTTACAGGTTTCTTTTCCTTTGGTTTCTTGATCTCTATTTGTTCAGTTACTTCTTCAGGCGACTTTTCTTTTGGCACTTTCTTCAATGTCACTTCTTCCTTTACTTCTTCTGGGACAGGTTTTTCCTTCGGTTTTCTCTTCTTCAGAGTTACTTGTTCGGGAACTTCTTCTTTTTCTTCTACAACTGGCTTTTTGATTGTAATCTCGGCTGGAGCTTCTTCGGCTGGCTTCTCCGGTTTCTTTTTCAGAGTAATTTCTTCAATCACTTCTGGTACCTCTTCGGGTTTCTTTTCTTCAGGCTTTTTCAGAGTCACCTCTTCTTCTTTAGGAGCCTTTTCTTTTGGTTTCTTTGGTTTTACTTTACGTTTCAAGGTGACCTCTTCTGTTTCTTCTTTGGGTGCTTTAGGAGCTTCTTCTTCTTCCTTTACTGGGAACTCTTTCACACCTTCGTCCTCAGGTTTATCTTTCTTCCAGCCTTTCAGTGTTATCGTCTCCGGCTCCTCTGGTGGTTTCTCCTTTTGGGGTATTCTGAACTTAACTTCCGGTTGTTCTTCTGGTTCTGGTGGTTTGGGTTCTCCTTTGATCAACGGAATCTGTTCTATTTCCTGATCTGGTTTCTTCTTCTCTTCTCTTTCGTATGGTTTTGGAACTGGTTCTGGTGCTGGTTTTTCTGGTTCTTCACGTTCTTCAGGTTCGTACTTCTCGAGCTCTGGTCTCTCGAAGTCCAACGGTTTCAGTTCCTCGTGTTCCAGTTTCATCTTTGGTTTCTTTTTCTTTTCCGGCTTAGCTTCCTCCTCAGGTTCCGTTTTCGCTGGTTTCTTCAGCGGTTCTTCAACTTCTTCCGGTTTCTTCTCAGGAATCTTTTTCAATTTGACCTTTTCAGGTTCCACTTTTTCTTCTTCCGGAACCTTACCTTTACCAATCGGCAACTTTTGAGGCTCTTCCGGCTTCTCGGTGGGTTTCTTTGGCGCACGTTCGTACACCGATTTATCCTCCACCTTTTCTAAAGGTACTTTCTTCAACTCTTCGAATTCTTGATCCAATTTCTCTAATTTCGTGACTTCTTTCTTGGGAAGTTTAACCTTCTTCACTTTCCTCTTTAAAACTTCTAGAGCTTCTTCAGTGTTTCTAGACAAAATACCCGTTTGAACCGGATTTTCCTCTAATTCGGTTATCGTAGGATACTGTATGTCAGGCGGATAATCCCCGACAAATTTGATTGTGCTTCGCAATAGGACTTTCGGGAATTTGGTTTCCTCGATTTCCTTCTTCTTTGGAAGCCGTACCTTTTTCAATTTGATCGCAGCGAACTGGATGGCTTCTGCTGGTTCCATGTACTGAAGTTTCGTGGGTTTAAATTCTTTTCTTTCGATCTTCTGAGGAACCAATTTCTGTAATGATTCCGGCAAAGGTTTTTTCTCCTTTTTCTTCTTTGGTTCCCATTGTATCTTTTCAGGCATAGGTTCCAGTACAGGTCGTTCATACTCTGGTTCGACCCATTCCTCGATTTCATCTTTCTTCACCACTTTCTTCTTCTTTTTTACTACTTTCGTCTCCTTCGATTCCTTAGGAACTTTTTCTGTTGGTTTTTCTTCCGGAATCTTTTCCTCTTTTTTCTCTGGAGCCTTTTCTACTGGAACTTCTTTGATTATAATTTCTTCCGGTTTTTCTTCAATTGGGACTGCTTTTTGTTCCTCAGGTTCTTTTGTCGGTAGTTCTTCGGCAACGGCTTCTGGAATAACTTCTGTTGTTACTACAGTATCCTTTAGAATAACTTCTTTCTTAGCCTTGACTTTCTTTGGCTTCTCCTCCACTATTTCTTCTACCTTTTCTTCGCGTTCTTCTTCTTCAGCAACTGTGGGCTTCTTTTCTGCTGGTACTTTCTTCTTTGTCGGTTTTTCTGCTTTTGGCTTTACTTCTTTTGGTTTTTCTTCCCCTGGTTTCTCTATTACTTCTGGTTTCTCTTCCTTTGGTTTTTCTTTCACTTCCGGTTTCTCCTCCGGAATTTCTTTCACCTTTGGTTTTTCTTCGATTATCTCACCGTTCGTCACAATTTCCTCCTTCTTTTTCTTAGGTACCTTCTTTACAGAAACCTCGGTAACCTTTGCCTCTTCTTCCACCTTTTCTTCCTCTTTGGGAACAGCTTTCTCTTCCTTTGGCTTTTTCTCTGTTATCTCTTCCGTTGTTACTTCAGCCACTACTTCGGTTGTTTGTATTTCGTCCTTAGGAAGAACAGTCTTCTTAGCTTTCCTCTTCTTTGGCTCTTCCGGTGTTATCTCTTCCACAACTTCTTCCACTTGTTCCTCTTCAGCTTCCTTTGGTGTTAATTTCTTTTTGGGAGCCTTCTTCACGCTGACTTTCTTTTCTTCCACTTTAGCTTTTTCTTCCTTTTCTTCCACTACAACAGCTTTATCTTCTGCCGGTTTTTCCACTTGTAATTCTTCTTCTGCAGTCGTAGGAATGACTTCAGTTGTCACTATACTATCTTGTGGTGTTACTTCTTTCTTGGCTTTAGTTTTCTTCGGCTTCTCAGTAACGAGTTCCTCAACTTCTTCTACTACCTGTTCTTCCGTCTTAGGCACAGCTTCTTTTGGAGCTTCCTTTACTTTTACTTTCTTTGTTGTTACCTTTTCCTCCGTCTCTTTAATCTCAGTAGCCTTCTTCTTTTTAGGTTTCACTTCTTCAGGAAGCTTCTCCGTTGTTACTTCGGAAATCACTTCGGTCACTTCAACGCCCTCTTTTTCGGTGACAGTCGGTTTCACCTTCTCCTCTTTTGGTACCTCAGGCTTTATTTCTTCCACAACTTCTTCCTTTTCTTCAGCTTCAATGGCAGTAACAGGTTTCTTCTTCTTTTTCGGTACTTTCTTCACTTCCACCTGTGTGATCTTTGCTTTCTCTTCTTCCTCTTCTTCCAAGGGTTTGGCTTCTTCCGGTTTAGCCTTTTCTTCAGGCAACTCTTCGACAGATGTTTCAGTAATAATTTCTGTGATTTCCACTCCTTCCTTTGGCAAAATCTTCTTCTTGGCTTTTTCTTTAACAGGTTTCTCAATTACGATTTCTTCAACTTCCTCTACAGGCGCTTCGCCTTCCTTAATAGTCGCTTTCTTTTTCTTAATAATTTTCTTCGTCGGTGTTTCAATGATTTCTACAATTTCACGTTCTTCCATAGCCTTTGCTTCCTCAATTGTCTTCTGTATGACTTCTTCCACCACTTTCTCCTTCTTGTCTTTCGGTTTCTTTCGAATAATCTTCTTCGTTGGAGTTTCGATGATTTCAACGATCTCTTCTTCTTCTATTTCTTCTTCCGGTTTCTTTGGTGCTTTTTTCAGGTCAACTTTTGTCACTTTCACCTTTTCTTTCTCTTCCACAACGCTCGGCTTTGCCTTTTCCTTGCGTGGCTTTTCAACAACGATCTCTTCAACGATTTCTTCAGGAACACCGTCATCTCTCACTACCGCCTTCTTCTTCTTCACAACTTTCTTCGTTGGTGTCTCTATTACTTCCACTATTCGTTGTTCCTCCATTTCGATAGTTTCTTCATATGGTTTCTGAATTATTTCTTCCACAACGATTTCTTCTTCGCCCTTCTTCATAGGACGCCTCTTCTTCCTGATAATCTTGTGGGTAGGTGTTTCGATCGTTTCGAAGATTTCTTCCTCCTCCTTGATGACCACCTCTTTCTTCTTCTTCGGTGCTTTCCGTACATCGAGCTCCGTGACCGTCACGGTCTCTACTTCCTCCACGATCGGTCGCGCTTCCTGTTCTTCGGGTTGCTCTATTATTATTTCTTCCACGACTTCCTCCGTCACTTCATCCTTAGTTGTACGTGGTTTCTTCTTCTTGATAATCTTCTTGGTAGGCACAACTTCCTCAACTTCCTCGATTTCCTCGATAATTTTCTATTATTTATAAAAAGAAGAAGAAGAAATAAATTATATCCATGCTCATCACACATTATTGTACAATCGAATAACCATAAAACCGATTCTAGGTCTTACCTCATCAACCACTTCCTCCGTGACATCTGCGAAAAGAATAAAATGCTTTAGATCTGCTCGTGAACCAACAACCTCGTATCGATACTAAGCCTCTTTTTATAGCGGAAACCATTTAAATTAAACGAGGTACTAATAAAAAGCGAATAATCCAAGAGCTTGTCAACGTGTAGGCTGACCATATCATGTATACAGTATAAGATCAAGTATATTTGTCCACCATGTCTTTGTATCTTGTTCTGTTTATTTCGTATATTTATGCGCGATATATGAAGAAATGATATGTACGGGTCTCACGTGTGTATATGTAGTATATATGTGTGCACATATAATACATATACATATGATAGACGTTTAATCGATGGTGATAGTAATACGTAAGAAATGGGCTTACCTTCTGTCACTTTCTCGTCAGCTTTTGGTTTTGTCGGTCTTTTGTGTTTTGGTTTTTCGTGTATTTCTGGTGTAGTGTCTTCGTGGATTTCTGTTGTTGCTGTTAATGGTTCTTTACCTTCTTCTTCCACAGTCACCTCTTCGGTGACCTGTTCTTTACCTTCGCGTTTCCTGGTGATACGCTTTTTGCGTACCGTTTTCTTTGTTCCTTCTTCACTCACGATCTCGCTCGTTACGATCTCTTCTTTGATCTCTTCTACAGGCGCGGGTTGTACGATCGACTCGACTGGCACGGCTTCGAGTTTATCCACTACGAATTCTTCCACGGTTACTACAGGCTCTACGCCTTCTTCCTCCACGGTTGTCTCTTCCAAAACCTTTGGTTTCTCATCGCCACGCTTTGTCGTGGTCTTCTTCTTTTTGATCTTTCTCTGTTTCTTTTCTGGTGTTTCTTCCGTGATCACGGTCGTAACGACCTCGACAGTCTCGACAATGTCATCGTCTTTGGGAACAAACTTCAGGTAATCTTCCGGTTTCTTTTCTTCTTCTTTCTCTTCCTTAGGTTTCTTCCAAGGTTTCAGCTTGATCTTTTCTGGCTCTTCCGTTGGAGCTTCCCTTTCAGGAATTCTCCTCTTAATTTTATCCTCTTCTTCCGGCTCTTCCGGTTTAGGAACACCTGGTACTATTGGAACAGCCTCTATTTCTTGATCCGGAGCCTTGCGTTCTTTCTTTGGCTTCTTACTTGGTACCTTCTTGGGTATCTTCTTCTCTGGCTCAGGATACTCTGGCTTTTCTCTTTCTTCTAGCTCAAGTTCAATGGGTTCGACATCGTACGGTTCGAATGGTTTCAGTTCAGGATACTCTCTCTCTTCTTTCTCTTTCTTCGGTTTGTCTTCTTCTCCTTTCTTCTTTGGAATAGGAGCTAGTTCTTCCGAAACATCTGGAACCTTCTCTGGTATCTTTTTCAATTTCACAATCTCCTGTTCCTCTACCTCTTCAGGCCGACGCTTTCCTTTGCCTATTTTCAGTTTCTTTGGTTTTTCTTCTTCAGGCTCTTCGGGCTTAGGTTTACGTTCGTATGGTGTTATCTCTTCAACCTTTTCTAACGGAACTTTCTTCAGTTCTTCGAACTCTTGATCCAATTTCTCTAGCTCTGTTATTTCCTTCTCTGGCAGTTTTACTTTCTTATGCTTCACTTTCTTCAATTTCAGCGCTTCTTCCATTGTACGCGACAGAATTCCATTCTGTACGTAATTAGGTTCGAGTTCGGTTATGATTGGGTACTTTATGGAAGGTGGCCATTCGTGTTCCGTAATGCGACTGCGCAACAGGATTTTGGGGAACTTGGTTTCTTCCTTGTCGTCCTTCTTCTTGGGTTTGGTTGGAGCTTTTTTCAGTTTAATCTGTGCGAACAGAGGAGTAGCTGGTTCTTCGATTTTGGGTTTGATTGGCTTCTGTTCTTTAATGCTGATCCTCATCAATTCAGGCTTCGCACCTTTAACTTTCTCAACAGGTTTCTTCTTTTTCGGTTTCTTCACTGGTTTCTCCTCTGGCATTGGCTCCTCGAGTTTCTCCAGTGGTAGTTCCTTCTTCAGTTCCTCGAACTCTTGATCTAGTTTCTCCAGCTTGGCGATCTCTTTCTCCAAACGCTTTATCTTCTTCTTCTTAGGTTTCGGTAGAGTGGCGGCTTCCTCGACATTGCGAGACAGAATGCCATTCTGGACTTCATTTGGTTCGAGCTCCTCGACTTTAGGGTATTTGATCGATGGAGGCCACTCTATGGCTTTGATTCGACTTCGAAGAAGAACACGTGGAATTTTCTCCTTCTTTTCTACCGGACGTTTCGCCGTTGGAGTCTTGCGCAATTTAATTTGAGCAAATTGTGGTTTGTCCACAGATATTTCTTGTACTTCCAGTTTTGTCGCTTCGACTTTGGTAACTTTGAGACGCTGCAGTTTGACAGGTTTTTTAGCTTCATCTCGTGGGACTTCTGGAGCTTCAGGTGCTTCAACCTTTTCCTCGCCAGGGACAGGAACTTTCTTAGGAACTTTCTTTTTGACAACCTTCTTCGGCTTACCTTTCTCTGTAACGATTTCGGTGACTGTTACTTCTTCAGGTGTTTCTTCTACCTCTGTGGGTTCAACACGTTCCGGAGCAGGTAGTGCTTTCAGTGTTTCCTCAACTATTTCTTCCGTAGGACCCTCGGTGATGCTCGTGACAGGTGCTTTTCCCTGTTCTTCGACAGTTACGACCTCTGTCACTTGTTGTTCTTTGCCCTTCCGTTTGATGACTTTCTTCTTTGTAACTTTTTTGGGCTTGCCTTCCTTGGTCACTTCTTGGGTAACGGTAACTTGTTCACGAACCTCTTCTACCTCGTCTGGTTTCGCGTGTTCCGGAGCAGGCAACGCTTTCAGTACTTCGTCAACTATTTCTTCCGTAGGACCTTCAGTCACAGTTGTAACAGGTCGTTTACCTTGTTCTTCGACTGTTACAACTTCCGTGACCTGCTGTTCTTTGCCCTTGCGTCTGGTAACCTTTTTCTTGGTGACTTTCTTCGGCTTGCCTTCTCTGGTTATTTCTTCAGTGACAGTCACCTGTTCACGAACTTCTTCTACTTCGGATGGTTTAACTTTCTCTGGAGCAGGTAGTGGTTTAATTATTTCTTCAACCACTTCCTCGACAGGTCCTTCAGTTACAGTTGTTACGGGAGCTTTTCCTTGTTCTTCAATTGTAGTCACCTCAGTGACTTGTTGTTCCTTTCCTTTACGTTTGACAACTTTCTTTTTGGTTATTTTCTTTGGTTTGCCTTCTTTGGTAACCTCTTGAGTCACTGTGACCTGTTCACGAACTTCTTCCACTTCAGATGGTTTAGCATACTCTGGAGCCGGTAGAGCTTTCAGTGTTTCTTCGATTATTTCTTCCGTAGGACCTTCAGTGACAGTTGTGACTGGAATTTTGCCTTGTTCTTCAACTGTAACTATTTCAGTTACGTGTTGTTCTTTTCCTTTACGTTTGGTAACCTTCTTCTTAGTGACTTTCTTGGGTTTGCCTTCTTTAGTCAATTCTTCAGTAACAGTAACCTGTTCACGAACTTCTTCTACTTCTGATGGTTTCACACGTTCTGGAGCAAGCATTGGCTTTATTACTTCTTCCACCACTTCTTCAACAGGACCTTCAGTAACAGTTGTGACAGGTGCCTTTCCTTGTTCTTCAACGGTAACAACTTCTGTTACTTGTTGGTCTTTGCCTTTGCGCTTGACAACCTTCTTCTTGGTGGTCTTCTTTGGCTTTCCTTCTTTGGTAACTTCCTGTGTAACAGTGACTTGTTCACGGATCTCTTCCACTTCGTCTGGTTTAGCATATTCTGGTGTAGGTAAGACTTTTACTTTCTCTTCAACAATCTCCTCAATAGGACCTTCAGTAACAGAAGTAACCGGAGCTTTACCCTGTTCTTCGACTGTTACTACTTCAGATACTTGTTGTTCTCTTCCTTTGCGTTTAATCACTTTCTTTTTAGTGACTTTCTTCGGCTTACCTTCCTTGGTTATTTCTTCAGTGACCGTTACTTGTTCCTGAACTTCTTCTACTTCAGATGGTGTAACAAATTCAGGAGCAGGAAGAGGTTTCAGTACATCCTCAAGTACTTCTTCTACAGGGCCTTCAGTGATTGTTGTTACAGGAGCTTTACCTCTCTCCTCAACTGTGACAACTTCTGTTACCTGTTGCTGTTGTCCTTTTCGTTTAATGACTTTCTTCTTTGTGACCTTCTTTGGTTTACCTTCTTTAGTTATTTCTTGGGTAACAGTAACTTGTTCTCTAACTTCTTCTATTTCATCTGGTTTTGCATGCTCTGGCGCAGGTAAGGCTTTTATCGTTTCTTCAACTATTTCCTCTGTTGGACCTTCTGTAATGACAGTAACTGGTGCCTTGCCCTGTTCTTCAACCGTGACAACTTCAGAGACCTGTTGCTCCCTTCCTTTACGTTTAATGACTTTCTTTTTAGTGACTTTCTTAGGTTTACCTTCTTTAGTCACCTCTTCAGTCACTGTAACTTGTTCACGGACTTCTTCTACTTCAGATGGTTTGATTCTTTCCGGTGCTGGCAATGGTTTTATTATTTCTTCGACTAATTCTTCAATAGGTCCTTCAGTTACCGTTGTAACAGGAGCTTTACCTTGTTCCTCAACTGTGACTAACTCGGTAACCTGTTGCTCCTTTCCTTTGCGTTTGATGACTTTCTTCTTGGTTATCTTTTTAGGTTTACCTTCTTTTGATACCTCTTCAGTTACAGTTAACTGTTCACGTACTTCTTCTACTTCACCAGGTTTAGCATAGTCTGGAATTGGCATAGGTTTCAGAAGTTCTTCGACTACTTCTTCAACAGGGCCTTCGGATACAGTCGTGACAGGCTTCTTTCCTTGTTCTTCAACGGTTACAAGTTCAGTTACTTGTTGTTCTTTGCCTTTACGTTTGATTATCTTCTTCTTAGTCGTCTTCTTTGGTTTACCTTCTTTTGTTACTTCTTGCGTAACGGTAACCTCTTCACGAACTTCTTCAACATCAGATGGTTTTACATATTCTATTATCGGAAGAATTTTAATATGTCTTCTACGATTTCTTCCACTGGGCCCTCAGTTATAGTTGTAACAGGTCGTTTACCTTGTTCCTCAACCGTAACAACTTCAGTTACTTGTTGTTCTTTGCCCTTACGTTTAATTACTTTCTTCTTGATGATTTTCTTTGGTTTACCTTCTTTAGTAACTTCCTCTGTGACAGTCACTTGTTCACGAACTTCTTCCACTTCAGATGGTTTTACAAATTCAGGTGCAGGCAGCGGTTTCAATACTTCTTCTATTACTTCTTCCACTGGACCTTCAGTGACTGTTGTAACTGGAGCCTTGCCTTGTTCCTCAACTGTGACAACTTCAGTGACTTGCTGTTCCCTTCCTTTACGTTTGATGACTTTCTTCTTAATAGTTTTCTTTGGTTTACCTTCTCTTGTCACTTCTTCAGTAACAGTCACTTGTTCGCGAACCTCTTCTACTTCAGATGGTTTGACAAGTTCTGGTGCAGGTAGTGGTTTAATTATTTCTTCTACCACTTCCTCCACAGGTCCTTCAGTTACAGTAGTTACAGGTGCTTTACCTTGTTCTTCTACGGTAACCACCTCTGTCACCTGTTGTTCTTTACCCTTACGTTTTATGATCTTCTTTTTAATAGTTTTCTTTGGTTTACCTAATCTTGTCACTTCTTCTGTAACAGTCACTTGTTCACGAACTTCTTCCACTTCAGATGGTTTTACAAATTCAGGTGCAGGCAGTGGTTTCAGTACCTCTTCTATTACTTCTTCCACTGGACCTTCAGTGACTGTTGTAACTGGAGCCTTGCCTTGTTCCTCAACTGTGACAACTTCAGTGACTTGCTGTTCCCTTCCTTTACGTTTGATGACTTTCTTCTTAATAGTTTTCTTTGGTTTACCTTCTCTTGTCACTTCTTCAGTAACAGTCACTTGTTCGCGAACCTCTTCTACTTCAGATGGTTTGACACGTTTAGGAGCAGGTAAAGGCTTTACAGTTTCCTCAACTACTTCCTCCACTGGGGTTTCTTTTACAGTGATAACTGGTGCCTTATCTTGTTCTTCAACTGTTACTATTTCAGTTACCTTCTGTTCTTGTCCTTTGCGCTTAATGATCTTCTTCTTTGTTGTTTTCTTTGGTTTACCTTCCTTGGTTATTTCTTCTGTAACTGTAACTTGTTCGCGTACTTCTTCAATTTCGGTTGGCTTGATACGTTCCAGTAACGGTAGTGGCTGTGTCTTCTCATCCACTATTTCTTCAATAGGACCCTCAGTAATAGTTGTCTCTGGTGCTTTTCCTTCTTCTTCCACAGTCATAATTTCAGTAATCTGTTGTTTTGGCCCCTTACGTTTAATGATCTTCTTTTTCGTTGTTTTCTTTGGTTTGCCCAGTTTAGTGATTTCCTCGGTGACTGTAACTTGCTCACGAACTTCCTCAACCTCACCTGGTTTAACATATTCCAGTGCTGGTAAAGGTTTTATTGTTTCATCGACAACTTCTTCAACTGGTCCTTCTGTCACAGTTGTTACGGGTGCCATTCCTTTCTCCTCCACTGTAACAACTTCGGTAACTTGCTGCTTTCTTCCTTTGCGTTTGATAAGTTTCTTCTTTGTAATTTTCTTAGGCTTACCTTCTCTGGTCACCTCTTCTGTAACAGTTACTTGTTCTTGTACCTCCTCTACGTCTACTGGTTTAATAAATTCTGGTTTAATAATTTCCTCTACTATTTCTTCAACTGGACCTTCAGTTACCGTTGTGACTGGCGTTTTACCCTTTTCTTCTACCGTAACTTCTTCTGTTACTTGTTGTTCCTTGCCTTTACGTTTTATCACCTTCTTCTTAATCACCTTCTTGGGTTTGCCCTCCTTCGTTGTTTCTTCTGTTACTGTCACCTGTTCGCGAACTTCTTCTACTTCAGTTGGTTCAACTTTCTCTGGAGCAGGAAGTGGCTTAATTATTTCTTCCACCACTTCCTCCACAGGACCCTCAGTTACAGTAGTTACAGGTGCTTTACCTTGTTCTTCTACGGTAACCACCTCTGTCACCTGCTGTTGCTTACCCTTGCGCTTAATGATCTTCTTCTTAATAGTTTTCTTTGGTTTACCTAGTCTCGTCACTTCTTCAGTTACTGTTACTTGTTCGCGAACTTCTTCTACTTCAGTTGGTTTAACTTTCTCTGGAGCAGGAAGTGGCTTAATTATTTCTTCCACCACTTCCTCCACAGGACCCTCAGTTATAGTAGTTACCGGAGCTTTACCCTGTTCTTCAACGGTAACCTCCTCTGTCACCTGCTGTTGCTTACCCTTGCGCTTAATGATCTTCTTCTTAATAGTTTTCTTTGGTTTACCTAGTCTCGTCACTTCTTCAGTTACTGTTACTTGTTCGCGAACTTCTTCTACTTCAGTTGGTTCAACTTTCTCTGGAGCAGGAAGTGGCTTAATTATTTCTTCCACCACTTCCTCCACAGGACCCTCAGTTACAGTAGTTACAGGTGCTTTACCTTGTTCTTCTACGGTAACCACCTCTGTCACCTGTTGTTCTTTACCTTTACGTTTTATGATCTTCTTTTTAATAGTTTTCTTTGGTTTACCTAATTTTGTTACTTCTTCAGTTACTGTCACTTGTTCGCGAACTTCTTCTACTTCAGTTGGTTTAACTTCCTTTGGTGCTGGTAATGGCATAATTATTTCTTCAACCACTTCTTCTACAGGACCTTCAGTCACAGTTGTTACAGGTGCTTTACCCTGTTCTTCAACGGTAACCTCTTCTGTTACCTGCTGTTGCTTACCCTTGCGCTTAATGATCTTTTTCTTAATAGTTTTCTTAGGTTTACCCAATTTCGTCACTTCTTCAGTGACAGTCACTTGTTCGCGAACTTCTTCTACTTCAGTTGGTTTAACTTCCTTTGGTGCTGGTAATGGCATAATTATTTCTTCAACCACTTCTTCTACAGGACCTTCAGTCACAGTAGTTACCGGAGCTTTATCCTGTTCTTCAACGGTAACCTCCTCTGTTACTTGCTGTTGCTTACCCTTGCGCTTAATGATCTTCTTCTTTACAGTTTTCTTAGGTTTACCCAATTTCGTCACTTCTTCAGTGACAGTCACTTGTTCGCAAACTTCTTCTACATCTGTTGGCTTAACTTCTTCCAACGCAAGCAATGGTTTAATTATTTCTTCAACCACTTCTTCCACAGGACCTTCAGTCACAGTAGTTACCGGAGCTTTACCCTGTTCTTCAACGGTAACCTCCTCTGTTACTTGCTGTTGCTTACCCTTGCGCTTAATGATCTTCTTCTTTACAGTTTTCTTAGGTTTACCCAATTTCGTCACTTCTTCAGTGACAGTCACTTGTTCGCAAACTTCTTCTACATCTGTTGGCTTAACTTCTTCCAACGCAAGCAATGGTTTAATTATTTCTTCAACCACTTCTTCCACAGGACCTTCAGTCACAGTAGTTACCGGAGCTTTACCCTGTTCTTCAACGGTAACCTCCTCTGTTACTTGCTGTTGCTTACCCTTGCGCTTAATGATCTTCTTCTTAATAGTTTTCTTTGGTTTACCTAGTTTCGTTACTTCTTCAGTTACTGTTACTTGTTCGCGAACTTCTTCTACTTCAGTTGGTTCAACTTTCTCTGGAGCTGGAAGTGGCTTAATTATTTCTTCAACCACTTCTTCTACAGGACCTTCAGTCACAGTAGTTACCGGAGCTTTACCCTGTTCTTCAACGGTACCCTCCTCTGTCACCTGCTGCTCCTTACCCTTGCGCTTAATGATCTTCTTCTTAATAGTTTTCTTTGGTTTACCTAGTTTCGTTACTTCTTCAGTTACTGTCACTTGGTCGCGAACTTCTTCTACTTCCGTTGGTTCAACTTTCTCTGGAGCTGGAAGTGGCTTAATTATTTCTTCAACCACTTCTTCTACAGGACCTTCAGTCACAGTAGTTACCGGAGCTTTACCCTGTTCTTCAACGGTACCCTCCTCTGTCACCTGCTGCTCCTTACCCTTGCGCTTAATGATCTTCTTCTTAATAGTTTTCTTTGGTTTACCTAGTTTCGTTACTTCTTCAGTTACTGTCACTTGGTCGCGAACTTCTTCTACTTCCGTTGGTTCAACTTTCTCTGGAGCTGGAAGTGGCTTAATTATTTCTTCAACCACTTCTTCTACAGGACCTTCAGTCACAGTAGTTACCGGAGCTTTACCCTGTTCTTCAACGGTACCCTCCTCTGTCACCTGCTGCTCCTTACCCTTGCGCTTAATGATCTTCTTCTTAATAGTTTTCTTTGGTTTACCTAGTTTCGTTACTTCTTCAGTTACTGTCACTTGGTCGCGAACTTCTTCTACTTCCGTTGGTTCAACTTTCTCTGGAGCTGGAAGTGGCTTAATTATTTCTTCAACCACTTCTTCTACAGGACCTTCAGTCACAGTAGTTACCGGAGCTTTACCCTGTTCTTCAACGGTACCCTCCTCTGTCACCTGCTGCTCCTTACCCTTGCGCTTAATGATCTTCTTCTTAATAGTTTTCTTTGGTTTACCTAGTTTCGTTACTTCTTCAGTTACTGTCACTTGGTCGCGAACTTCTTCTACTTCCGTTGGTTCAACTTTCTCTGGAGCTGGAAGTGGCTTAATTATTTCTTCAACCACTTCTTCTACAGGACCTTCAGTCACAGTAGTTACCGGAGCTTTACCCTGTTCTTCAACGGTACCCTCCTCTGTCACCTGCTGCTCCTTACCCTTGCGCTTAATGATCTTCTTCTTAATAGTTTTCTTTGGTTTACCTAGTTTCGTTACTTCTTCAGTTACTGTCACTTGGTCGCGAACTTCTTCTACTTCCGTTGGTTCAACTTTCTCTGGAGCTGGAAGTGGCTTAATTATTTCTTCAACCACTTCTTCTACAGGACCTTCAGTCACAGTAGTTACCGGAGCTTTACCCTGTTCTTCAACGGTACCCTCCTCTGTCACCTGCTGCTCCTTACCCTTGCGCTTAATGATCTTCTTCTTAATAGTTTTCTTTGGTTTACCTAGTTTCGTTACTTCTTCAGTTACTGTCACTTGGTCGCGAACTTCTTCTACTTCCGTTGGTTCAACTTTCTCTGGAGCTGGAAGTGGCTTAATTATTTCTTCAACCACTTCTTCTACAGGACCTTCAGTCACAGTAGTTACCGGAGCTTTACCCTGTTCTTCAACGGTACCCTCCTCTGTCACCTGCTGCTCCTTACCCTTGCGCTTAATGATCTTCTTCTTAATAGTTTTCTTTGGTTTACCTAGTTTCGTTACTTCTTCAGTTACTGTCACTTGTTCGCGAACTTCACCTGTTGTTCTTTACCTTCCACAGGACCTTCAGTCACAGTAGTTACCGGAGCTTTACCCTGTTCTTCAACGGTAACCTCCTCTGTCACCTGCTGCTCCTTACCCTTGCGCTTAATGATCTTCTTTTTAATAGTTTTCTTAGGCTTACCTAGTTTTGTCACTTCTTCAGTTACTGTCACTTGTTCGCGAACTTCTTCTACTTCAGTTGGTTTAACTTTCTTTGGTGTTGGTAGTGGCATAATTATTTCTTCCACTACTTCTTCCACTGGACCCTCGGTTACAGTAGTTACAGGAGCTTTACCTTGTTCTTCAACGGTAACCACTTCTGTCACCTGTTGTTCTTTACCCTTACGTTTAATGATCTTCTTCTTAATAGTTTTCTTAGGTTTGCCCAATTTTGTCACTTCTTCTGTAACTGTCACCTGCTCTCTTACCTCCTCCACTTCTGTTGGCTTAATTTTCTCTGGGACTGGCAGTGGTTTGATCGTCTCTTCCACCAGTTCCTCTATTGGTCCTTCAGTCACCGTCGTTACCGGTTTCTTACCTTCTTCTTCTACAGTGATAACTTCTGTCACTTGTTGTTCCTGTCCTTTGCGTTTGATGATTTTCTTTTTAGTAGTCTTCGTCGGTTTACCTAATTTTGTTACTTCTTGTGTAACCGTGACTTGTTCGCGAACTTCTTCCACTTCCGAAGGTTTAGCATACTCTGGTGCTGGTAAACGTATCACTGTCTCTTCAACCACTTCTTCTACAGGACCTTCAGTTACGGTTGTCTGTGGTGCTTTTCCTTCTTCTTCGACTGTCGTTTCCTCCGTTACCTGTTGCGTTTTTCCTCGTTTACGTATTATTCGCTTTTTCGTCACTTTCTTTCTCTCATCCTTATCCTGAACCTGAATGACTTCCACTTCTACTTTTTCTTCTTCTTTCTGCGTTGTTTCTTCGGCTTCGTCGATTCTCGTTGGTATAATTTCTTCGACATCCATTGGTGTTGTTATCTCTTCAATAGGCATGAATTGTTTCTTTGGTATCGATGGTATTTTCGGTTTAATGTCTTCAAGTTCTTCCTCAATGACGACGACATTGTCTTCCTCTTCTCTTGTCTTAGGCCTTTTCTTACGTATAATCGTTTTCTTTGTTTTAACCGCCGCAGTCTCATCTTCTGTACTTCCGCGCCTGAATTTCGTCGTGTATTCTTCTGTTACCTCTGTGTCTGATTCGATCAACTGTTGCTGTGGCGTATCGTGTTTTGTTGTGTGTTGTGTGATTGTGATGTGATGTTGTTGCGCTGGTACTTCTGTAGTTTCTGAAATGTATACAAGAACAAGTGTGATATGATTAACGTGTTGTGATAGAATCGTTTCGCACTATTTGCTTTTCTTTTACTTTTGGTTTGACTTCTCACATAATCGCGATAGCTCGCCGAAACCGGGTTCGGGATGTTTTGTAAAATTGTTTATGCTATCGCTTCGTGACTTACAAAATCGCTCGACCCTACATCAAATGATATTGTATGTTCTTTGTCTGATGAAGTGAACTGTTATGTGTCCTGTGTGTGTGGTAGGGTAGCCTGTGTTGTATCTATGCGTTGCTCGACAATGTGTCTGATTTTGTGTGTTGTCTACTCATACCTACCTTGCACGATTTCTTTTCGTATCTTACACCATTATCCTACATCTCACGACCCTATCAAACCTGCCTGATGACACGTTTAAACATTTAGCGCGATGATCGTTCTTCCTCTTCTATCGAGCCTCCCCTACTATCTCTCGACAAACAAGTTATGAACCTCTATCGTCAATGCGTCTCCTGGTCCTTTGCTAATCGTCCACGTGCACGTCTGTCCCGTCGATGCCAATCGTATACCTTGATAACAATAATACTCACCCACAACGTGTTCCAGGTGTTCTGCTTCGATAGTAACGCTTGCTAACTTCGCGAAAGGTATTACAGACTCGGGCATTTCTGACTCAAGCTCACCAGCGCTCAGGTGTTCTGTCACGATTACACCTTGCTGAATTTCTTCTACGCCTTTGGCTATTTTACTTTCCGGTTTCGTCACTTTAAACTCAGCCACCACATCTTCGGGCTGAATCTCAGTTTTCAACGCAACTTCGCGTTTGATCACGTCAGGTTGAGCTGATACTTCCTTGGCAATGCCTTTAATCACTTCCTTCGATTCCTGTTCAGTAGCCGTCACTTGGGTCACTTCGACGCTCTCAGACACCCGGAACGACATCTCAGCCGTGGCTGATTTGACTATTTTCTCTGCAGCGAAGGTACCTTCGCTTTCTTGGGTCACCGGTTGCAGTTGTTCGATACTTTCAAATGGAATTTGTTCAGGAATTATCTGCTTGGTATCCGGTTTTTCTGCTTCTTGTAGATCTCCCGCAGTGGCTGATGGAATCACCTGAGATTTCTGTGCAACCTGGATACCTAACAGACTAGGTTTGGCAGTTTGCTCGGTAGGTTCGTCTGGAGTCGGTAGACCCTTTTCTGTCTCGCCAAACGCGACTTCTGAAACTAATAGCGGAAGCAGTTCCTCCAGTTGAGGTTTCCCTTTCTGTTCCTCCGGTGCTTTCGGCTTTGGAAGCTCCTCTGCACTGGTTACTGTTAATACCTCGGATGTTTCTGCCACTTCGATGCTGTCTAACTGTGGCAGAGCTTTACGTTCTTTAGGAGCTTCTGGAGTAGGAAGCTCCTTCTCTGTTTCCGTCGATACCACTTCTGAAACCGTGATGAAGCTCAACTCTTCCACGTCTGGTCTGCCTTTCTGGCCTTCTGGTTTCTCGGGTTTCTGAAGTTCTTCAACGTTCGTCACTGTCAGGATTTCTGTCTTTTCGGCTACTTCTCTGCCAATCATCTGTGGCTGAGCAATCTTTTCGCTCGGTTTTTCAGGAGACGGTAAGGTGTCTTCTAATTCGCTGGATACCACTTGGGATACCGTTATGGACGTCAGCTCGTCCAATCGTGGTTTTCCTTTCTGTTCCTCCGGTAGCACATCTTTCACCAGTTCTTCAACGTTAGTCACTGTTAGAACCTGACTAGTTTCAGCTACTTCTCTTCCAGATAGCGCAGGCTTAGCTGTAACTGTACTCGGAGCTATCTGCTTCTCCAAAGTCTCCTCAGCTTCGTGCGACACTGTTTGAGAGACCGTGATTGATGTTAGTTCCTCTACATTTGGTTTTCCTTTCTGTTGCTCTGGTGCAAGATCAGCTGTCAGTTCTTCAGCTGAAATCATGGTCAGTACTTGCGTAGTCTCGGCCACATCGCGACCAGTTAAACTCGGCTGAGCCATTTTCTCCGTAGGCACCTCTGGACTGGGTAACACGTCCTCCATTTCCGTGGAAATCGTTTGCGATACGGATAAAGAGACAAACTCTTCCAAACCAGGAATTCCTTTCTGTTCGCCAGGTTTCTTATCTTCGGTCAACGTGTCGACATTCGCCATGGTTAACACTTCCATTGTCTGCGCTACATCTCTGCCTGTCAGACTCGGTTGAGCCTCTCTTTCAACTGGCACTTCTGGTACGGGTAATGTTCCTTCTGCTTCTTGAGAGACTACTTGCGAGATAGTCAATGGCGATAGTTCCTCTACTTGTGGTTTACCTTTCTGTTCTTCAGGTGCTTTGGGTGCCAAGAGTTCCTCTGCACTGGCCATAGTCAACACTTGTATGGTCTCAGCTACGTCTCTCCGGACAGCAGTTGGTAGTGCTTCCTCTGCTTCTCCAGACACCACGTGGGATACTGTAAGAGGAGTCAATTCTTCTAATTTGGGTTTTCCTTTCTGTTCTTCGGGTCGTTTCAGCGAGAGTTCTTCAGCTTCAGCTATGGTAGTCACTTGAGACGTTTCTGCAGCCTCTCGGCCAGTGATATTGAAGTCGGCTTTCTGATCCTTAGGTGTGATCTTGGAAGCAAGGACGTCCTCGGTTTCGTGAGAAATTACTTCGCTGATTGCTATGGAAGACAGTTCTTCTACTTCCACTTTGCCCTGTTGTTCTTTCAGCTGGGTCACTTTCTCGAATTCTTCTGTAGTTGCAGCGGTGATCACTTGCATTACTTCGGGAACTTCTCTGCCTGTTAGACTAGGCTGAGCTTGTTGTTCTTTGGGAGCGACAGCTGCTGGTAGTACGTCTTCGATCTCGCTGGGGATCACTTCGGTGATCATGACAGTGCTAAGACCCTCCATTTGAGGCTTGCCTTTTTGCTGTTCAGGCTTGAAGTCTTTTCCTTCGAACGTATCTTCGCGTTCAGCCACAGTCGTCTCCATCTTTACGGCTGTTTCTATGACAGTCTGGGTCATCGTGGCCTGAGAAGATACTCGTTTCTCTTCCTGAATCTCCTGAGTACTCTGAATGCTTTCCACCATGGATCCAATGACAGTTTCGTGTAGACTAATATCTTGAGTAGCTCTGGCTCCTTCTCGTTTAGGCACCACGTCGAATGCACTCTCCTTATCTTCTGTAATAGTTTCTGAGACCTCGAGTGGTGTTACTTTCTGGATATCGATATCTGCTTTTTGAGTCTGAGGTTTGAACACACCTTCGAACGTGCGTTCGCTTTCTTCGACTATATTTTCGTTCACAATGATGCTTTCGAACGTGTCCTGTCCAGGAATAGCTACCTGAGGCTTGAAGCTCACTTCCTGTACCTTATCTGGCATATCGACCTGAGATTCGACCATGGTCGTTTCAACGATGTTACGTTCCGTAATGATAGTACTGCTAGCTGTCTGAGAAGCCTCCAGTTTCTTTTCCTTTAGCACAGACTCCACTTCTGCCGAAGTAACTTCAGTCACAGATATTCCATGACCTTCCTCGAACGTTGGTATAGCTGTAGAGGTAACCATTTTTGGATACTTGTCGAAAATTCCCTCGCTCTCAGCACTAGGAGTCTCTTCGATGATGACAGGTTCGAGGGCGTCTTGTTTAGGATGTGCTTTAACTTCGTGTTTTTCGAGCGGTTGAACAGATCCAGTGCTCTGATCTACGAACACTTGTGTCTTCTGCGCCACGTCCATTCCTACCTTGGTCAGTGTCACTTCTGCAGTGCTTTCTTCGCGTTTCTTTACCGTCATCACGTCTTCCTTGTCTTGTGTGATAACGTGAGATACTGTAACGCTCTTTCCTTCCACGAAGCTGACAGTCGCACTGCGTTTGTCTAGCTTCATTTTTTCCTCGAATAGATCACTGTGCTCTTGTGGAACTGTCTCACTGATGTCGACGCTCTCTAACGTGGTCTGCGTGGGATGAGCCTCGAAGGTGGTTGGTCGTGGTGCCTCTGGGAGGTCTCCCAGTCCTTCTTTAAGACTCACCTCCATCTGTTCAGCAACCTCTTTGCCCTCCATGGCTGGTTTCGCTACTTCCTCGCGAGGTTTCTTCATGGCTTCCAGTTCTGTCTCAACATCCTGAGTTGTGGTAGCTTCGGTGATAGCTATGAATCTGTTCTCGTCTACAATTACTTTAGCACTAGTCTTCTGCAAAGATAATTCTTTCACCTTGTCTACTTCTTTCTCAGCCAGCACTTGCTCAGTCATTTCGATCGTTTCGAATGGTTTCTGGCCCACCTGTGCCGTTGCTGTAACAGGCTTCACGATGTCTACTTCTCCTGTACTCTGTTGTGGAATGATCTCCGACCTTTCAGCAACTTCGTGTCCAGATACGATAGCTGGTACTGCCGATCGTGTCTTCTCTTCTTGGATAGTCTTTAATATCTCTTCCTTGTCTGCAGCACTCACTTCGGTGACGGTAGTCACGCGTTTGCCTTCTTCGATGGACACTTCTACCTTCTGAATTGCTGGCTTGAACTTTCCTTCGAAGATATTCTCTTGATCCTGGACTATATCTTGCGTGACCACTACGCTCTGGTATACTTCCTGGCTAGTTAAAGCCTTCTTAGTGTCTGGTTTCTCTATCTTCACTTCCGCTACTGAATCCTCGACTAAGATGGTGGTCGTTTCAGCAATGCCGTGTGTGGTGTCTAGTCCAATCGAAGCTGCATGTTTCGACGGCTGTTCTTCGGTGATATACAGGGATTCCTTGTCAGCTGGAGTTATTTGGGATACTGTCACGATTTTCCTACCTTCTTCCAGGTCCACAATGGCGGTCTTATCCTCCGGTAGTTGACCAGGAACGAATTTGTCTTCGCTTTCCTGAACGACAGTCTGAGACTCTATCAAAGGTGTGAATGGAATATGTTCAGGCACAGCGATGGCACTTGATGGTTTTTCTTGGACAAGTTCACCAGTGCTGAAGTCTACAACTTGCATGGTTGTTTCTGCAACCACGTGACCAGAAACCAAGGTCTTCCCAGCTGTCTTCATCTCTGGTAATTCTTTAGTCTTGTATTCTTCCTCTTTATCTTCCAGTACTACGGCTGATACTTGTATACTCTGTGTTTCCACCATAGACAAGTCAGCCAGAGCTTCCAATGGTGCTTTGTCTTTGGTGAATAATCCCTCAGCTTCAGTTGCTTGTATCTCTGAGCTGATGACAGCTTCCAGAGGGATATTTGAGGGTGCAGCTGATGCAGAAACAGGTTTCAACTCTTCCAATTTTCCAGCACTGGAATCTACGGTTATCTCGGTCTTCTCAGCGATCACGTGACCAGTAAACTGAACACTAGCCTGTTTCTCACTCGGTTTTTCAGGAATCTGAAGAATGTCTTCCTTGTCAGCTGGGATTTCAGTGGTAGTCGTAGCACTGATGATCTCACTGATAGACACATCTGCTTTGTTAGTGATTACAGGTTTGTCTTTGAATTCTTTCTCAGTCTCAGACACGATGGTCTCAGTTTGGACGATGCTCTCGAATGGTATTTGTTCTTCTTTAGCAGCGACTGTGGCTGGAGCAGGTATAGTCAGATCTCCAGAAATCGCAGCTGGGTTGATCTCCGTCAACTGAGCAACCTTATGAGCATCAAAGCTAGGAGTAGCCTGTTCACCTTGAATCTCTAACTTCTTGAAGTACTCCTTTTCCTTGTCTGACGCGATCGTCTCGATCACCGTAACTCCTATTTCTTCCTGGAAGGAAACGTCGACCACTTTCTTCTCGGGTTGCACAAAGTCTTCCATTGGTTTCTCTAGATCACCAGGAGCTGTCTCAGAGGTGATAACGCTACGGAAAGTGATGTGGTCTGTCGTAGCTGTAGCAGTGGGTGCTTCTTCTCGCGTGAACTCGCCCAGATTGTCCGTCGTGGTCGTCTCGCTGGTTTGAGCTACTATGTGGGTTGGAATGTCGAAGCTGGCCGATTTGGTCTCTGGTTTCTCAGCTTCCGGCAGCAAACTCTCCTTGTCCTCTGTAGTCACTGCCGAGACAATCAGACTTTCACCAGTCACGAACTCGAGAGTCGCTTTCTTGTCAGATGGTTTGATCTCGCTGAAGGGTGCTTCTGTCTCTCTGGTTTGCACTTCCTCAGCAACCGCGGCTTCGATGGGTAGTATCGTGGTCTTTGGTTTCACTTCTTGAACCGTATCACGTGGCAAATCGCTCAAGCCTGTGTCACTAAGGATCTCGTACTTAGACGCTACTCCTTGAGCAATGATGTCTACTGTAGCCTCCACGCTTTTCGGCTTCTCTTCCCTCGTGAATGTTCCCTCCTTGTCTTCCGGGTGGGTGATACCTACCACTATACCTTCACCTTCTTGGAAGGTTACGTCGATGTTCTTGGTGTCAGGTTTTACATCTTCCTGCAGTGGAGATTCTTTTTCAGAGATGGATACTTCTGTTTGTTCTACCACCTCTAATCCGCTCTGTTGCTGACTAGCGTGCTCTTCCTTGGTCTTCTCTTCCTTCAGGATGTTGATGTTGCTCGCAAGAATTGTCTCTTGCATTTCAGCCACCTCGTGTCCTTCGGTAATTCCCATAGTGACCTTTCTTTCCTTTGGTATTTCCTCCACTTCCAATTTTTCTCCTTCCTGGACACTCGTCACTTCTGTCACCATCAGTTTCTCGGTCTTCGATTGGATCTGAACTTCTGCACTCTGAGTGGTCGGTAGAATATCCGTCTCTCTAGTCTTCTCTGTCTCCGCGATAGTTGTCTCCGTTACGATGAGTTCTTCCAAAGCGTCTCTTTGCGGAATTGCTATTCCCGACTTGGGTTTATCGATGCTCATATCTGCGGTACTCTGTTCCACCAGAGTTTCCGATTTCAGTGCGACCGTGTGACCAGACACCAATGGTTGAGCAGTATAATCCTGCGGTTTAGCGTCAGGACTGTAAACATTTTCACGGTCGTGAGGAATAACTTCTAACACGGTTGGACCAGGTCTAGGCTCAGTCAATTCGATGACAGCGGTCTTCTGGTCTGGTTGAATATCAGTTTTGTACAAGTCTTCTTTCTCTGCTAACTGTTGCAAAGCGACAGTGATGCTCTCCAATGGAACGTGTGCTGGTTGAGCCACACCGGAAGCTGGTCTCTCCTCTGGTACATACTCTCCAGTTGGCGAATGAGTTCTCACTTCTTCGAACACTGGAGCAACCTGTGTGGCAAACTCTGTGCTAGCATAGGCTCCCTTGACTTCGGAAACCTCTGTGTATTCAGCTTCCTTTTCACTGGCAATCACCATAGTGGTGTGCACACTCTCGATCTCGTTCATCGTGACCTCAGCAGTCTTGGATTCGGGAGCTTTATCTTTCTGGACAGGTGCCACGTCCTCAGCTACCACGGTTTCGCCTACCACTGTTTCCTGCAGACTGATAGACTCTATTTTGGCTATACCAGATGATGGAACTTCTTTCTTGACTTCACCTAGGTTGTCTTCCGGCTGAGTCATTTCGATCTCTAACGAGACTACAGGATGAGTAGGTACAGTTTTTCCACGATGAGATTCTGGCATCTCGAAGATCTTCAGATCTGCTTCTTTTTCTATGGACGTAGTCTGGAATATCTCAACGCTTCTAATAGCATCGTAGCTAGTTTCCACAACGCGTTCTTCTGGCTTCGCGATTTCTTCCATTTTCACCTCGCTGTCGTGAGTCATGATCTCCTGAATCATCTTAGCTTCTGTTAGTTGCACGGCCAGAGTTCCACTTTCTTGAACGTATTTCAGTTCTTCCTTGAAATCCGATGGGAAGTCAGCGGTCTGAATTTCAGATACCATCACGTGCTCCTCAGGCCTAATCGAAGTTTCTGCTAACATTTTCGTTGGTTTCTGGTCCGGATGATAGACACCCTCAGACTCTTGAACGATGGTGCTTGCAATAGAACCGATTTCCAATGACGATATCGACGTCTCGGCTGTCTTTGTGGATGGTTTATCGCCCGGTTGATATTCCTTCTCCTTCTCAGATGTCACAGTTTCGACTGTCACAGCTGAAGGGATCTCGATAATGTTCAAATCAGCCACTACTTTCTTCGCCTCCTCGATCGTCAGATCAGCCTCTGTATCTTGGGTTTGAACTGTAGACACAGAGACTCCTTCCAGTACAGTCACGTTTGGAGTAGCCTCGAATGTGTCAGTTTTTCTTTCAGATACGAATACCCCTTCGCTTTCCTGAACAACGTTCTGCTGGATGATCGCAGTCTCGTTTCCGTACGGTGCTGCAACTTGTGCTTTCTGACTTGGAGGTAGCCTTCCTGGCACATACTCGCCTTCCTTCTCAGGTGCGTTCATTTCTTCAGTGACACGTTGGCGTTGCGGAATCACACTCTCTGTGGCAACTTCCGTTGGTACTACCTGCTCAGGGTAATACTTTCCTGGTTTATCCTCCGTTCGAACTTCTTCGATGATGAGTGGTTCAACAACTGTGACGTTAATTCTGGGTTTAGTAGGTACTGTCTTCAATGGTTCTAATTTATCCTCTGCAAATCCTTCCTGAACTTCGTATACGGATAGTTCTAGTTGAGGTAATATAGTATCCTCAGCCTTGGCAGTTAATGGCGACACGAAATCCTCCGTTGGAGCTTCCTTCTGGCTTACCAGGGTCTCGTACACAGTTGTCGCTTCTTGGAGAGTCATGGTGACGTCAGCGGTTCTACTGACTTCCTGTTTAGCTATGGTCAAGCTGGACACTCTAGCGTCGTTTGTCAGCGTTTCACTGACTACCAAACCTTCGGATGGAACTACACCCGGTGTCGCTTCGTAGGATGTGGGTTTGAAAGTATCAGCAAATTCGCCGGTAGAGGCCTGGACTGTCGTCTCTGTGATGGAATAAGGTTCCACTGACGATATAGACAACGATGCTTTGCGTTCAACTGGTTTAATCTGACTAATGTCATCGATTTCTTTCTCCTGAACAGGAACCAGGTGTTCTGTCAATGGGATTATGGTATCCATTGTTAGCTTAGCTTTCTCTAACTCTGGTTTACCAGGTGCTTGCTCGATGGTACGATCCAAAGGCACCACCTGGTGGCGTTGGCTAGGGACGTTCAATACTACAGAAGGCATAGATTTATCCTCCTTCACTTCGAACTCTTCGATTTCTTCCAGCTCAACCTCATCTCGACTAATCTGTGATCGTTTAGGTTTCAACTCCTTTCTCACTTTTTCTATAACCTCTTCTTCCTCTTCCACTACCTGCTTCTCTAAATCATCGCGTTTCTTTTGCTTTTGAGTCAGTTTGCCTTTCGAGTCTGTTTCAACGATAACGGTCTCGATTTCCTCCTCGATCTCTTCGACGTCCTTTCTCTTCCTCTTCTCCGTTTCCGTATCCACGATCTCTTCGATCTCTACAACCTGAACCCCCTCGTCCCTATCTTCCTTTCTCTCCTCGATCTGTTCCTTCGGTTTTGTTACTTTTCGTTCGCGCAGTGTCGTGTGTGCCTGCCGTGTGTCCTCGTATTCTGTGGAAAGTATGTGAGAATATTCGTGTCAATCACAAACGCGACTGTTCGCCTCTCTCTCACGTTAACCTTTCGCTCGTTCGTTCGTTCGCTCGCTCTCACTTGCCGTTAGACGTAAATCTCATTCTACTTCTTTGCATATTTGTTTACTCATTTTTGGTTTATTTATTTATACTGTGCAGATTTCATGCGACGAACCATTGATGCGGATGCTGCTTGCTCAGACAACAGAATTCAACGTGCTTCAATACGAGAAAGGAGTGAGACAAAACCTACATACGTGCAGTGCACGCCAGACGGAGCTTGTGTGAAGGCGACAAGAGTAAAAGGAACGTACAGACAGAAAAATAGAGAAAGAAAAGGAGAAAAGTTGGAGTACAGCGGACAGAGTGTGAACAGCGTGTTTTACATCATTCTACTCGATTTCCAAAGGTATCGTACACTTTCGTTTCATTGTGCTTTCAGTGCTGATATGAAGCATTGACCCTTTGTGAGCGAAGGTATTTAAACATTAAATGCAGAAACAGAAAATGGAGATTTTGCTTGATTTTTTGATTTAAATAGAATATTTTTGCAGAGTAATTTTAATTAATAATTTATGGAATGTGAAAATCGCAGTGCTATAAGTCAGACTGTTACTTTTCATTGCAAAGTATTGCAACTGCGGACGAAGATATAATGTATTTTTTATTAAACCTAATATTATTTTAATTCTCACTATGCTATTTTCAGTTCACAAAATATAAATATGACAGACTATCGGTATATTCTATAATCTATTTTAAAGAAAAATGAAACAAGATATAACAATAGTAACTAGTAGAAAATAAATAATTTTTGTGTAAAGTATATCGCCCTGAATGAGTCAACGATAATTCAACTCGCGATGAAGATGAATTGTTGAATAGTGTTTCTATGTAAAGTTTCTCTGCTTATGTATTCGAGAGTAATACATAGTACGAGAATATTGAATAATAATTGATCGAATTACGATGTCTCTGGAATGTTTGTTTGCGGTATCTAAGAGTAGTGTGCGGTATTGCTGAATCGCAGGCACCGGGGCATGCGTTGTTTAATAACAAGTGATGCGTGTGTAAATTTCGTGTAGTGGCAGTGGAAAAGAAATAGTATAGGCCGGCCAGAAGTCAAACCAACATGAACACAGGAAAAAAAGAAAAAAAATGAAATAGAGAAATTAAGGAGACACTTGTCTGTTACACATCGTGCTTTGCTTTCTACAGTGCCAAGAGTTAAAACAAGAAAAAGAAAAAGAAAAAAGGAAAAAATAAAAAAAAAACAAAAGGGAGTGAAGGTCAATCTTTCGCCTAATCGCTGGTCAACTTGTATGTAGGATAATACTGTTATATAGAGATTTCATGTGAGTGTGTAACTTGAATGTGTAACAGTAACAAGAAGTACAATAAAACCAGCAAAATTGCATTCTAACATTACAATTACCAATTACTAGAAAAATATAAACTTGCAAACAGATAACATAATAAATCTATTTTACATAGAAACTATGAAATACACTAAATATGTACATATTAAATATTGCAAATACGTAATAAATTACATATTAAACATTTACAAAAGTATATCGTAATCATCGAATTTCTATTTAAAATTCGACTCAATGTAATTACTACTTAGCGCTAAATTATTTCATAGTTTCCGATTAAATACAACTGGACGAAAAACGTGAAATAACGCGAACATGACATTAAACAGAGAAATGACTGAACTCGTTACCAAATGCATATGAAATACATGAATCGAAGCGTCGAAGCAAATTTTACTTACATCGAAACAGCGGTTAGCAGAGCGAGGCTCAAAACGAGAAGCTTTCGATGCTGTACTTGGTTTGGTGATGTTCAAATAATTTTTTTACGAGTCTTAATTTAGGTGACTAAATTACGGGGATCTGGGAAACAGAGTGACGGGATACGGCGCGTGGAAAGCATAGCGGCATAAGCAGAACAATTTTACTGCTATTATTCGATCAAGTAAAGCTTCATGCATCTGAAAGAATAATAAAAATATAATCATTACGTAGAGACCGTATCGTATGATCGTTCACGCGCATACTTTCTCTCAACGACATAGTCTCTATGGTAGAAAATGATGTACCACGATATTATTAGTCAGCGCGAGTGAGCTTTAAACACGTGATGAATTTTTATTGAATAATTAAGATGATTCGTCAAGGCGGAATGTTCGATGAAGAATTTGGTATCCGTTCAGAGTTACCACATTCTGTCAACTTAATCGTGATTTTACTTCAGAATCATCTACGAAAGCCCGCAAGTCTTTTATCTATATATATATTTTCTTTTCATACGTAATCTTTTACGATTAAAATATAGAGATATAAAAGGTAAATACAAAAGCCGATTCGGAAAATCGAATCTATAAAGAATGTTTAAGTATACTTCGAAAGCAAAGAAAAATTTATAATACGGAAATATAAATAAAAGTAACAATAATAGCGTGGAAATGTCGATGTGGTGTCGACTGTCCGGACACAGAAATCTTTTAGCGTCAGAGAAATGAGAATTAAATAGTATTATTGGCGCTGTCCATTCATGAGTCGAATGGCGAATTATACGAATGTGTATCGCATGCACTGAAACTCGTTGCTTCAAACCTTTAATGTCACGAATATCCTGCGTGCGGACGGCTTTTCTTTCGTCCCTCCTCTCTGCAATCAGAAAATCCATTGTTCCATTCGTGGGAATTTCGGGAAAAGGAGTTCTCAGTGCAAAGAGCAAAAAAGATTAAAAAAAGGAACACAAGGGTATTATGGCACGTGGTAAAAAATTGATTTTTATTCGATATCTCCAATGTACAATACATAACGCAGAAAAAAAAGACAACGAAGAAAAATGTTTGGTTTCTTCGTTCGGTTAAATTATGTACAAGAAAGAAAGAAAAAAAAAAGAAAAACGGAAAAAGAAACGCATGCTTATCCGAGCTTATATGTAGTCTTCAAGCCGCGAAGTATATACAAAAATTAATATTTAAAAAAAGAAAATGTACAAGTTATGTGTATAGGCAGCCACGCAAGCACACACCAAAACGTAAGATGTTTAATGTATTAAAAATGGAAAAAACACGCTCTGCAATAGTACTGTAACATTGCATTTTCCGTGGTTTACAAAGACTCTCGTGTCTCTTTTCGTATTTCAAACCTCACGTCACACCGCATTCTTGACTTACCCATGAAATGGACCTCGGTTTTATGGATGACGTCCACTCGTTCCGTAACTCGTTCCTCCGTTTCAACCTGCAGATAATTGCTTTTAATATACTTCCGATTTCAATTTAATTTCGTCTCTTTATTTACCGTGTCTTTCAAAAGATCTGCCATTGTGTAAAATATTTTTTAAATATTTCAAATATATTTCAAAAATAGTAACTGAAAGTTAAAGTAAAAGAACTTAATCGTAACCTAGTCAAGAACCTGATTGAAAGAAGCAAGTCAAAGAATTAATTTAATTTATCGTCTTTCAAGGAACCTACTATCTAAAAGCAGCAGCTAAAAATCAAAGTACAAGAACGTAATCAACTGTCTAAAGAAAAATCTGATTAACCTAAACGGATGAAAGAATTCAGATAAAAATTCTTATACAATTATAATTCAATTTAAGCTCTACTGTATGTAGCTTGAGAAAGGAAAATTGGAAAACAATCCTTACTTCCGTAGCTTCGGTAACCTCCCAAGCACGCGGCCGGAAGTCCTCCGGAGCGAAGTGGGTGAGCACCTCTTCGACAGTGACGTGTTGTAGCTCGATCATCCTCATGAAGGCACGGAAGCCAACGGTAGCAGCCACGACACTCTCGTCTGTGGTGGTTTCTTCTGTCAGGACTTGCGTGATTAACGGACCATGGCCTTCCCTTTCTACCAGTTGAACCAGCGCATTTTGAGCCTCGGGTGTCTTCAGCGCAGGGAAGTTGTCTGTTCTGTACAAACTCTCGTTGATCTCGTTTACGGAGACACCTTGGCGTACCAAGAAACCTATGGTGGCTAACTCTCGAAGAGGAGCTTCTCCAGGGCCGAATTCTTTGGCATGGAGCACCTCCATGATCTCCTCCACTTCTCTCGCGATGTTCTCTCTCTGTCTCTCCACGATTTCTTCGATAGTGATTTCCTCCTTTATTTTTACTTTATCCTTCTTCTTCTTCTTCGGCTTCTCTTCGGTGACGACCTCCCTGGGTCTCTCTTCGAATAGCTCTTGTTCGGTTACCACCGTCTTCTTAGCCTTCCTTTGCTTCGTGTCCATTCGTTTCAATTCTTGCACGCTGGCCTCCGTATGTATCTCGGTTACAGAGACGGTCTCCAGTGTTTCCGACGTGATCTCAGCACGATCCACCACCGATTCCACCGTGAAATCTCGCGCCATGTCTTCGGTGGTCACTTCAGACACCACGACCACTCCTTTACGTTCCTCCACCACGCGTTCAGCATGTTCCTCAGACGTCGGTACCATCTCGCGTGCCTTCTGATCGTCGATCTTCTTTAACGACGCTACTGCTTCCGTCATTACTGGCTCCTGAATCGGCACTACTTTCTTCGCTCGTGATACCTGCGTTCAATGATGATCGTTTTTACGTTTAATGACAATTAGGGTGGTAAATGTGGGGAGATGTGGATGGAGGGTGAGGAGTATCCATCGGTTGATGAAAATATTGTATAACCAGGTTGCTATAACTTTAAATTAATTTTTGAGTTATATGGTACAGGTTGCGTGGGAATTTTTTTTTCTTATTATCTACCGTTTTATAATGTATTCTTTTCTTTTACTTGCCTCTGTAGGTTGTTCTTCAATAATTTCCGTCGTTTCGAGTACCTGTGTCTCCTCAATGTCGACCATTTTCCTGGATGAAGAATTTATAAAATAATTATCTAATTCGTGTGTATGTATAATGTTTATCATGAACGTATATGTAAATAATAATTTCACTGACTTTTCTTCTGGCTGTTCCATGGAAACAAGCTTCTCTTCGCGCACTTCCTTCTTGTCTACCTTCACACGTTCACCTTTCACTTTTTCCTTCGTCTCCTTAGCTTTCTTCAACTCGGGCTTCTTCTTCTTGTGTGGCTTCTCCTTAGGTTTCACTTCTATCGTCTGTTCTTCGATGATCTCTTCTTCCTCTAGGAATCCCCTCTCACCCGTTACGTCTGAGAGAAATGTCACATATTATCAAGTTAAATTATTTACGAAATTGGTACCATTTGAAAATTAGCACTGCAGTTGGATTTAAGGAAATAAAAGTACCTGTCACGCGTAATTTAGCTTTCGTCGTTGCCAAACCTATTTCACTGGTAGCTTTGCAAACATAAGTAGCGTCGTCTTCTTCGGTCGCGTGTTTAATTGTAAGCACTGTCTTTTTCTCCTCATCCATGATACGTATTTTCAAGTTCTGGGTATTCACGATCATCTTGTCGTTCTTGTACCATACAACATCTAAAAATCGCAAGAAAAGAATAAGATACATATATCGAGAATATTCGTGCATCAATTGCAAATACTTTAAAAGGAAAATAAGGAACTAGATGAAAATTTCGGAAATTTTAAGAACAAGGAAAAGGATGCACAAAAGTTATAGCAAAAGATTTGAAATATACATATATATGTATGTATCTTCAAAAAGCTTGAATTATTATCAGTTTTTATTATTGGATAATAACTGATACAAATAAATGAAAGAATTTAAAAATATCAATATACCTGGAACAGGATTGCCAGAGTACGAGCATTCGAACACTGCGGCTTCACCTTCCCTCACATAAACGTCGGTAATCTCTTGAATGAATCGTGGTACAGATTGCGTGGCTAAAATCAGAGTATATCACTCGATTAACTATAAGTTTTATAAAGAAGAACAAATACATTAAAAATTGTTGGCAAGCCATTTACCTGATCTCTTGATTGGTGATTGTGCGACTCGCGTGACCCCGATGTCAGTAATCTGATTAGGCAAACGAGAAAAGAACAAAACACACATACAAAACGAAATTCATGCAGTGAAACAATCTTATAAAAAGCAATTGAATTAATCTCAGATTGTTAGTAGCTTAATCGACGATTATACCTGACATGGTGCCTCTTTCATCCTCACTATGGTGCTCGCTGCACGATACCTCGGACGTGGACATATTTCCAGCCAAGCCAAGGTTTCCACTGCACTGACTTTCCAATAACAAAAATTCCTGCAATTCCTCTTGACTGTCCGCTGTATGCAGTTGTTGGAACGCCTCTAAATCGATTTCTCGTGGCTCCAAGGGATACATTTTTGGGTCCATCATCAAGTTCCCGAAACGGCGTTCCTTCGACCACCTGGCTACAGGGATTCTAGACTTCGGATAAGTGTGATATTTCCTCGCATGATCGTACTCCAACGTGGTTTCCATAATTTTTCCAGTTCCATACTGTTCGGTAACGAGTTTGCTGTGTCCACTTCCGGTCGAAGCTTCACTGTTCTCTTCGATCGGTGACAGATAGAAGCCAGCTTCAGAGACGTTCGAGAGATCAGAGCGGACGTGGATCTTCTTCTCCGATCTTGGTGGTGGAAATTCGTTGAAGTCCAACACAATCTTTTTTCTCCTCTCACTTCTCAATAACTCTACCGTAGTCTCGTCGCTTTCTATCGATACTCTATTCACGTTTGTCATTGTTTCGTTAGCGATATCGTTGTTACTCGTGCCCCCGACGAAAGCGTCTTCTGTCAATCTAGCGCTCTTCACGAGTTTCGCCGTGACTAATTTGTCAGTGGACTTTATTTGTCTGGATTTTTCCAACCTTGTCGGTGAAGGAGAGTTAGATTTGCCAGTCACTTTTCTCTGCTTCTCGCTCGTAACAGAATCGTTGATCTTTGAACACTTGGCTCCAACCGGCGAAGGAGACCTAGCTTTCACGTTCATCGTGGTTGTCCCCCTTATTGGCGAGGTCGACTTTTCCAGCACCAAAGGCTTCGCCAGTTTCACCTTCTGCATATTAGAAGATTTACTCGTGCCACTTCCAGTCCCATCTCGTCTACTTTTCGCGGAAACGGTCGTCGAAAGCGATTTCGTTTCCGTACACCTCTTCGTCACGCTTCTCTCCTCCAAACTCTCCAGTTTCTTCTTCTTCGTCACTTTACTTACCCTCTCGGTCTTCGTCTTCCTGTCCATGCTTCTATGTTCGCTTTTCACTTCGCATTTGTCTCGTTTGTCAGAGATATTTTCGACGCTTTCCACAGAAGTGATCTCTTTACGGTCAGAGGCTGTTTCATTCGCGCTCATCTCCCAGGAATATTCCGTGCTGGCGATCTCTTCTTCGATTTCCAAGGACTCGGAGGATCTTCTGGACAGGAAGAATCCTTTCGGCGCGGCGTCTTCCTCTTCGAAGCACTTCTTACCTTCGTCGTCGATGTTCATCAGCGTCCTCGTCGACGAAAATTCACTGATCATCGTCGAACTGTCCCGTTGAGAACCTTCGTCTCTGATTGCGCGATCGTCCAAGCTGTCCGTCGAAAAGCTGCACTCCGCTTCACTCAGCATGCAATCGATCGCCTGCGACTGACGACTCTTACCTCTCAGAGCTTCTTGCATTTCCTCCATCTGAGTGACCCATATTGGTTTCCTGTACTCCTTCGTTCCGAGGATTCCTGATCGACAGAGGATTATTAGAAACGTGTGCAACCATTCGACCCTTTCAGTCCCATCCTTCAAGCGAGGCGAAAGGTCTCTTAAGACCTTATTTTGGATCAAAGCGTTCTTTTTATTATTGACTTTCGATTCATTGCGCGAAATAATTCAAGTTTATTTATTTTGGCAGGAAAATACCCATTCCTATCACACTCAAATATTTATTTTCACGTATTATAAGTTCTCTGTCAAGCAGAACTTTTATTTCCAAGAATTTCTTTTACATTCTCTCATCTATCTCGAATCTATCAAAAAGCTACAAAATTTTCTCGACCTTTGGTTATTATTATTATTATTACAGATAGTTTGTGCTTCATTTCACACAATGATTCGAGGTCCAATAAATGGGACTCAAAGGGTCCGTATAGCTAGTAGAGCGCTTAATAAAAGAATATAAAAAAAGTGTCGGTGATGGGATGTGAGTGTTCAGTGTGAGTTTTGAAATATTTATAAGGAAGGAAACATTTATATAGGACAGCGTTCGGAGATTTTCGCTGATGATTCCAATCGAAGAAGAGCGCAGCTGAAAAGAACTCGTATCAAGCAGATTAGCGAAGCTTCCACTACTTTTTAATATAGATCCTTCGTTCGGGATGAACGAGTCATTACCTTCTACCGACAGGTATGTCGTCGTGGTCGATACACCGAGCGGATTGTGCACCTCGAACACAATCTCACCCGTGTCGTCGGGATAAGTTTCGGCGATCGTCAGCACCGACGTGCCATCCTCGAATTCTTCGATTTGGAATTCTTCTGACGGCACAATTTCTGTACCTTGCTTGTACCATTTTCCTTCTGGCTTCGGTTTTCCTTTCGCTTTCACTTCCAATCTGTGACGAAGAAGATAATTGCGTTCGTAATTCAAAAATGATTTAAATCTTCTTTAATTTCGGTTCACATTAGTATCGTCTATATAGTTGTATCGTGTTTTATCTTCGTTTCTAAGTTTTCTTATTTCCCTATTGTGAACGTTTTATTCTTGAAACTTATCTTGCGAATTCTTACCTGGTTAATTCTCCGACTTTAATAGGAATTAACTGAGGAAGTTTCTTTATTATCTCCGGTGCGGATTCTTCTGTGTCTGTGTCGAACAATGGTGTTTCCTAAATAGAAAAGACGCAATTTAGAATTTGAAAATGGGAATAATCAGGTCGTATTTACACAGAAATTAGAATAGAATTTATGTAAGTTGTTCTTTTTATAAGAGTACCTTGGGAGATAATAGATCCTCTTCCGAACCACTCTGCCCTGTAGTAAGAGACGTCGCGACGATCGAGGATGCAATTTCCGAATCAGGAACATACTCGTATGCTAAAAATTGAAAAGTTTTTTAAATACTATCAGCTATCCAATAACAATAATTTGACGAAATGAAATTCTGTCATCAATTAGTTAATAATCCCATATTTTACAAATTTTCTTATTCAATAATATATAATAAAAAATATAAATTAAAGCCATGCTATTTTATTAACCGAACTTCTACAAAATTCGTGTATATTTAAATTTCGTAAAATGCCAACCTTTTTATAATTTTAATAATTACTTACTAAATACATAATAAACAAATTAGAAAACTTTCGACTGACTTTTGTAAAATAGTTTGGTTTTTATTCGGTTAATGTCAAAGGTTTAATGCAGTTCGAATGATTACCTTCCACGATAAGCGACGACGTGCAAATGGCCTCGCCAACGGGATTCACAGCACGACAAGTGTACTCTCCAGCATCTTCTGGGAACACTTCGGTTATGGCCAAGCTGCAGACACCTTCCGTGTCTTGCATAATAGTGATCTCCTTGCCTTCTTTGATCGGCTTGTTGTCGTGGTACCATTCGACTCTAGGCGTCGGTTTTCCTTGGACGACGCACGTCAGGTTCGCGCTTTCACCGTCCATGACCCTGACAGGCGACAATCGTTTGACAAACGTCGGTGAAATCAGCTGGACTGTTTCTTCCCACGGTGTTTCCAGCAGATTTATCGTCGCCGTACAGGTAACAGATCCGCCGACGTTTTCGGCGCGACAGGTGTACGTGCCCGCGAACTCGGACTTGATCTCCTTGATCATGAGGATCGATCTGTTCTCTTGCGTCACGATCCTCACTTGTGGCGTAGACTAAAGAAATGCAAATGGAAATCGTATCACGTTCGCGATTCTTTGACAATTAATTATATTTTATTCAAACGGATTTAAGAATATTTGCCATCTTTTTCAAACTATTTAGTCGGAACTCTAAAAATGATAGGAAGGTAAAAAATTGTTGCAAAGGTAAAAAGACGTGTGATGAAAAACTATGAAAGGAGAGGAATTATTAAAAACAGTCAAACAAAATGGTACAAAACATTATAAAATCTAAGATATTACAAGAAGTAAAGAATATAAAAGGTATTATTCTGTAGAATGATAATGTATCATCTATACTGTCTATGATAGAAACAAACTGTCATAAAGTATATAAAAATAACACTGCCATATATAATATTAATAAGCAACGATCTAAATTAACAAAATTTCGAATAGCAGATAATGGAGGAGGAAATATAAAAATATAAACGAATACGAAAGTAGAAAGCTGAAATACCTCCAGAGGACGAGTTTCGTGGAACCACTGGAAGGAGGCTGTTGGATAGGATTCAACACGTGTTTCCATGATCACGACCTCTCCTTCGGCTACGATCTGTGGTTGCAGTGGCTCGATAAACCTCGGAGCTTTCACTTCGTCCGTCTTGTCCTCGCGTTCTTTCACCGTAACAGATCCCGAGCTTCTCGCCTCGCCAATGGGATTTTGCACCCGTACTTCATATTTCCCGCCATCTTTCTTCGTCACTTCTGGAATGTACAGCTCGGTCGTGCTCTCCTGGACGTTTATCACGCGCTTATCAGACGGCACGATCTCGGTTCCATTGCGGAACCACTTCACTTCCGGTGTCGGTTTGCTCTCGAAATCAGCCGACAGTGTCAGTGGCTTTCCGAGCTCGGCCACCAAGGCCGGTAGAGGTTTCGTGATCTTCGGCGCTCTCAGGATTTCCGGTTTGCTCACCTTCACCACGCGACTGATAATCAAATTCGCTCTGCACTCGGCACGACCGAATTTGTTTACAGCCCGCACACGATAAATCGTCTCGTCCTCCTGCGTTGGCTCCAGTATCTGCAACTTCGCTTCTCCAGTTTCCGGATTGAAGGTGATCTCTCTGCCCTTCTGCGGCTTCAACTCTTCCTCGCCGCGGTACCACTTGACTTCCGGCACCGGCGTGCCGGTCACGACGCACTCCAATAGAGCTGGTTTCTGCTCTTCCACCATCAGTGGTTTAATGGGTGTCGCGAAGTGTGGCGCCACGCCTTCTTCTTCTTTTTCTGTTAAACCAAACGTTGTCGTGAGTTTATAATCATCGGCAAGGTGGAACCAGTCACGCGACAACGAGAAAACTACATGCAAGGCACTTTTGTATGCTGCGCAACTTCTGGTTCTGTATGTGTGGTTACAAGTTGTGGAACACTTC